CTATGAAAGGCGGAAAGAAAACAGCTGTGTTTCGCTTTAACACTGGGTGACAGTTGAATGAATCTCTGTTGACACGTAATCTAAGTGAGACTAATGGATTCCCTGTAATTAGTGAGTGTCCCTCCTCAGTGTTACGCTTCTCTTTTGTCTCCGTAATGTACAGCTTTACTTGTTTTACAACAACCCCACAGCTTGTTACTCCGTCTCACTTACACCTCCCTCCCTCCTTCCCTCGCTCGCTCGCTCACTCACTCACTCACTCACTCGTTTACTCCCTCCCTCCCTCCTTCCTCCCCTCCCACACTCACTCACAGCACGGAAGCCCTGGAAGAATCCGGTGGCAGCCCCTCATACAATTCAAGGCACTCCACAGTAATTATTGTCAAGTGTAGTCACTTTTTCTATGGCACACGAGTGCATAATAATAGTAACAATCAGAATGATCCTCGCATTCGATACGGCGCCATGTCTCGAAGTTGAGACGTCTCAAAGCGCTTCACGGGACACACTGTACAGTGCAGTGACTGTATTTCGTGGGCGAAACGCGGCAGCCACTCGCGCCCAGCAGCGTCCCCCCCCCCCCCCCACCGCGCACACACACACGAATTGATCAGAGCGGCTGAGGAGACTCGCAGAGATGTGTTGTGTCTGAGCGTTTTAACGGGCATCACCTGAGCACTCAACAACCCGTCTCCTCCTGCTTTATTGCCCAGCTTCAGTGCCTGGTTCCATTACCCAAGGGATGGAGGGGAGCTGACATTTCTGTGACTGCTGCTTTATCTGCCAGCATATCTGAGGGCAGATTCTAGTTTAACAGCACAGCCAGCCCACGCTTATATTGCTTGTCAGCTCTTGTTAGTGAGAGAGGTGGAATGTCAGGCTCCTCTCCGTGACCAGTCTCGCAGCTCAGGAGGTATTCCTCCTTCAACCTCTCCGAGACCAGCTTCCACACCCTCCCACGCCATCACCGGCTGCCTCTAGTTCCTCCCTCACTCCCTCACTCCCTCCGCTCCACCATCAGTGGCCGTGCTTTCAGCCGCGAACTCTCTCCCTCAATCCCTCCCTCCGCCCTGCCCTCTCCCTCCCTCCTTCCCTCCCTCCTCACGTTCAAATCCTGCCTAAAGACCTTACTGTTTTGATCGTGCTTATGGTCACCTCCCCCCACCCGGGGACACTATCCCACGTGAAAAGCGCTGTGTAAATGAAATGTCGTCGTCGTTGTTGTCTGAGCACTGGCCTGAGCCAACCGTCCCAAGTCGGTGTGATGGGAGACTGGAGTCTGGACCATTTGGGGTCGACCCCCCCCTTTAATTGCTGCCAAAATACGGGTCTGTAACTGTGAACGTTTCCGACACAAGGCGCTGATCGGCTGAGATAGGCCACTGCTCGCACTCAGTTTCGCAGTCAGTCATTCTCGTCCCGGGGACGTCTGGGGAATTAGCCAAGGACGAGGAGGCCACTCAGTCCATCGAGTTTGTTCTGTTTGACTTTTTAATGCAATTTCCATACCTCTTACCCCATACTTGTTGCAGTCACACCCTTAATTCCCAAATATGTATCCATCCACGTTGGTAGCCTGGACAAGTTGATAGCAAGACCAACAAAAACTTGCATTTATATAGATTCCTAGCGCTCCCGCCACTGATTTAGAAGGTTGTGGACCATATTTTGAACTCGTACTCTGTTCCCGGCAGAGCAAAACCTTAGGCAAGTTTCCTTACGCCACACACACGCGCCTCCGTTTACCCGGCAGTAACTAGGAACCCGGTTGTTAGTGGATTGGCGGATGCATCACTTTTTCGGAGGTAATAACCATTCAAAACAAATAATAATAATAGTTTGCTCACTCACAATCCACGACTGTTTGTGGGGACGCTGCTGTGCGCAATTGGCTGCCGCGTTTCGCCCACAAGATACGCGGTGAATCCACTTGACAATATATTCTGTGGAGCGCTTTGAAACGTGATAACGACGTGATAAGGCACTCTTTATCAAGTGCGAGAATTATTACCGTTGCATTAACCCGTGAAGCACGTAGACATGTCCTCTGGATTCTCGTTATTACATTATCCTGCGAAGCTCTTTGACACGTCCTCCCGACTTGAAAGGCGTTGCATCAAACGCGAGGGTTATTATCATTATTATCATTATTGCTATAATCATAGCACGTAGGTTGTTCTGCAGGAGCTGAGAGCTTTCATGTTGCTGGCGCAGTTGGGGTGGGGGTGGTGGGGGGGGGGGGGTGCGGGGAGGGAGAGGGGACTATCAGTTGCTTGAGTGACGCTTCTACTAACGGAAAGCGGCAGGATTTCCACCACATTTCAGCCTCTGCCATCACAGTGACTCATCCCCTGTATAATTCATAACTGACTGACTGACTGACTGACTGCACAATTGAATCCCTGGCTTCGTAAAGAACGGGCAAACACAAATCTTCTCTCTTCTTGCAAGACTTCCTCGCGCCAGGTACGTACGTGCCTGGCTCTGCCTGAGGCTTTGCCGGTCGGCCCCTTCTCCCTGGGAGACGATACCAGGCGTTAGCGCTGCGAGCCACCTCACCACCCTGTTTGTGAAGGAGATTATGTAACAGTGACAATCCTTGCCTTCGATACAGGGCTTTTATCACATCGTCGGGACGTCTCAAAGCGCTTCACAGGATTCACTGTGAAGCGGATCCGCTGCGGATTTTGTGGGCGAAACACGGCAGCCAATTGCGCACAGGGGGCGTCCCATAAACAGCCGTGGATTGAGCGAACAGATTATTATTTTTTTGAAGGCGTTATCGTTATCCCCGGAAAAGCGATCCGCCAATCAACTAACAACCGGGTTCCCGCTCACTGCCGGGTAAACAGGCGTGTGCGCGTGCGAGTGTGTGCGTGTGTGTGCGTGTGGAGTAAGGAAACGTGCCTAAGATTTCGGAATCGAGCTCAGGTCCTCTCGCTTGCGAGGCGAGTGCTCTAACCACTGAGCTCCAGGTAATGTTGTGGGGGCTGTGGACGTGTGGGGGACGGTTGAAGTATCTCGGGTGACCCTGACCACTTGCTGTCCGTTTGCCTCAGCCCACCCCCCCCCCCCCACCCCCCACCCCGTGGTCTTACGCACTCTTGGCAGATGGAGATTGATATAAGGGCACGGCTTAAAATAGATCCAGAAACAGCCGAGTGCGATGAGAGCGCAGCAAAAGAATTAATATTTGATGGCAGATTCACCTATAACCAATCCCTCTGCACTGTGGCGAACGCGTAGAATGAGACACCAGGTTTTCTTATCGCAACGCATTGTAAGAAGATTATCAAACACGTCGAGCAACAACTCAACAACCGGCACGGGACTAAGTAGACGCTCAGCAACAATTGAGCGACTCTGAGCCGAGTGCGGGGGGGGGGGGGGGGGGGAAGGGGAGGTGACCGTAAGCACCATCGAAAAGGAAAGGTTTTCAGGCGGGGCTTGAAAAGGGGGGAGAGAGAGCGAGAGAGAGAGAGGGAGGGAGAGGGGGGGACAAGGCAGAGGGATTGAGGGAGAGTGTTCCGGGGCGTGGCGGCTGAAGGCACGACCGCCGATGGTTGGTGCGGAGGGCGCGCGGGGCAGAAATGTGCCTGGGACTGCGCAGAACCGGGTGGGGGGGAAACATGGAGTCTTAACGGGATGCTGGCAAAATAATAAATGGGAATGTTAATGTAAAGAGAGTGAATCTGTAACGTTTTCTCAGGCAACTGCCCCGAAATTACTGCGCGCCTCAACATTTTTTTTTTTTGATCAGCCCCCCCCCCAGTGACTGACTGTCCTGCCCTTCCAGCTCTCTGGGACGCGAGTGGCGCTATATATAAATGCGCGTCGTCGTCGTCGTCGCTGACGATGAGCCAGGCTGGGGCTGCGCTGTGATCAGCGGTGCCCCGGAGACCCGCGGACCTGCCTGGAGTGCCGTCCCGAGACCCCCCGAGTTCACAGTCCCTCCGTGGGGATTGGAACCCACACGCTTTTCTGTGAGGCTCGGAGAGGCCAGGCTGACGCAGATCAGGGACTGAACGCGGAGCGCGCGGGCGAAGCCTTCGCAACCCACTGGGGGCCAGAGGGCGGCTGGGCAGCGTGGAGCAGATTATCAGCTAAAGCACCAGTTACCATGGAGCTGGACGGGCGAACGGCGAACAAGGCAGTTTCTATGGAGCCGGAGCAGCAGCTGACTGAGTCTGAGGCTTGAGTCTGAGAGAAAGGTCACTCGCTGGAATGATACCTTTCGCTTTGCCTCTGGCTCCCAGTTGCGGTTTCCTGGAGCGCTCCAGGGATAAAAGGTTGTCAGGGTTACCCCCCCCCCTCTCCCCAAACCCCCCCCCCCAAACCCCACCGTGCTGGCTTCTGAGGGAGCCGCGGTGTGTCCGTCGAGGCGTTTGCGTGCGTGCGTGCGTGCGGGGAGTGGACCAGGCGGGTGGTAGGAAAGGAAACTAAAGTTGACATCAAATGTTTTTCGCCTTGTGTGCGCGCGTGCGCGTGCGCGTGCGTGTGCTGGGGAATGAGTCACAGCAGCCAAACACGTCAGTGCCACTGGACACACGAAAGAGGCAGCACACAGTTCCTAGTCGAACACCCCCCCCCCCACCACCCACCCCCCGCCTCACCCCCCCCCCCCCGTCCATCCATAATCTACCAATAATCATAATAATAATTCTCGCATTCGACACAGCGCCTCATCACGTCATCGAGACGCCTCAAAGCCATTCACCTGACACACTGCAAAGTGAATCGACTGTACATTTTGCCAGCGAGAACGAGAGGACATGTCCCGGAGAGCTTTTTTTTTTTAGCGCCTCTGGACATCCTCCCGACGCGGAAGGTGTTGTTTGTTTTGTTGTCGTCGTTTTACTCGTTTGGGGGGGCGTTTGGGGGGGCGGTGGGGGGGGGTTATCTCACCGGCAGGGCATTGCACGTGTATCTTATCTCACAAGCATTGTCGTCGTCACTTTCTCCTGCTGGCTAACTGACTGATCGATCGCTTATCCCCGCAGGCGTGCCTGCAAAAAAGCTCGCCCCCGCCTCGCTCCGGCAGACACCGAGAATGAACGCAGCCCGCAGAGAGGCCATGGTCCTGTCCACGGTCACGGCACCACCGGAGCTTCTGCCCAACGTCTCGGAGACGCCCAGCAAACACAACGTCTTCTCCCACATGAAACACAAGTTCATGAACGAACTGAGCAAAATACCAAGTGAGTTGCCGCCGACTGGGGCCGACGGTGGTCTGCGTGTCCTGAGTTACCAGTGTGTCTGGTTTGGTACAATAATAAGTCTACGCTCGGTTAATTATTACGTGTCCGGTTCAGTTAATTGTACCTGGTTTAGTTACCATGTGTCTGGCAGTTACATTGATTTAGTTGTGATTTCACATTGGGTCTAATTTAGTTATGACGTACGTAGTTTAGTCCTGTTCTATCTGTTTCGTCCGGTTCAGACTTAGTTAAGTTGTGTCCGATTTAGTTAACTCTTGCAGTACAGCACTTTTCCATCTTTATTTCTCACTTATTTTCTTGTTCTTTCCCTTGTTAACCATTTCAGTGCATGCCAGAAAATGTAAGTAAAACTGGAGCATTACAGGACTCTCGGGTTTCTCGATATTTCACTTATGATAATAATAATAATAATAATAATTATTATTATTATTATTGCTCGCGTTGCGGGCAAGTTAGAAGGGCTGAAAAGCTGGGAGTTGCCTGATTCTAGTCCAAGTCAGTGCTGAGTTCCCGATCTCAGTTGGGACGGGGGTAGGAATGACAACTGACCACAGTGGACACGGTGTTAAGTAGCAGGAAAAGAAAATCGCTTGATACCCGTCACTGTGTAAGTGGTCATATTGAGCGGCTAAGGCTTTGATTCAGTGTAATCTCTCTCTCTCGCTCTCTCTCTCTCTCGCTCCGTGTCCAGTCCCACCATGGGCTTTAGCTGCCATAATAATCCTGGTTGGGGTGCTGCTGGTGTGCTGCTGCTTCTGTGTGTTCAAGAAATGCTGTAATAAAAAGAAAAAGAAGAAAGGGAAAGACAAGGGCAAAGCTCAGATCAACATGAAGGGCGTGAAGGATTTAGGGAAAAGTTACGTTGACAAGGTAAGCGGGCACCAACAACAACAACAACTTGCATTTATACAGCGCCCCCTCACTCAGGGTGGTGCTCCGGAGCGCTTGTCACCAATAGAGACTCGGCGGGAGTGCAAACAAATTGGCACATCCCAAGTCCTGGTTCTCTCTGCCTGTTTTTCAAATCGTTTTGACGGTGAATAATATTATATTCGTATATCATCTTATGGGGTCCCATAGCTCAGGGGTTAGAGCACTCGCCTCGCAAGCGAGAGGACCCGGGTTCGATTCCCAGGCAGAGCGAAACCTCAGGCAAGTTTCCTTACTCCACACACACACACACACACCCCCACACACACACCCACACACACACACGCCTCTGTTTATCGAGCAGTAAGTAGGAATCGGCTCGTCAGTTGATAGGCAGATCGCTTTTCCGGGGGGTGATAATCCCTAAAAAAAAACACGGTCACTCAATCCACGACTGTTTGTGAGGACGCTGCTGTGCGCAATTGGCTGCCGAGTTTTGCTGTGAAGCGCTTCGAGATGTCTCAATGATGTGATAACGTAATGTAATGATTATTTCTTCTCTTGGCCTAGAAAAATGCATACACAACGCCCAAAAGACACACACATACGAACCCACACACTGGTACCTTATTTGCTTCTGATTTACAGTGACTTGGACGTGCAATGGCAAGTCAATTTGTTTGGGTTGTAAATTGTCGCCAGTGCTTTGTGTGATGAGGTGCTTGAGATATCATTTCATAGGATGAACCGCAGTGCCGGTTCAGCGGTTTAAATGTTGAGTGTCTCCTGTAATTATACACGGACACAACGACAATTTTTACAAAGAGAGAAAGGCAGGAAGGGAAATGGAAGCAAGCTCGGATAAAGAGATCGAAAGTAAAGGAATTTACGGGAATTTACAGGTGGAACAGATTTCAATAACAACTTTCAAAAGGGAATTAACTAGGGATTTGAAAAGGAGAAATTTGCAGGGATACGGGGAAAGAGCGGGGGGAATGGGACTGGTTGGCAGCTCTCTTCCAATAAGCCGGCACAGGTACGATGGGCTGAATGGCCTCTTTCTGGGCTGTAATATTCTCTGATTCTATGATACATCAAATAATTATTATTAAAAAGGTCACAGAAGATGGAGCGAGTGAGTTACACACGGCTTTGATGGAATATATGTTCTTATTGATCCAAAATGAACACGTCTTGAAGTGTAATTTCTAAACTTGCAATCGTTTCTGCTTACGCAAGTCCTCATCAGATAGTGTTTCCGAACATTCAGTGATCCATCACCGAGTGACAAGGAGAGTTGGTCAGACATACGTGGGCAGGCTTCTCAGTGTGCAGCCGGACCAGACAAATAATGATCCTTGCATTTGATACAGTGCCTTATCACGTCGTCGTCGAGATTTGACTGTATATTTTGTGGGCGAAAAGTATTTTCTTTGAAGCGCTTTGAGACGGCTCAATGAGATGATAAGGCGCTATATCAAATGCAAGGAATATTATCATTACATAACCTATTATCATTACATAATCATTTACAAACAACACGTTGGGGTTGGCAGGATTATTATTATTATTGCTGTCATTGTTTGATGTAAAAAAAGGAGATTGTGGTTTACGTGCGCTCTAGTTAAAAAGCAGCAGCAGAATTTTAATCCCTTCTTGTGTTTGGGGGGAGTTTAGGTACAGCCGGACATAGAAGATCTGGACCCGAGTTTACAGGGAGAAGGCAACGAGCAGAAAGAAGAGTTTGGCAAACTGCAGTATTCCCTGGATTACGACTTTCAGACTGGACAGGTTGGTGTTGAGGTTTATGTGGTGTCACAGTCAGAGACTGTCAGAGGCAGTAACACCTTTTCCCTTCGCGTAGCTCGTCCACATTCGAAGGCTCGCGTGCCGTCGATTCAACAAGGCCACGGGGGGCTTGGTGCGTCAAATGTGTTGGAAGGAGCGAGCGCTATAATGTTCCTTGATTCTGTGAAGCCAATAGAGCACGACACGTCACGACATAACTGGCTACGGAATGGGGAACGGCAACGACAACAACTTGCAGTTATATACTTGCCCCTCGCGCACTTTGACAGTGCATCCTGCGAAGCGCTTTGAGACGTCTCGAAGGCGCTGTATCAAATGCAGTGATGATTATTCCGATATCTTGTCACTTGTGCTTCCAGCTAATCGTTGGGATTATCCAGGCCGCGGATCTCCCGGCTCTGGATATCGGCGGAACTTCGGACCCTTACGTCAAAGTCTTCATCTTACCAGACAAGAAGAAGAAATTCGAGACGAAAGTTCATCGGAAAACCCTGACCCCCACCTTCAATGAATCGTTCACCTTTAAGGTACACAGCGCCTCCCTTCCCCCACCACTGACCCAGGGTAGCGTGGGATGTGGGTGAAACACGGCCACCGATGGTGGGAATGAGGGCCAATTGGGTTCATCCCGAGCTCTTCAACCATGACGTCAAAGCGATAAAAGGGGTTGGGATCTGGAGGAGTGGAGGGCGGGGAAGATGGGGGTTGTAGGGTGACCGAAGGCGCGGTCGAAGAGGAGGGTCTTGAGACGTGCCTTGAAGGTAGGCGAGGGAGGGGAGCGAGGACAAGGGACTGTGGGATGGAGTTCCAAAGACCGGAGGCAAGAGGGAGGGAGGGAAAGGGGGAGGTGATGGCAAGCATGGTCGAAGAGGTACGTTTGTAGGCAGGATTTAAAGATAGATAGCGTGGGGGGGTGAGAGCAAAGCAGACGGGAGCTATAAATGCTATTTCCTGTTGTCAAGCCAGCAATCTGCAGCTGCATGAGTGTCACATATTGCACTCAGAACCGAGGACCTCAGCTTTCTCATCAATCCCCATTACGGCTGTGACCAGCGGTTACTCGTTACCGTGGCTTGGGCTAACAGCGAAACAAACACAAGAACGCTCTTGACATTGCAGATGCTCTGGGGCCAAGTGATGAATGAGTTCCCTGCCGGCTCTCGAGGAGCCCGATTAAAGACTGATTCGGGAAGCTGCCGCTGGCCGGGAGTAATTTGAGGAATGACAGATTGGCAGCGGTTAGGCCGAGACGGAAGTTGAGTGTAATAAACTGTGAGAGGCTGATTTATGAAGTAGACAGACAGCTTACCTTAAGAGAGAGAGAGAGACAGCGAGAGAGAGAGAGAGAGTGTGTGAAAGTGTGTGTGGAGGGCGCAACTGAGAAGCTTTAATCATTATTTTGGGACAGCAGCGATAAGAACATTATTGTATTATATATAATAATAGAGAATTATAGCTAGTCGAAAGAAGACCAAGGTCCATCCAGTTCGCCTTCATTCCACCTTCCTGACAGTCGCTTGACATGACATGTCCCAAATTATATACTGAATCCCCTCCCCCCTCCTCCCCTGATATTATTTTCTAAACGAAATCCATCTAATGTGTTCTTGAGACAAATGGCACTTTCTGCTCCCATCGTCTGTCTCTCTAGGGAGCCCGTTTACTCCGGTTACTACTCGTTCTCTGAAAGGTTTGTCTTGAGGTTTACCCGCCCCCCCCGCCCCTCTTACCCCCTCTAAGGATTATTATTATTGTTATGTTTCAGACTCATAAGTGACACGATGTCAAGTGCTCTGTGTAATGTTGGTCCTATTGCCAATTGATACTGTGTTCTGTTTGGCCAATGTTCAACCTCAGCTGTGCGCAGTCTTTGCAGTTAAAGAGCCTGGCTTCAATCTGTGTCTCGGGCTTGTCAGCGGAGCCAGAGATGAGCAGCGAAGAGCAGAGAACAGCACCATAAATGTACAAATCGAATTAGTCAACGGGATAATATGCACGGATTTCCAGTTGGCAGTTGACCCAAGCCTCGTAAACCAGATGAAGACGCAGGCAATAGCTGAACTGAAAGTGACTTGGCAACAGGATGATGGATGAATGAGGCCTCTTCTTACTGAAAATTGGCCAGTTTTTTCACATCCCAGCTACCACTGATGTTCCCCCGACCCTCTCTGTGAGGATACGTACACAGATCTTTGCTCAATCAGTGACCTTAGGCGAATGTGGTGTCTTAATTTGCCATTGCGGATCCCTCAAATTTATATATAATTCATATATTTTTCTAACCGCTCCTTATAACTCGATTCCTTTTTAATGTGCACACGGATAATGAAACATCGCCCGGCTCCGCCACTGCCTCTCCCCTCAGTTAGATCTAGGCTTGACTACTCCAACTCCCAAGTCTTGAGACTTGCCTTGAAGGAGGCAAGAGAGGAGGCGAGGTGAAGGGACTGTGGGTGCAGTTCCAGAGGGTGGGGGGCAGAGAGGCTGAAGGCCCGATCGCTGATGGTGGGGTGGACCAGGCCAGGCCGGGGAACGTGGAGAAGGCCGGAGCCTACTGAGCGGAGGAGGAGGAGGACAAGTCGATGTGGAGTTAGCAGGTCGCAGAGATAGGGAGGGGTATAGTCTGCTCAATGCTATATCGGAAGCCCATAATGTGAGCGCTGAACCTGGAGTGGTTTGATTACCTGAAACTTGTGTGTGAGTCTAATCCCAATTGTCATCGTGAAACACTAAACTGTTTGTGTTTGCGTTAGACTGTTTGTGGGGGACGCTGCCGGGCGCGATTGGCTGCCGCGTTTGGCCCATGAAACACAGTCACTACACTTTGCAGTGCATCCTGTGAAGCGCTTTGAGACGTCATAAGGCGCTGTATCAAACGCGAGGATTATTATTATTATTATTATTACGTTCATTCTAAGGAAAAGCTGCTGTAAAACAGTTGACAAGTGCAGGAGCAGATCCCTGTCACTGGCTTCCCTGTGTGTCCCGTTGTTCCCAGATTCCGTACTCGGAGCTGGGCGGCAAGGTGCTGGTGATGGCGGTGTACGACTTTGACAGGTTTTCGAAGCATGACGCCATCGGTGAGATCCGCATCCCGATGAACACCATTGACCTGGCTCACGTGATCGAGGAGTGGCGAGACCTGGAGTCAGCCGAGAAGGAGGAGGTGGGGAGGCTATTTTCTCAACCGTCCCTGATCTTCTGTAGTATTATATCCAGCGCCCATCCAGAGATGAGTCCTCCTCATCAACAACACGTGATTTTGCACAGCGCCTTTCAAGTTGGGAGGTCATCCCAAGGCGCTGGACAGTCAGGGACTTGGACCCGAGCTGGGGGTTGGGATCAGGAGGGGTGGAGCGCAGAGAGGGTAGGGTAGGAGGGTGACCGGTCGAAGAGAAAGGTCTTGAGACGGGCCTTGAAGGAGGCAAGGGACGGAGGGAGGGAGCGAGCTGAACAGACTGTGGGTCATCACAATGTAGTTGCCAAGGATTTATTCAATGTTACACTTAAGTTTCAGTGAGAGCAAGGTGACCCCATAGACTAAAGCTTTATTTGTTATTCCCAGTACTGCCAGTCCCTGAACTGCCGATCGTTCATATTGTGAAATCCTCATTAACATTCTTCTGGTTTGTTAAAGCAAGAGAAACTGGGAGACATGTGCTTCTCCCTACGCTACGTCCCGACAGCAGGAAAGCTCACCGTCATCGTACTGGAGGCCAAGAACCTCAAGAAAATGGATGTGGGAGGATTATCAGGTAGACTGGCCACAGCGCTGTAAAATGTCATTGCGAGCAATAATCACTGCATTCGATAGAGCACTTGGTAACACCACACGTCTGACAGATCAACAAGGAGATCTTTCACGTGGAGAATTGCCATTATTACGCACAGCAGAAAACAGGAGATGAATGGAGAGGAGACCTATATATATTTATGAACATCGGAACAGGCCATTCAGCCCCTCGAGCCTGTTCCGCCATTCCATTCGATCATGGTTGATCTGTACCTCAAGTCCAATTACCCACCTTTGCCCCATATTCCTTGACACCCTCACCTAACAAACATCTATCCACCTCAGTCTTGAAAATTTGACATATCCATTTGTCTTTGATTAATTCATTGTATTACTTATCCTTTGGATGAGACGTTCCACCAAAGCCAGTCAGTAAGAAAAGGGAGTTTATCCCAGCGTCTTGCCAACAATTCCCCAAACAAAATTGGTCACTTACTCCATGACTGTTAGTAGTGGGATATTGCTGTGTGCAAATTGGCTGCTGCTGTTCGCTCGCACAATACACAGGCTCACAGCAACGCGACAAGGTACAAAATAAAAACAGAAGTCGCTGGGAACGCTCAGGTCAGGCAGCATCTGCGCGGCGAGGAAAGTGAGTTAACATTTTACGTCGATGACCACTGTGATAAGGTGCTGTATCAGATGCAAGGATTATTATTATCATTATTGTGGGCCTGTTTCATTTCAAATAGTCTGTTGTTTTAATGATGAGCTCAACTCCGCCAGATCCCTATGTGAAGATTCACCTCATGCAAAATGGCAAGCGGCTGAAAAAGAAGAAGACCACCATTAAAAAGAACAGTCTGAACCCTTATTACAACGAGTCCTTCAGCTTTGAAGTTCCCTTCGAGCAGATTCAGGTATGACAAGGCCTCTCCTGCGTATTTGCAAAGCTAAATCGGAACACATTTGTGTCCTGCCCACGGCCTCGCTCCTTCCTGCCTTGCTCCGTGACCTGCTCAAGCCATATCAACCCGTCCGCTCCCTCTGCTCAGCGGGCTCCGGTCTGCTTCACCACCCCCGCCCGGCCCGTCCCACCATCAGCGGTCAGTCCTTCAGCCTCTACGCACCCTCTTCTGGAACTCCATCACGCAGTCCCTTTGCCTCTCGCCCCCTCCGTTGCCTCCTTCAAGGCCCGTTCTCGAGACCCTCCTTTTCAACCCCGTCTTCGGTCACCCTCCGACCCCCAACCCTCCCCGCCCTCCATCCTCCTGATCCCAACTCCCAAATTAATGGCTATCCAGGGCCTTGGCATGGCGGAGTGTAAATGTAATGTGTTGCTGTTGCATCCCATCTGTTTGCTAACAGCCTCACTTTGCAGAGAATGAGAGGTGGAGAGTGTCTGAAATGGTTTCTGGTTCAGTTTTACAAGCAACGAGGTGTGAAGTGGCCATTGAATGGCGGAGCTTTGGGGAAAGGCTCTGAAAGTATTCTTACGCAACAGCCGCGGTTCAGTCCTATTTTTGAATCCATCGCACTGCCGAGTCGTCATGGAAACCCACTGAGGTTGCCAATACCTCCCGTCTCTCCCAAGTGCGAAAAGATCTGTGTGACAGTGACACCTTTCAAATTCCTCAACACCGTCTTCACTGTACAGATGGGAGCAGAATCCCCCCCCCCCCCCCCGCCACACGTCTTTACCGACGCACGGAGCTAAGAAGGATTCGCAGTCAGCCCACAATACATAGTCATTTCATAGGAACGTAAAAATATAGGAACAGGAGGAGGCCATTCAGCCCCACGAGCCTGTTCCGCCATTCTATTAGATCATGGCTGATCTGTACCTCAACTAAAATTACCCATCTTTGCCCTCGTAACCCTTAATACCCTAACCTCGCAAACATCTGTCCACCTCAACCTTGAACATATGCCATCCAGCCATCCAGAGCCTTTTGGGGGAGAGAGTTCCAGATTTCCATTGCCCTTTGCGTGAAAAAAGTGCTTCGCGATTTCACTCCTCGTTTTAAGAGTTGTTCTGGATTGGAGGATATGGTTTATATTTTATATCACTTTACAGTACGTTCTGTGATGCGCTTTGAGAGACCTCAAGGACACGATAAGGCTCTATATCTAATGCAAGGATTATTATTATTATTATTATTATTACAAGAGCAAGCTGCGTGCTGTGCTTCAATGGTTTTGGCATAATATTGGATAAACATTCCCCTTTTCTTTCCAACCATTTAAAAATAATAGTAATTTGGTCACTTCAATCCACGGCGGTTTGTGGGACGCTGCTGTGCCGCGGTTGGCTGCCGCGTTTCGGGCTTTGCGGTCTATCCCGCGAAGCGCTCCGAGACGTCTCGAAGACCTGACAAGGCGCCCCGGGCGTTCGAATGCGAGGATTGTTATTGCTGTCATTTGGTTTGCAGAAAGTCCAGGTGGTGCTCACAGTCCTGGATTACGACAAGCTCGGCAAGAACGAGGCCATCGGGAAGTGCTTTGTGGGGTTCAATTCCAGTGGGGCTGAGCTGCGGCACTGGTCTGACATGTTAGCCAACCCTCGCCGGCCAATAGCTCAGTGGCACACCCTCCAGCCCGAAGAGGAGGTGGACATCGCCCTGGGAATCAAAACGTCGTGATACACCTCTCTCATCCTTTAGGAGTCGCAGTAGTTGAATAAGCTTTGAACTGCTGTTTGTTTTCGTGGCTATTTGTAAAATATATTACAGACGAGTTGTTGAGCGAGGCTGCACTTGTAGCTTGCGCCTGTTTCAGGACGTCGGAGTACGTGCAGGTTATCCTCCTGAATAACCTAAGGTGTCTGTCTCTCTATTTCCCCTGACAGTTTGTGGTCCATGGTTATATTCAAGGGGCTGTTTTTATTCCGGATTCGGATGTATTGTTATTTCCATTTTGATTTGTAGCGTCGTGTGCCTATGTTGTACGGGGAGGTGGGGGTGTGGGGGGCGGGCGGGGGGGGGGGGGGGGTAGGGGGACGAAAGGAAAGACGGCGAATGGAAATGGAAGGAACGAACAGAGAGAGAGAGAGAGAGAGAGAGAGTGAGAAGGTTAAATAAAAAGGGAAAAAGAGCTTTACGCCAACCCTCAAGAGGGCAAACAGAATACAGTTGACAAGTAGAATTCTATTTTGTGAACAGAACTTTGATCTGTTGAATAAAAACCTAAGTTATTGTTCCTCGTCTCTCTCCTGCTGATTCATCCGTACGTAACGACGGCGTTATTCCAAGCCCGAGACTTAATTATATTAAATATTCTGGCAGAGAAGCCCGGGGGGGGGGATCGTTGCGTCTGCATTTTCACAGGCACTTCACTTTAAAAGCTGCCTGTTTTTTTTTATTGGGGGCGAGGGACAAAGTATTGCGGGAAATTTTTATTTGCCCAGCCGGGCGTCTGACCCCACGCGGAAACCCCTTCGCCCGCTCGGGGGCGTCCGCTCCTTATTCAGAGCGACAGCAACCGGTTTCGATAAAACTCTGAAGAACCACCAAAAATCGTTAAGGAATAAGAAGAGGTCCAACGGTTGGATTACCAGCGCCTCGTCACGTCCCGCGAGACGGCCCCAAAGGGCTCCGCAGGGTGGATCCCGCACCGGGACCCGGCCGTGACGCAAAGGGCACGGAGAGAGAGAGAGAGAGAGAGGGGGGGGCGCGAGCCGTCGCGTGCGCTCGTGTCGGAGGTTTGGGGGCCGCGTCGAGCTGAACCTTCCGGATGATATTTTACGCGTGGCGGAGTTAAAAGGGTCTCCAAACAGTGACGCCCGAGGGACCCCGGTGGTTCCACCACGTCCATCCCCTCCAGCTCCGCTCCTGTGTTAAGGCGCCCTCTTCAGGGACGGGTTCTCGTTGCTGCAGGTCTCGGTTCCTCGGCACTGTTTCCCCGATTTCCGGCGCGTTTTCCGGGATCTTCGGTGTTTCCCAAACCCCCACCCCCACCCCCACTCCCCACCCGGGGTCTTGGGCGGGATTCGCTTCTTCATTCAATCCCCGAGGACAAAACTGGGAGACGACTCCAGCCCTCCTGTGCCGCGACGACGACGCCGCCGCCGACCACCACCACCACCTCCGCCGAATCGCACGCGGGTGGTGGACGTCCCGAGGCGCTGGACGGTCCCAAGCGCCGGTGAGCGGTGGGGGGGTGGGGGGGGGGGGGGTCGGGATCGCGGAGGGCGGAGGGCAAGGCGGCTGTTCGGAGGGGGGTGGGCGGAAGGAGGGTGAACGAAGGCACGGCCGAAGAGGAGGGTCTTGAGATGGGTCTTGAAGGTCTCCCATCCCCCCCCCACCCACCACCCCCCACACAGAGGCCAAAAATATGGAGCCCGACATTTCGGACGGACCGCCCCGGGGTGACGGGGGGGGGAGTGGGGGTGGGAGGGGTCGGGTTTGGGTTTGGGTTGGGGGGGGGAATCGAACTCGGGTCCCTCTCGCTCCGCTTCTTCTTGTTGTTGTTGTTGTCACTGTGTGCCCAGGACAGACCCGCGCGCCTGCGCAGTCCCCCCCCCCCCCCGGGCTCCGCTCGCGCAAAAACCGTTGCTCCACGTGGCGGTTGTTGCCCTCGTCGCCCCTGGCAACCGCGTCCGAGCCTGAGCCCCGCCCCCCCAACCCGCCTGACAGGAAGTCCCGCCTCCCATCCAGGCCTCCCATTGGAGGAAACGGCGGGCCGGGCCGGAAGTGGCGGGCGGGCGGGAGGCGGGGACGGGCTTTCCATTGGCTGAGTCGGCTGCCCGTCAAGTCCTGGCCCGTCGGTGGTGGTGGTCGTCGGTCGTCGGTCGTCGTCCTCTGGTGAGCGGCGGTCGGTGGTCGTGAAGGGAAATGGGGCGGGTTGGCTGGGGTGGGTGGGCTCTGTGTGGTGGGGGGGGGGGGAGGAGGTGCCCGTAAGCACCGTCGAAGAGGAAGGTCAGCCCGGACTTCGGGTGGAGGGAGGGAGAGAGGGGGTGTGGGGGGGGAGAGAGAGGGTGGGGGGAGAGAGGGTGTGGGGGGGGGAGAGAGGGGGAGAGAGAGAGGAGGGGTGGGGGGGAGAGAGGTGGGGGGAGAGGGGTGAGGGGGAGGAGAGAGAGGGGTGGGGGGGGGCGGGAGAGAGAGAGGGGTGGGGGGGGAGAGAGGTGGGGGGGAGAGGGGTGGGGGGGGAGAGAGAGAGGGGTGGGGGGAGAAGAGGGGGGGGGAGGGAGAGAGGGGGTGGGGGGGGGGGAGAGAGGTGGGGGGGGGAGAGGGTGGGGGGGGGGGAGAGAGGTGGGGGGAGAGAGAGTGGGGGGGGGGGGGGAGAGAGAGAGAGAAGGGGGGGAATAGGCGGAGGGATTGAGGGAAAGCGCGACGAGATTCGGGGCTGAAAGCGCGGCCACCCATGGGCGGTGGTGGGTGGAGGGCTGAGGGACGAGCAGGAGGACGGTGGTCGGTGCCAGTCGAGGGGAGGCGCTGATCCCCCCTCCACCACCCCCCTCACCCGGGGGAGTGGATTTCGGGGGAGTGAGCGAGGAGGGAGGGGAGGGAGGGAGGGAGGTGCCAGGGAGTGAAGGGGTTTGAACACACAATAAGATATCAAGTCATCGAGACGCCTCCAAAGCGCTATATATATATAGCTGAGCTACACGATTGCCGAGGGAGGGAAGGCTGGGTTCGCAGTGGGGTCCAACCTCCCCCCCCCCCCCCCCCCCCCCCCCAGCGCTTGACCGCACTCTGCTTTCTCTTCAGGGTTTCACTCGCGGGGAGATGACCGCCTGCGGGACCGGAGATGGGTTTGGATCGGTGACCTGGTGGGGGTTCAGCCCCGCCATGGATTTCCAGAAAGAAAGTGAGAACGTATTTGGAAATAGCTTTTATATGTCCCAATCCGGTCGCGTTCAAAGGTTTCTCTCGTAATTGGTTTAGTGCCAGAACGTCGCTTAACTCTGCCTCGAATGATGCAGTGATTTTATTGTGAGCCTGCCATTGTATTACTCACTCAACTATCACTTTCCTACATCACGCTGCTCCAGTCTGCTAAATAAATAATACTACTTGCATTTGGTATAGTGCCTTATCGTGTCATTGATACGTCTCAGAGCGCTTCACAGGCTACACTGCAAAGTGGATTGGCTGTGTATTATGTGGGTGAAGCTAAGGTAACAACAACGACGCCATACAATTTACATTTACATAGCTCGTCTCATGTTGGGAAGACGTCTCCCAAAGCGCTCTGCGATGCCACTGTTCTGATTATCTTCTGTTGTTTAATAGAGTCATTTTATTTTTTTCACGATTCCTGATGCCTTCCTTATTTTCAGGTCCATCTGTCTCTACGGAGGCTCTCGGACTACAAGAAGGTGGCCTCCCAGAACTGAATATTCTAATGGTCGGGGCTGGTGACAGCCGACATCTCCTAACAACTCTCTGTCGGGCTCACCGCTGGGCACAAAGAAAGATTAATGTAAGTCAAGGGCCCGGGGCAACTACTCTGATAAATATTACAGTGATAAATCGTGCTTGACATGGTATATAAGGTGTGTATTGACAATCACAGCCCTCCACCCCCTAATCCCAACTACCAGCGCCTTAGGACATCCTCCTGATGTGAAAGGCGCCATACAAATGTAATTTGTTGTTGTTGCTGTCTTGTCACAGTTTTACATTGTAGAAAACAATCTGGAGCTGATAGGACGACACCTGCTTTTTCTCAGTATTGCTCTGGAGAGATCCGAACAGATGGGCTTACAAGGTAAGTGCTTATTTAATGTTACATTCGACAGCAACCATTATTTCTACAGCGCCTTTCACATCAAAGGACGTCCCAAGGCGCTACACAGTCAGGGATTTGGATCCGAGCTGGGCATTGGTATCAGGAGGAGTGGAGGGCAGCGAGGGTAGGGGTAGGAGGGTGGGCGAAGGCGCGGTCAAAGAGGAGGGTCTTGAGACATGCCTTGAAGGAGGCAAGGGAGGGAGCGAGGTGAAGCGACTGTGGTATGGAGTTCCAAAGGGTAGGGGCAGAGAGGCTGAAGACCTGACTGCAGTTGGAGGAGCGGGCCGAGGAGGTGGAGCAGGCTGAAGCTTGTTGAGCACGGGGAGCGGACAGGCTTATCTGGAGTTAGCAGGTCACAGAGATAGGAAGGAGCAAGGCTGTTGGAGGACTTTGAAGGTGCGGATTGCTGCTCTTTAGTGTAGAATATGCCAAACTTCATGTCTGTAGTTCAATGGCTCTTGAGAAGTTTTGCACAGAAAGAAATGAGAATTCTTGACTTTTCTCTCTGCAGAGAAAAGTGAGCTGTTGCTGGAGCTGTTCGGTAACAGTCTGATTCGCAGTCAGACTGCAGCCTACCTGCAGGAAAAGGCCAATCTCTTCATCCGATATGTAACCGACCCAGATTATCTTCAGGAGAAAATGCCATTGGTCGACCTATCTGCCCTGAAGGTAGGAAATTAATAGCAACAGCAGGACATTCAATGTACAATGAAGCCTCTTGAGCCATTTGCTTTGTGTAGAATAAAGTCTATCACTCTCACGACATTGATTTTAATTTAAAAGTTTCTCCTTCCTTTGCAGTTTAAAGAGAGAGACCTGCTGGAAGGAACCTTTAAGTTTTGGAGGAATCCTGACCAAAAGGTGTTTCAGATTAATAAATTGTGGGATTTACGGAACAGGAAGTATTTGGGAATCCGTTATGATAGTCGGAAAGGAGTCTATGACTGGGACTTGCACATGAAACTGCACGAGAGAGGAGTAAGTAAAGGGAAGCCATAGGAATGGGCAATATTCTGTTACAATATGTTAGATACTTGTCTTCCATTCTTAGTTATGTGTGTAGTTGGTGGCACGAGATCTGAGCAGCATCCCAAACAGGTTATTTTAATGGGAGGGAATACTTTTGGTTAATAAAATGTTGTCTATTTGTATGGGATACTTTCTCAATTTGTCTTTGAAGTAATCCCTTCAGGGACCACTTTGTACTAAAAGCGCTGTCTTTATTTATATTTATAAACCGGAAACATTACATAGAATGATACCAAACTTGCATTTATACAGCGCCCTTCACGATGGGAAGTGTGAAGCAATACACACTGCATTGCGATGTTCCAGTTATTTCTTCATAACTGTTTTTGTTGTAGGCAGTAGTAATTAATAATCAAGAATACTTCAGGTGGAGAGAACAAGGCTTCGCTTTTGAGGTCCGAGAGGGGGTGTACGATGTGCCCAACAAAACACTGGCTTCCGGGCTGCTTGTGAATCATGTACGTATCCTGTATCCTGAATCATGCTCATAACTCAGGTGTTCATTTAATATTGTGCTTTTACAGTGAACAGAATTGTACGCAGTACTCCAGGTGCGATTGGATGAGTGCTCCTGTTCCACTCTATTTTTCCCAAAAATGATAATAATGATAATAATCCTTGCATTTGATATAGTGCCTTATCGTGTCATTGAGAGTCACAGAATATATTATAAAGTGGATTGACTACTGCTTTTCGCCCAACAAAATACTGTGACTGTGTATTTTGTTGGGCGAAACGCAGTAGCCAATCGCGCACACGATAATTCTCAGGGTTCAATTTTCTATACCGTATATGACCCGTATATGAAAGCTTCAATAAGAACTCTTCCGTATTGATCCATTTCTGTTGTTCTTTCCTCCTTTGTCTGTGATACACTTATCGTAATAATAATATAATTAATGAATACCTTCTGAATTGTGTGAAGAGTCCAGTGCCCTGCTCGTAATCCTGCGTCTCTTCTTGCAGAAAGGGGAGAAGGTTGCTGCCCGGGGGTTTTGGGGAGATATTGTCACAAGTCCGTTCATTGCATTTGGAATTGAAACTGAAGAGAAAAGCCTTCTAAAGACAGCAAACGGCATCCATGTAAAGGTACTAAATCAGTCCCACTCTTTTGAGGTCACTCCTGAATTTGCTCTGTCAACATAGAAGCAGGAGGAGGCCATTCAGCCCTTCGAGTCTGTTTTGCCATTCTATTAGATCATGGCTGACGTGCACCTCAACTCTAATTACCCACCTTTCCCCATATGCCACGATACCCTGACCTCAGAAACATCTATCCACCTCAGTCTTGAGAAATTGAATGGAACCAGCATACTTGTAAGTTTAACTTTATTTCCAATAATGTAACTCTTCACTGTATTCATCCATTGCATTGCAAGTACAAGACTTACATTGTAGACAAATACATTATATTGTCATAAGTCCGTTCATTGCATTTGGAATTGAAACTGAGGAGAAAACTAAGTGCAAAGTAATGAAAACCTGAAAATGCTTGTTTGTGTCTTCGTTTTCCGTAGACAGCACAGAATATCTCCCATTACAACATAACAGCCTTGTTCCATGAACTGGTGACGCGGGAGAAATATTCGCCAATGGAACAACCATCGCAGGCCACCTTGTGTGAGATTTTTGAGGAGGAACCAACGAAAGTGGAGACGGCAAATGATCCTCACAATACGAAGAATAAATCGACTGACAACCCTGAAGAGCAACACGATGTGATGAAGGAAAAAGTGCAGGCAGAAGTGCAGGAAAACAAGCTAATGGGTGACAAAATGTCTGAAGGAAGTCATTCTGCAAGTGAATATGGTAAGCTTTAAGAATAATAATCCTTGCATTTGAAATCACACCTTATCACAACTTTGAGACGTCTCAAATGCTTCACAGGATACACTGTAGAGTGAATTGACTGTATATTTTGTGGGCGAAACCCGGCAGCAAATTGAGCACAGCAGCGTCCCATTGGAATTGAGTACCCAAGTTTTTTATTTTTTGAAGTGATTATTACCCCCGGAAAAGAGATCCGCCAGTTGACTAACAACCGGGTTCCTACTTACTCCTGGGTAAACAGAGGCGTGTGGAGTAAGGAAACTTGCTCAACGTTTCACCCTGCTCGGCAATCGAACCCGGGTCCTCTCGTGCTTGCGGCAAGTGCTGTAACCACTGAGCTGCCGGACTTATAACTAAATTCAGCCAGAGAAGTAGAGTCGTTTCAAGAGCAATCCTGCAGCGAAATGAAATGAAATGATAAATGGGCCTCCTTTATGAGTTGGAAGCTTGTGATTTCAGGACCCGGTTCCCATATCGATCTGCGAGATCTATATCCGAGAGGACAATTCATTTCCTCTCTTTGCTTATTACCTCTTTCAGACCTGTGACGTTTGGTCATTGTACCAGTTCCAATATTTCTGTTGTTTAATGTCTGCCTTTCTCCCTCAGATTACCTGCCTCTGCCTCATGTGAAGATCCACTTCTTGCCACTAAACTGCGTACCGCACCTTCACAAGAAGAGCAAATATACCAACCTGTTTAATGTGATCTACTTCTCCTGCAGGTACTGTATCTACTAACTACTATTGGCTGCTTTGCGCATCCTTTCATTGTAATAACTCCATTAACATTTGTTGGTCTCATGATAATAATCGTTGCATTTTATCTAGCCTCTTATCACGCCGTTGATCCATCTCAAAGCGCCATATAAAATAAATTGTAAAGTCTAACTATGGTTCAAGAAGCAAAGATGTGATAAAGCAGTATAAGCTATAATTACTTTCTGATAGTTTCCTTTGTTTCTCTTACTGTATCTCTCAGAAATGCTCTTTACTTTTCTAGTATGCTTGACCAGCTGAAGCCAGAGCTCAAACAGACTGCCGCACCTCAAGCAACTCTACTTGTGGAGATGGCAAAGTAAGTCTCTCAATGATAATTCAACAACAACAACTTGCATTTATACAGCGCCCCCCTCATACAGGGTAGCGTCCCAGAGAGCATGAATTCACGTAGAACCACAGAAATGCACCACACATTAATTAGGACGGCGTTTGACCCATTTCTTCATACCAGCGTTTCCTCCCAAGAAATATACAGTTGCCCACAAAATATACAGTCACTGCACATTACAGTATATCCTGTGAAGTGCTTTGAGACATCTCGAAGATATGATAAGGCGCTATATCAAATGAAAGATCATTATTATTAAGAAGCTGTCCATTCTACTTGCTCTTTCTCTGTCCCCTCTAATAGTATTTCTCTGCTTGTGTTGGTCTAATTCTCTTTGAAATGACCCAAATTCACTTTGCTCTAACACCAAGGGCAGGGCGAAATGTTGGCCAAGTTTCCTTACCACAAGCACGTGTCTCTGTTCACCTAACAGTAAGTAGGAACCCTGTTGTTGGTCGATTGGCGAATCGCTTTTCCAGAAGTAGTATCACATTTGTCAGGCTAGTAAAATAAAGGATAGGGAACTCAATATAACATTCCCCCTCGATATAAAAGGCACCTAAAACATTTAGATTTAATAAAAAAAACTTGTTTTTCCACCTGAATAGGTTTCTGCTGGATATCCAGAAAGATTTAACAGCTAAGTTTGCCAGCCGGGCGACCGAAATAGCAGAAGAGGCGGGATTCGTGCCGTTTGGGACTATGAACGGGGAGGAATCCTTTGCACGGTTTGAACTGAAGGTTGAGCCGTGATCTTTCCCCCTCCCTCCCTGGGAGGGTAGAGGGTACCTCGATCGGAATGGAAGCGACTCACGAGCTATGTGGTATCTTGTTCTTATCCCGGGCAATGACGCTTCTGGTAATAGAGCTGAACTGAGTCTGCCTGAGCAGGACATATTCATGCAAACCTGGAGCCACAACATGGCTTCAACGTAGATGTCTGAGTAGATTGATGTCTTGTGGTTGTTTGTGGTATTTTAAGTTTCTGGGGTCAAAATGCAAGCTTTTAGAAGTAACATGGAAGACAGAATGAATGAATTATTGCAGTGAACTTGGAGACTGCAGAATTTAATCCTGTTCAAGGTTGTCCATTGGGAGGTGCTGCCAATCTCCTTGACACCCTTTTCAGTTGTGGGTTGAATTTCATTTGGAATAAACGTGGTGCCTGCAAATCACCAGAATAAAGACTTACTTCTGTCAACTGGCATTTTCTCACTGTTGCCCGTTTTAAAATGTGTCCGGAGCGGAATGTAGTGTAAGTACTTGTCTTCCTTCCAAACCCATGACAACAACGCGTTAATTTGTTTCACGTCGGGAAGACGTCGCTGGCGGGGGAAGAGGTTAGGGGCTAGGAGGGTGGCACGGTGGAAGAGAAGCGTCTTGAGAAGCGCCTTGAAGGAGGGAACAAGGCGAAGGGACTGTGGGATGGAGTTCCAAAGGGTGGGGGCAGAGAGGCTGAAGGCCCGACCACCGATGCCAAACTTTTTCTCTTTAAGTTTGTGATGGTTATAAATGGGAGTCCGTTGTTCTGCATTAGTGGTGGTGTGGTGAAGATTATTTCCTTTTAGTTGTGTTTTGTTCAATGGCCTTTTTACAGGCAGCTTTGCTACCATTAGTGCTGCACTGTCGTAGAATGACACTTTCCGCCTCGTTCAGCTTTTGAATCTTTTGAAGATGATAATCCTGTGTGGACGGCAGCGAGTAAGTACATAAGTGGAAGCCGTATTATTGCAGGCGCCTGCTGATTGAATGTCTGAAGTAGACGCAGACAGTAAATTGAAAATGTGGTGGATTTGAATATCCAGCGACAAGCCACTAAATCTATTGCAATTAGCACCAGAAAGCTTTCATCTAAAGTGCTGCTGCTCTTGAAGTGCTCCACCCGCAAGACTCGGTGGCACTGCAGCCTTTGCGCACGCAATGCCACCAATAGTCATAGGGTTGTGCTGCAGTCCTCACGCTTGCAGTACCACTAACAGGGCACACAGCAGTACTGTGGCTCTCCTTCAGTGCCACGACCAGGGCTCAAGTGCTACTGCCCGTATTTATACACTACTCAGTACAGTACAGATCTGGGGAGTCCTGTGGCTCAGTGGTTAGAGCAGTTGCCTTGCAAGCGAGAGGACCTGGGTTCGATTCCCTGGCAGGGTAAAAAAAAAAGTTGGGCAAGTTTCCTTGCTCCACACGCCTCTGTTTACCCAGCAGTAAGTAGGAACCCGGTGGTTAGTTGATTAGTGGATCACTTTTCCGGGGGGTAATAATTACTTCAAAAAAAATAATAATTATAATTTTGGTCACTCAGTCACCTATATAAATGCACAGTGTTTAGCGCAAAACTTTTTGAAACCAGGCCGTGATTTGTAAACGTTTATATATTCTCGTGTGTGTCAAGTCTCAAGTATTTAGATTGCCGGCATTTCTTGCCAGGCAGCCCTTAACATTCTTCATCCTCCATTATATTGTGTTGTATCTTACGGGCGAGCTTTACAAGCCTTTGTCTCGTATTAATCCATTAGGTGCCTCTGCATCAAAATATCCTGCAGCTGTCTTTGATAGACTCAGTTGCCAAAAATAAAACCTTATTGTATTAACTAAGCAGCAAAGTTGAAGCCTTTTAAAGCTGCTTCTATTTTTAATTGGGGCCGGGGGTGGGATTAATGTTCCCAGAGTAAAATGAAGTACTGGGGGCTAGGATCACTGCAGCTGGAGATTGATGTTCGGAGAGGAGGATTATTAGAGGGTCAGGGGGGCGAGAAGGAGAATTAGATGAGATAGTTCATGTAGAGAGAAAACACCAGCACAGACTACTATAACCAAGAACTAAACTGGCCTTATTCTTCAACAGGTGGAGGGAGGCCTGTAGCTTCATTGGTTAGAGCACTCACCTCGTAAGTAAGAGGACCCGTGTTCGATTCCCGGGCAGGGAGGAATGTTAGGAAAGTTTCCTTACTCCACACACACACACACACCGGGGTGATAATCACTTTTAAAAAATCGCATAATAATAATGTGGTCACTCAATCCACGACTGTTTGTGGGACACAAACACTTATGCCCAATTGGCTGCTGCGTTTCGCCCACTAAATATACAGCCAATTTACTTTACAGTGTATTCTGAAGCTCTTTGGGACATCATGAAGATGTGATAAGGCGCTAGATCAAATGCAAGGATTATTATTCTTATTAGATATTTATTTTTGCTGCGATTTTATCTCATTGTTCCATCCCTGTGAGCTTTGTACTCCACAGGATTCTGAGACACAGTATATCAACAACAAGAATACATTTCATATCGTGTTCCAATGATGACTCAGTCTGTCTGTCTGATACTCACCTGTTCAGGAACACTCACCTGTTTCCCTTCAGATAGAGGCACCATCCCATCCTGTCTCTGTGGTTCAGTGATTAGAACTTGTTGACTGAGCCCCAATGTCCTGTCTTGTTGTCCTCAAAGATCAGGGTTGTGTTAATCCTGGGTGAATGTTTGCAGAGGGATGATACAGATATGTTCGTGTTGCCAGCTCTGTGCAATGAGAGTTAGGCAGGTGCTGATTGAGTGAGTTGCACAGCTGTCTACGAAGAAGACTATGTCAGCTGAGGGTAACCCAAGTACTGTTGTGTGTAAACGTTAAATTCCTGTCACTTCTATCAGATTGCCATCTTGTCGTCAGACCTTGTGAGCTCTCAGGGAGGATGAGACTGAAGACATCTTAAATTAATAATAATCCTTTGCCTTTGATCCAGCGCCTTATCATGTCATTGAGACGTCTCAAAGCGCTTCACAGAATATACTGTAAAGTGAATTGATTGTATTTTGTGGGCAAAACGTGGCAGCAAATTGCACACAGCAGCACAAACAGTCGTGGATTGAGTGACCAAATTTTTATTTATTTAGTCCGCTAATCGAATAACAACCTGGTTCCTACTTAACTGCTAGGTCAACAGAGGTGTGTGGAGTTAGTAACTCGCCTAAGGTTTCGCCCCACCTGGGAATAGAACCCAGGGCTCCGCCAAATATATCAGTGTAGAAATTAAACTGACATCGATATACATGTACTGCAGTCTGAACTTTTGGTCTGTTGCTTGCTGCGCACACACAAAGTTGCCTCTCTCCTGCAATCGGCTCCAGTCCCACACACCCATCGCACCATCCGCTCTTCAAACTTGTGTCCCCTGTACATCCCTCGATACCTGCATCGCCCATCAGTCCCTTATCTTCCAGTAACCGATATATATACACTCTTTGGAACTCTCTCCCTAAAATCCCTCTTCGTTGCGCGCGCTCTTACTCTCTCTGCCTTCAAAACCCTCCTAAAATTCAACCTCTTTGGGCCTTCAGTCACCATCTTCAACATCTCTGCCTCCCCTTCCCATTTCCCATCTTGCTTGTTGACTTATCGCTTTGCTATGCAATGTAAAACCACTTGTACCCATGCAAGTTGTATATACAAATGCTGTTTCTTCTGGGCTTCCTCTGTACACTGCTTTTCTCTTTCGCTATATCTTTCTTGCTGAGGAGCAGGACAGTGGTTTGAGGTTTACCAGACAGACAGCTAAAGCAGATGATAATAATCTTTGCATTTGATAAGGGGGGCACTTCAGAGACTGGAGGAGACGTCTCCAAGCGCTTCACAGAAATACTGTAAAGTGAATTGAATGTATATTTTATGGGTGAAGATGCTAACTGAAACAAGTTCTTTGGAGTGGGAAAGTAGAGGGAAATAAAGTCCACGGATTCCATTGCAACCTCTTGGGAATTCTCAAGAGGTATATTTCTCGGTGGTATATTTTGACAGTTTTCTCTTTGACTCTCAACATAAATTACTCTTCAGTAAATTGCAATGCTATTTAAAGAGTCTTCCCTCATTTTCCTCGGGGGGCGGGAGGCGGCCAAATAAAGAGAGGATCGAGTTTCCCGGCTAGTTAATGCTGCGTCTTCCTTTATCTCCTCACTCTCTGATTGACACAGGAGTGATCCACATCTCTCCCTCTTTGAGGTAAGAGCAATCATTTTGCCTTCTGTCGCTACTGCTTTCTTTAATCGCCTGCGGCTTAAAAACCTTCACTGTGTAGCCTTCCAGCAACTACCGTCTTCAGATTTAAAAATTGAAGTTGGGTAAATTTGGAAAATTCTTAGATCCAGTCTTCATTTGAAAGCTGGCATTTTTGGGTTAAGAACAGGCGAAAGACGGCGACCAAATCAAGACTAGAGTTTCTGAGATTCTGCTCAATCTTACAATTGAAGCCAATCGTCTTAAGACTGAGACGAGGAGAAATTTCAGATCTCTAACAGTGGTGGATTCCATTGGGGTACAGTTGTACAGGTGCTGAGCTCCTTACCGTAACTCCTTTGAGTGATCGCTCTTCATGAATGAAGAGGCTAGGCAGTGCGGTTAGGAGCATTGCACCTGAACCCGATTCCGTTCTCACCTGCGTGCTTCACAGGAGAGGGTTTTTAACCCCCTAAGTTTCTGACTGTGCGTCTAAACGTTTTTTATTATATTATTATATTACATTATTAGAATAAATGTGATCTGTGCGTGTAACCTGAGAAACAGCCCTGTTTTGTATATTACATTTCCATGATTGGGTCACGCAAGCGAGTGAGTGAACCTTCACGTACGAGAGTGTGAGTGCGCGTTGCACAACTGGGAAAGCAATCGCCGTACCACTGGACAGAGTCGTTCAAATGATCGTGTGACGTTGCTAAGTTCGGGTTGAGAATCGGTAGTTTCGTATTTGGGTTAAATACTGCATTCACCACAGACTCTTGAGATGGTAGTGGGAAAGTAACGAGGAAGTTTGCGGTTTGATCTGTGTGTTTTTTTGTCTCAATGAATATCATTAAATCGGTATTTGCATGAAACTATGCAGTCTTGCCATAAATAGATAATGGTGCAGACGCTAGGAATATTGGAACAGGAGGCAATTCAGCCCCTCGAGCCTATTCCGCCATTCTCTAAGATCTTGGCTGATCTGTACCTTAACTCCAATTATCCGCCCTTGTCTAACAAACATCTATCCACTTCAGTCTTGAAAATTTTAATTTTTTTTGTGTGGGGGGGGGGGGGAAAGAGTTCCGGATTTCCACCACATTTACATCTCTGGTAGTTGTTTGACGAAGAGGTGTCCGTCTAGAAATGGCGGTTCCCAGAGACTGACTTCTGAACAAAACTGCTGGCAAGGCAGGGCAAATTGGAGCTGAATGCCCAATGATCCTTGGTGTGCCCGGGGAATAGAAACATTCACATATGCAGGTCTGAATTTGTGAAGCTGTGGGATGAGGCTTACGGAATCTGCTGTTAAATAAATGTATTTCGCCCACAAAATACGCAGCCATTTCACTTTGCAGTCTATCCTGTGAAGCGCTTTGAGACGTCTCGAAGACGTGATAAGGCGCTGTATCAAATGCGAGGATTATTATTATTAAATCCATTTGGATTGGCATTCCCAAGTCTGGGTCACGCGCTTTCAGATTTCTTCTTCAAAGTTCATCCGACAAGGAAGAAAGAGTCTTGGGCAGTCAGGTACGTGTGATCAATACCATTCCTCGCTGTACTGCGTAAATAGTTAGAGCCCTTTAAGCAGCTTGTTGCTGTTAGTTTATAAGATCGTTAATCAAACATAAAATCCAGTGTTTACAACAGCGCGCTGCAGTTTTAAGTGCCTAAAATATTTTACTATTTGCCGCCACGAGAAGCAGCCTTGCATTTTTAAGGCGCGTGTCGTCCTGTCATTAATAGACCAATGTTTTACATGTCTCCATAGATGTGTCACTGGCATCACCTGTGCTGTGTCTGTCCCCAAGGCTGAATTATCTCACAGAAGAAGATCGATCTGTAGGGTCAGCACTCGTTCCTCCTGTCTCTAAAGTGCCCACACCCCCCCACACACCCCCCCCCCCCAATGAAAGATCTTCAAGTACCACCTATAAAACAATGAATCCATTTCACAATATATTCTGTGAAGCCCTTTGAGACGCCTCAAGGACGTGGTAAGGCGCTGTATGAAATGCAAGGATTATTATTACACCTCCTCCCCCCCACCCCCCCCCCCCCCCCCCAGCTGTTGTCTGCGGGTTAGAAGATTGTAGGTTCGAGACTCGTTGGGACGAGGCATTCAAACCAAGGTCCCAAGGGGACTGCGATTCACAGATGATCACACCTCAGGGCGGGTGAGTCCAATGCGGACCATTTTATGAACGAAAAGGGAGCGGTCATTAATTTTCGACTGCGCAGTGATAAATCACTCACTCCTGAGGAATTCCACACTGTCAGTGACTTAAATTTGGGTCAGGAAGGAGCTTCTGTAGGAACTGCAAAGCAATTTTAAGTTGACGCAGCTCTGATAGATAACAAGAACAACTTGCATTCATATAGCGCCCTTTACGTGGGGTCTGACCCCGAGCCGGGGGGGGGGAGGGGGGGGAGAGGGAGTGGGGAGGTGACCGTAAGCACGATCAAAAGGCAGGAATTGAAGGTGGGGAGGGAGGGGGCAAGGCGGAGGGATTGAGGGAAGGTTCGTTGGGTGGAGTGTTACTGTAAGGAGATTAGAAAGTGAGAGCAAGCACTGCTGGACAGAGTCTAACTAGACAGTCCCATTAACCTACAGTAACGTTAACTAGAACACTAATAATAGTTGGATTGAGTTAGTGACTGGAGCACAGTTAGCAGTCGGGTGGTTTGACATTTCCCCGGCAATATTAGGAGAGGTGTTTTCTGGAAGGATTCGCCAATCAACTAACAAACGGGTTGCTACCTTTGATAATAACAATCCTTGTATTTGATGTAACGCCTTAACGCGTGTTTGAGACGTCTCAAAGCGCTTCGCAGGACACACTGCGAAGTGAAACGATTGTGTATTCTGTGGGCGAAATTCGGCAACCAATCGCGCACAGCAGCGGCCCCGCAAACAGTCGTGGGATTGAGTGACCAATGAATTTTAAAAAATTTGTAGGAATTATTACCCCCCCACCCCAACCCCCCCCGGAAAGCGATCCGCCAATCAACCAACAAGTAGGGTTCCTACTTACTGCGTGTGCGGAGTAAGGAAACTTGCCTAAGGTTTCATTTCACTCTGTCTGGGAATAAAAACCAACCCCTGAGGCTTACCAGGCGAGTGCTCTAACCACTACGCACGATAGGACCCCCTTGCAATACGGGCACCAGAACAAACTCCACTAGTTTGTCGCAAGGACTGCAGTCGCTGTGTCTTCATCCACAACAGCACAAAAGCGGCAAGGTTGCAAACCGACCTTTAAACTTCAGCCGCATGTGTTCGCTGTTAACTCAGAAAGCATTTCAGTCGCATTCCTGCCAGATTATGCCGCTCATAGCAAACCACGCCAATGCCTCAGAATAGCCCGGATCCCACAGGGAGTATTGTAACAGAAGACCTTTTGTATTCCCTATTGTATTTCCGTGGGCCAGCTGACCAAATGTGGACGAGAGGAAAAGGATTATGTCAGCCGATTCCAGCCACATTAGTATTGTGTTCCTCTGGGCTAGGAACCTGATAGTAGCTGGAAAATGCCCAGCTGTCAATGAGATGTTGATTAAAAGTCTCTTTAGAATGCCTTTAAAGGTACTGCTCCTGTGTTGGGGAGTTAGTTCACGGTCACTCGGCCGTTGGGAGGGATGAAAATAAACCCAAAGCTCTGTAATGTAACCTGACTTTAGATGAAATACTGGCTCATTGTTCAGTAACGTAACCTGTCAAGCATTCACGTTGAAGTCACAAAGCTATCTCGAACTCTCGCAGTGACAAATGGTGTCCAGTCTCTGATGCCCTGTGGGTTGGTACAGTCGTGATGTGCTGGGTATCGCTGGCATGTTCAGTGGCATTAACGTGGGGTCAGCGTGGTCCTTGCTGGACGAGAAGGGAGAATTGCGCTGTACAAATGGGAAGGCATGGGAGCCGTATGGTTGGATGATAGATATATGGCCACGGTAATAGACACACTATGTACCTGACTGATCCTCTGCACTGGGTGTTCACAACGTTCTGTTACCCCCCCTCCGCGCCCCCCCATGTTCTTTTTTTTCTACAGTACAATGACAGGCCTAACGAATGTGAAAGAATGATGATAACTGCACTTAGAAGGACTCAATCGTATTCAATAAAAAGTGATTCACTGTATTTAGAGGATCGGTGTGCGTGGGTGCGCTCGTGCGTCGTGTGCGAGCGCCTTCATTTTCATGGCATCCGTCGCCGTGTTCTGTGCCAAATCTTCCCTAACAGGGATCGAACGAGTGAGGAGGAAGTTGCCGGTATCGGACATCGTTACGCTCGACTCCTCCTCTGCAACAGAAAGTGTAAATTCATTGTCAGGGGAGTAAAAACAGAGGGTAACAGGACTTTTGTGGACACCTTGAATATCGCTCTGCACCACTGTCCTGGGGTTCACCCCATTCAACACACGAATTGTCAGCCGTTCCCTGATTCTGGCTGTTTCTCTAAATAATAATAATAATAAAATCCACCCTAGATGATCAAAGAGAAACGCGTAAGGTGTTATTAATGGCTGTTTTGCTGTCCTCTGATTCCAGGTAAATCGCCAACATGTCCGACACCGAGGAAGTTGGTGATTATGAGTAAGTGTCCAGCCTTTCCTTTACACTCACGGAAACACCAGCACTGACTTACACTGACACCCGGAGTCCTGTAGCGTCGTGGTGAGGGCACCCACCTCGCAAGTGAGGAGGACCTGGGTTCGATTCCCGGGCTGGGCAAAAGGATGATATTATTATTCATTTACTATTTTCATTTTAAAACATTTTCAGTATCTAAGCACAAGAAGATTTTTCTGTTTAAAATTGACTAAAACCTTCCTCGTTGAGCAATGTATTTTGGCACGTTGTCGTTGTTTGATTACTAATCACCTTTTCATTTTCTCCTGCCAGAGAGCAACAGGAAGGTAAGCCTCATTTAATGGCTTGGGAGTCCCTATACATTATGTTGTGTTATGTCATATCCTATATGTGTGTCAAGTGCATCGGGAGAGATTGGGAGAAATTATTGATTGACGTATATTAACATTCTACCCGACCATTCGCCAAGATTTATTCTTTCACTGAAATTCGAGACTTTACAGTGTCAAAGATTAAGAGTTTAGCATTAACCTGTGAATGTGTTGCATGAGTGTTCATTCAGTGTCGTCATTCTAAGGGGATTCGCTGATCTTATTCATTGCTGAAGTGTTGAAATAAGACGCGCGGATACATCCAAAGATTGGCTGTGCTGTAAGGCTCTTCTTGGTGTATAACTAAGCTCCTGTTTGCTGTCACAGAGGAAGGTATGTAGTACAGAGGCTTTGCTCCTCTCGTGTTACCTTGGTTAGGCCAACACGGGTGATAGAAAATCTATTGATTTACTTCCTATCCAAATCCTTCTTATCTCCCTATTGCCCATCTTGCTTGGGCAACCATTCCATCTTTGTGAAGCACTTTAAGATAAGTACCTAAAGCTTGCTAAATGACTTGTTATAACTCACTGGGATGTTGGTGCTGCAGATTATGGCCAGTCTTCTCTGTCTGTCAGTCGCTGTGTATGTGTACGGACTTTTAGTTTGTTAGACTCCAGCAGTTACCCCAACGCACATTCTGGGCTCCCCCCACCCAAGCCTTGGCTCTTGCGAAACTGCGCCTAATACTTTCTGAAATTGGGTAAGCAGGGTGCATCCCTCCGGGGGGTGGGGGGTGGGGGGCGGGGGTTCGGGCTGGGTGGGGAGAGAGAGAGAGAGAGAGAGAGCGCACATTCCATTCCATCAATCTATTTGGGATTTCCTCGTGGGTTGCATGGAATTCTCAGCTCGGTTTGGAGACTCTTAAGCAATGGGTTTCCGTGCGTATGTGTGTCAAGACACCCGGCTGACCAAAAAGAATATACATATGATCTATGTGACGGTGTGTCTATCTCTGTCATTTTACACTCTCTCTGCTCTTAGTACTTTAGTGCCCCTAACGCTGCCGTTTCAGCTGATGTACATTCTTTACATTGCAATCGCTGCCTCTAACCAAGTCTCTCTTCCATCCCGTGCTTGCTTTGCCCGTGAAGAGGAACAGGAGTATGGCCAGGAAGGTGAGATGTTCCTCTCTTGCTTTGCCGCTGCGTAACCATTTTATCCATTACTCGCAAACAATCGAAGCGCTGGTTAAGTGTCAGTCACCGCAGGGCTTGCTGGTTAGTGCTAGTCAATGCCAGTCAATGAATGGATTGCTAACTGCTCATGTCAGCCTGGCTCAGTCAGTAGCACTCTCGCCTCTGAGTCAGAAGGTTCTGGGTTCAAGCCCCAACGTCAGGACTTGGAATCGCATAGTCTAAGCTGACGCACAAGTACAGCTCTGGGGTGGGGGGGAGTTGTTGCACCGTCAGAGGGCTGTACTTCGGATGAGACATAAACCAAGATCCCGTCTGCCTGTTCGGGCGGACGTTAAAGATCCCATGGTGCTTCCCGACAAGAGAAGGGAGTTTCTCTCTCTCTCTCTCTCTCTCTCTCCTGGTGCTCTGGCCAACAGTTGCCCCAAATAAAATGCGGTCCACTCAATCCACGGCGGTTTGTGTGACGCTGCTGTGCGCAATTGGCTGCTGCGTTCCGCCCACGAAATACACAGTCAATCCACTTCACAGTACATCCTGTGAGGGGCTTTGAGAAGTCTAGACGATATGATGAGGCGCTATATGAAAGGCAAGGATTATTGTTATTGCTATTTATTTGGCCTAACTGTTTCTTTCAATGCTCTTTCCTGCCCATGACATTGTGCCTGTGCCCGTCTTCCCTCCTGTCCATCAGAAGTCGAGCAGCAGGAGGTAGAAGGTAGGTGAAAAAATGCTCTCTCACTCCAAGTGCCACACTCAGTCAATTCACTTTACAGTGGGATCCTGTGAAGCGCTTTTGAGACGTCTCAACGACGTGATAAGGCGCTGTATCAAATGCAAGGGTTATTATTATTATTATTATTATTATTATTAAATGAACCGAAGGGGCCTCTTCATTAATTGTGATCTTGCGATATGATGAGCATGCGATTTCGATGTCCTGTGAAACTAATCTTGTTGTTGGAATGAGGCAAGCAACTTGTGGTTAGATGGGCCACATTGTTAACACCAGCAAAAGGAGGGTTGTGTGGGGTGGGGAGGGGTGGGGGGTGGGGGGTGGGGAGTTGACTGTAATGCATTATTGGAGGGCGCCTTTTGTTAACCTTTATCTAAAAGCTAAACGTTTGCAAAACTATAATCGTTACAGATGGCTGTGATTAGTTGTTGTCCTAACAGATCTGGTGAATTCTATTTATTGAAGTCGACTCCCATGAGGGATGAGGGATTTCAGTTATGTGGAGAGACGAGAGAAAGCTGGAATTTTTCTCCTTAGAGCAGAGAGGGTGAGGGGAGATTTAATAGAAGTGTTCAAAACGATGGGGGGGGGTTTGATAGAGTGAGTAAGGAGAAACTATTTCCACTGGCGAGAAGGGCCGGTAACCAGAGGACGCAGGTTTAAAATAATTGGCAAGAGAACCAGAGGGGAGTCGCGGAGAATTTTTTTTTTCTTTTTTTCTTTACGCAGCGAGTTCTTACGATCGGGAACGCAGACGCCTGAAAGGGTGGTGGAAGCAGATTCAATAATAACTTTCAAAAGGGAATTGGATATTTGCTTGAAAAGAAAAAAAAAATTTGCAAGGCTTTGGGGAAAGAGCGGGGTGGGGGAGTGGGACTAATTGGATAGCTCTGGCACAGGCACAATGGGCCGAATGACCTCCTTCTGTGCTGTAGGAGTATATGATTGTGTAAGTGATCTTTCTGTTTCTTTTAATTTTTTTTCAATGCTTCCCGCTTGCTGCTTTCCCTTGCTGCTCATTCCCATATAACACAGAGGAACCGGAGGCTCAGGAGGAAGAAGGTAACAAAGGGAAATACCCATCGCTGTTAATCTTCTTACACTTAGCCGGGCAAGTCAGCCCGTGAAGCAGCTTTATCATCTCATGTCACTGAAACACACTAACACTTATGTGTTCAGTAAATACCTTGTCAGAACACCTTGGAATATAATTCCAATTAACTGAAGGCAAACATAACAGAAAGTCATTAAACTCGGAATTACACATTAATTACTTCCACTCTTTCTTATTTCTCCTAACTTGTCCCTGTTTCTCCCTCCTTTCTTTCTTGACCACTCTTGGCACTCCGCGGCAGTACCACAAGGTAAGTTCCACCAACACATCACAAGCAAATCCTTGTGCTATGCCCACGACTGTTTGTGGGGACACTGCTGTGCGCAATTGGCTGCTGCATTTCACCCACAAAATATACAGTCAATTTACTTTACAGTACATCCTGTGAAGCGCTTTGAGACGTCTCGAAGACGTGATAAGGCACTGTACCAAATGTCAGGATTATTATTAGAAGACCAAATAGAATAGACATGATCCTACCTGAAGGAGCTGTAGTATGCAAGATGCCATAGTCTTACAGATTCTATCTTGGTGCAATCTCTTAGAGAAGCTAATGTTTCTTTGTCTCTTTTTCTGCAGAAGAGGAGAGGCCAAAGCCAAAGTAAGGAGTTTGAACTTGGACGAGAATGTTCCCGAGAGAGAGACCCACAAATTGGAGCTCACCTTTTACAACATACTTCAATACCTTTCTCCTTCAGAGCACCATACAATAATGTCACACGCTTGATAATATTGAAGTCCCACGCACTGAATGTGTTTAGTGAGATCTCCTTTTGTGAGATGGAGACTTTCGTGAACTCAACTCGGAGGGAGTATACCCATAATATTAGGACCTCTTGCACGTGCCCGCGCACACACACCACACATACACACCACACATACACACCACACACATATACACACACACACAATGTAGGGCAGGAACAGTAAATTGACCAACCGCCTTGTCTAATTGTCTCTATTGCAGGCTTGTTGTTCCCCAGCTCTCTGGACCCAAAATCCCTGAAGGGGATAGGGTTGATTTCGATGTAAGTCTTTGCAAGTGTTTCCTTTTTTTTTACTTTTAGTGTGTGTCCAATTTTTCTCCCCTAATTATCTCCCCATTGGCATTTGATTCTCTGCTCCTCGTCTTCAGACTCCTCTTGCTGAAATGATGTTCCCTGCCTTGGCAGTATCGACAGGCTACTTGACTGTAGAAAGCATCACCAGTCTGCGCACACATACTCTACCATTAGACAGCGCTGAACATAGAATAGGATACTTTGCCAGGATGCTCTAGGTCCCTTCCTCCCCACTTTCAAATCCCGTCTAAAGACCTTCCTTTTTGATCGTGCTTACGATCGCCTCCCTCTCCCCCCCACCCGGCTGGTTAGACTCCGTCACTGTGAAACCCTCCAGCACAAAACCCCGCTTCAAGGGCGATATATTGTTTTTCTAATAATGTTTCCTCCATTGATTTGTGAGTCGATTGGTTTGTGGATCATTGCGCTGTGTGTATTAAGCGCTCCGAGACGCCACCCCACATATAGGACCCTATATAAACACAAGTTGTTGCTGTTGTTGCTCGCCCTCGGCAGGATATCCACAGGAAGCGCATGGAGAAAGACCTCTTGGAACTCCAGACTCTGATCGACGCTCACTTTGAGCAGCGGAAGAAAGAAGAAGACGAACTGATCGGGCTTAAAGACAGAATTGTGAGCACTTAGACATTTAACTCTAACCTGAAGGGAACCTGGTAACACGTCCTTTCATTCTGATTCCCGGCAGGGTGAAACCTTAGGCAAGTTTCCTTACTCCCCACACACGCCTCTGTTTACCTAGCAGTAAGTAGGACACCCGGCTGTTAGTCGATTGGCAGCTCACTCAATCCACGACTGTTTGTGGGACTCTGCTGTGCGTAATTGGATGCTGCTGTGCATTCCACCCACAAAATACACAGTGAATCCGCACAAAACTCCGCTCCCCGATTCCCCCCCAGTCCTGGCCAGACTGCACTACCTCCCTATCCCAGAGAGGATCCATTTCAAGATCCTCACCCTTGTATTCAAGTCCCTGCGCTCCTCTGCACCCCCCCAACCTCTCTGACCTCCTCTCTCCTCAGCACAGGACCCGTTGCCTTTGTCCCTCCGGGTCTGGCCTCCTCCTCCTCGTCCCCCAAGTCCTCCGCTCCACCCTCGGCGGCCGTGCCTTCAGCCACTACGCCCCGAGGCTCTGGAACTCCCTTCCTCACTCCCTTCGCCTCACCCCCTCCCTTCCTATTTTCAGGTCTCTGCTGAAGTCATTCTTTTAGACCGCGCCTTTGGTCACCTTCCCACTCCCACTCCCCCCCCCGCCCCTGGCTCGGTCCCGGGATCCGTTGCTGTGAAGCGCTCTGAGACGCCGTCCGGCGTGGAGGGCACTATATAAACCCAAGTTGTTGATGTTGCTGTTAATCCACTTTGCAATATATTCTGTGAAACGCTTTGAGACGTGTCTAAACGACGTGATGAGGAGACCATTCAGCCCTTTGAGCCCGTTCCTTCATTCCAGAAGATCATGGCTGATCTGTACCTCAACTCCAATTATCCGCCCTTACCCCATATCCCTCGATACCCTGAGCTGACAAATACGTCTCCACTTCAGTCTTGAAAATCACGCTTCCAGATCGCCTGTAAAACTAATCTTGAAGCGTTGAAAACGAGGCAGGCAGCTTGTGGTTATACGGGCCAACGCTCTTCACACCAACGCCTCACCTTACTTGCAGGAACGCCGAAGGTCAGAGCGCTCGGATCAGCAGCGAGAACGTGCGGAAAAGGAGCGGGAACGTCAGACAAAGTTACTAGTGAGTGCTGAATTAGTTGTGATGGTCAGTTGTTGCGCTGTCCTGTCTTTTATCTGATACCAACCTGCCTGCTCCTTCCGCACAGCGAGCTCCGCCCCCGCTCCATGGCCCCCTCCGCCCGCTTTTCCTCAACTCTTTTGCTCTTTGCTGTCCTTTAAACAGGAGGAGAGAACACGTAAGGAGGATGAGGAGGCAAAGAAACGGGCTGAGGATGATGCTAAGAAGAAGAAAGTCCTGTCCAACATGGGAGCTCATTACGGCGGTTACCTTGCTAAGGTAGGGTAAGGTCTGCTGTGAGACGTGGCGTGCCGAGCGTGTTGAGTTGTGTCAGCTTGGCTCAGTTAGCACCCTGGGCCGAGAGGGATTTGAGCTCAGACCCGGGCTGATACTTGAGGGAATGCTGGATTGCCTGAGGTGCTGTCCTTAAAACTGAGTCTCTTCTGTTGTGTTTGCCAAAACCCCTCTACGTCTTGTCTGTGGGAGCTTGCTCTGCGCAAAATATCCCCTGCATTCACCTACAACTGCATAGCTATTATAGAATCATAGAATCTTACAGCACAGAAGGAGGCCATTCGGCCTATCATGCCTGTGCCGGCTCTTTGAAAGAGCTGCCAACTAGCCCCACTAACTCGCACTTATCCCATAGCCCTGCGATTTTTTTTCTTTTCAAGTACACATCCAATTCCCTTTGTAAAGCTGTATTAAAAATGATAAATTTAAAATGACCAGGCTTGACAATAATCGCCCGTCAATGGCTTTGAGACGTTTTGATCTCATGGGTACTCTATCCGATGTGATTCGTGTTTAAAGAGAAAGCGCAGGGTTTGTCAACGGACTGATTGTCTCTGGCCTCCAGGCAGAACAGAGACGAGGCAAGAGGCAGACGGGACGTGAGATGAAGAAGAAGATCCTGGCAGAGAGACGCAAGGCTCTCAACATCGACCATCTCAGTGATGACAAACTGAAGTAAGGTGGAAACGAGGAGGGAGTTTTTCTCTCTCTCTCCCCCTCTTAAAATTGGTCACTCTTTGGTCCACAAAATATACAGTCAATTCACTTTGCACTATGTCCCTTGAAGTGTAGTGACTGTAATAAGGCGCTATATCAAACTCAAGTATTATTATTATCGGTGCATATTTTTCTACACATCCATAGTTTCTTTCTCTTTCAACTCTGAACGTTTCACCCGCAAAATGCACAGTCGATTCACTTTACAGTGTATCCTGTGAAGCGCTTTGAGACGCCGTGAAGACGTGATTAAGCACTGTATCAAATGCGAGGACTATTATTATTTATGTGTATTCGTAGAGAAAAAGCGAAGGAATTATGGAACTGGATGCACCAGTTGGAGTCTGAGAAGTTTGATCTGATGGATAAATTCAAGCGGCAGAAATATGAGGTGGGTAATTAATTCAAGCCCGGGTTAGATTACACAGCAATTGTGCTTACTGTTTGAGGCCTTCATTGCTCACCTTACCTTTACCGTGTGGACAGTCTACAGGTTATTCTGTATTGTTTGGGCATTCAGCATCTCTGAGTAGTTGTACTGAAAAGGAAACGGTAGCATCGTAAAATTAACGAGAGTTTCAGAGAGTCTAAATGTCTCAGCAAAGTAGCTGTAATCCTCCATTTTGCGGGGGGTACTTCTGTAAAACACCTTAATGTAATAACTCATCTGCGGTCATAACAAGATCGGGAAATTATTTAACTGTATCTGGTGCGTGGATATAATCAAAGTAACTATTTAATGTATTAAATAATAGATTTGTGTCTAATATACGTAACCATTGATGTAAACAAAATACCATGGAGCGTTACCTAATCATCAACTACTACATGTAAAAGCACCTGGATATATTTTTGAAGTAACAATACAAACTACAATACAAACTTACATTTGCATAGCGTCTTTCACGTTAGCAGGATATCCCAAAGCACTGGTTCCCGTATCAAATGGAAATGTTATTTAATATAAATGTTTCTACCGCAAAATACAGTCAATTCACTTTACAGAAAGCGCTTTGAGACGTCTTGAAGACGTGATAAGGCACTGTACCAAATGCAACGATTATTATTATCTATTGTAGCTGGATGTGTAATGCGGGTTTTAACCGACTATCTTTTGCCAGAAACGTGAGCGGATTCCGTTTTAATCTCGATTGATTTACTCAAACTCTCTTTTCGAACTAACACCTTCTGTTTCACCCCAGATTAAAATTCTCCATAACAGGGTTCAGATATTTGCTAAGCAGTAAGTATGCAGTTTGTAACGTGAAGTGTCTTGACGGGCGCGTCAACAGGCTTCTTCTGCATGATACACGCATGGACTAGCTACCACGCATGGCTTTACTTTGCACAGAGTAAGGAACCCAAGAGTTAACGTGTAAAAGCTGAGCGTATGAAGTGAGCCTACGTAAAATGCACTGCTCTAAGTTGCTATACAGTCAATTACAAGGACGCCATGTTTCCAGCAGCATTGCGTTGTAGATGTAACAGTAGGTATGAAATGCAGGTGTTATTATATGACTGAGAGCAAGCGTCTGTGGGGGAGATTTCTGTCGAACGGGGGTCACCTTGAAGAGTTTGTATTCCCGCTACTCCTCTCCTAGATCTGTTGTTTCACTTTGCAAACGGCCAACGCAATCACAGATGGGCCGCCTTAGCAGATTTGTACCCATGTAGGTGTGACGTTACCTACCTAAGTAGGTAAACAGAGCAAAGTACTTACTTACCAGTAAGTAGGAACCCGGTTGCTTAGTCGATTGGCGGATCGCTTTCCGGGGTAATAATCCCTTCAAAAATAATACTAATAAGTTAGCCACTTAACCCACGACTGTATGTGGGACACTGCTGTGCGCAATACTGTGTTCTGCCCCCAAAATATCCCCTCATTTGACATCATTCTGTGAAGCGCTTTGAGAAGACTCAATGGCATGATAAGGCGCTATATCAAATGCAATGATTATCTCTACAGGAGTGTGAGTCAGACTGTTATGTCACTCACTCCTCCATTGCAATGCTTGCCATACCCTTCCACATGGCGATACATGCCAGTCACCTCTTTCACATACAGTACCTAGAAATCAGCTCAAAGATTTATTAAGGTGAGCGCACAGCATGGAAACAGGCCACCCGGTCCAACCAGTCCGTGACGAATAAAAAAGGCTGGAGCTGGGAAATTAATCCCAGGGCTCTGAGATGACACAATGATACGTTTGTCCTTCAAGAGGAACCAGCCAGATTGGCAGCGTCATATATTTCCAAATCCTCCTGTCTGCTGACCATGTGTGACTTCCTCACCCCCTCCCCCCTCCCTCCCTTTTAAGTGAAAACCACCTCCTAGGGACAAACTAATTGAGATGAATGTGGGAATGATTGTGGAGACGAGACGGATCGCAGCTGACGCAAAACAAGCTTGCCCCGAATGGTGGGCGCAATTATCCTATGGCGTCTGAGTCGCTCCCATTGGAACTCGTTCCACAAGCAAAGAGGATGGATGTCGACATGTGTGAGGCCCAGGAAGAGTCAAGGTAAGGTGTCCATCGCTTTCCACCCTCCCTGCTGATGTTTGTGATGACGTGTGTTGCTTCCAGATCAACGTCCTTCATAACCGCATCAACGAGCACCAGAAATTGTGAGTATGCCACAATTTGTTTCCGTAAAATGTTGTCCACCGACCTCCACCGTCACTGACCAGCAGTTTGGCAGCTACTATCGACTCGAAGGGGCAACTAAACTTGGAATGGCGCGGAGGGCATTCCAAAATAACTCCACCTGCCCTAAACATGGTATATTCTCACGAGCTGCAAAAGAAAATCCATTTCTTCTGAGCCCTTGAATTATTTAATTCGGTATGTTATGGTCCGTAAGCACAATCAAGAAGGAAGGGCTTTAGGTGGGATTTGAGGGAGAGAGTTCCAGTGGACAGGGACTGGGAGGTTAAAAGTTTGGTGCAGATAGTGCTACTTAAACGTAGCAGTGTTGATAGAGCAGGAGGAGGAAAGAAAACTATCGAGACAAACAGTATGTCGCAAGCACAAACAGCAAAGTTAGGGGTTGATTTCTAGCTCCTCAATGTGTAGAGAAAATGGTCATCGCTTCTGAATTAGATTCTTTGAAGGTGTTTGAAGGAATCTATAATACGATAAGCTCCCATATCGGTATCATTCTATCCCTACATGCCCGCCTGGTACAACCAGCTTCTGTCACCAGCCCTGAGGAAATAAGAAAACAAATATAACCAACCGCAAGTGTGTGACCGAAGCAGTGACTCAAACTAATAACATAACCTTCTGTTATCTGATTCAATGCAGCCCCTTAATAGCTCTTTAAATACACAGTCAATTCACCTTACAGTATATCCTGTGAAGTGCTTTGAGGCGTCTCAAAGACGTGATAAGGCACTGTATCAAACGCAAGGTTTATTATTAGTAATAAATTCTTTCAAATCTTCTCCATGCTGCAAACTGAAATAAGCCAAAGAGATCTGACCCACAGTTGTTTTCTTGCTGAGACAGGACAAAAGCCGGGACTTTCCTGACTCCCTTCTGATAGACAAACCAACATCTAAGCCGACTGGAACCATTTGTTCTTGAATGTGGTCTCGATGCCTACAGGAGTACAATATCATATGCACTACTTTGCCTTGTGAAGAATGTAAATAACTCTTTGAAGAGTCCTGGGTTATCTAACTTGTAGTTCGTCCATGAGAGTAACTTTTGACCCTTTGGCTCATTTGGGACAGGATTCTTTTGGGCTCATCCTAATGTATGTAATAATACTCTTGAGTAACATTGCGTGAAGTGGGACTAAACCTTTCCTGTATATGATGGAATGAGTGCGTAAGTACTGCATGTTTTATTCCTTTGGGCTGCAATACTATAAGCTTTGGTATTATATTGCCTGCCTTTGTTTGTTTGCTTGAATTATTTGACGTTAAACTTGACCTAAGATGGAGAACCATCTCTTGAGACTAGAGTTATATGTCTTGGTTTGAAAGGCTGGCGCGGAGTGCTTTGTGGCATGAAGAATGCTTCAAAAAATTGACATTTAAATCAATGTACTGATCATACAGTACAAAGTATTGCTGTTAAGATATGTGATAAATAAGCTTCAATCTTTCTGTGCTCTGGACTGGAGTCACAGTCCAGAGAAAAGGAAGGCATTTTCTCTCCAAAGGGTTATCATTAAAATTAGCCCAAATCCCAAAGTTTTGCAACACTTTTTTTTACTCCCCACAAAAAAAGTGAAAGGAACGTTGAAAGTTTAGCTGCCCTTTAAAAGATTTATTCTGTCCCCGAGACATGCACATTGTCACGAAGAGCCAACCGTAATGTGAATGGGACCAAACCAAAACGAGATCAACATCAAATTAAGTGTGATGACATTTCTGAAGAGATTTCATCATTTCTGCTCATTAGCTCCAATGCTCACACACTAATCCACCGGCCAAGAAGGTGACTATATTGCCTTAGAAACCAACTGCACAAAGGTGCAGTTTGACTCATTCGATCTTCTGCAGAAGCACATCGGTGTTGCAATAAATCCGCCTCCCACCTCTCCCTCGTTGGCACAGCTGAGGTTAGAAAATCATTGACTTAGTGTTTGGCTTCTTGGCACATTGCCCACTCCAATGCCAGCTTGATACCCGCTTTATTGTAGTAATTCTGCCCACAAAATATACAGTCAATTCAATTCACAGTATATTCTGTGAAGCGCTTTGAGGTGTCAGATGTAGGTATTATTATTATAATTCCGCTGCTGTTGATCTGATTGTGACGTTGGCAGCTTTCAATTCAAAAAAAAGCTCAACATGTTTCAAATGGATTTTTCTAGCAGTAAGAAAGCAACAGGAAAAGGCAAGGTGGGAGGTCGCTGGAAATAAAAAGGAAAAGCATTTAGCCACCTGCTTCCGACAGGAGCCTGGATTTGAAGAGAAAGCTGTAGATCTCTGTTGCTGCGTGGCTAGCTTTGGTGTGTTCCTTGCAGCGGGTGAATTCGAGTTCCTGCCTGAGTCTTTTCTCATTCCTCCATCTTCACTGTTTAGGAAGAAAGCTTCAATAAATTACTGCATTTACCTTCCGTGCTCTCTGTTCCTTTGTGGTTTCTACGATGAGGGAGGCTCAACTCGCGCACTTCAAACCACTGACAAGTTGCACGCTTCGTGATCTCCTAACCCCCTATTAACCTGTGTGCTCCCTCCGCTCAGCGGGCTCCAGGCCTGCTTCATGTTCCCCTGCCTTGCCCACCCCACCATTAGCGGGCAGGCCTTCAGCTTCTCTGCACCCGCTCTCTGGAACTCCATCCCACGGTCCCTCTTACTGGCCTCCTTCAACAACAACAACAACAAGATTCCATTTATAGAGCGTCTTTCACGTCGGGAGGACGTACCAAGGCGCTGTACAGTTGGGTCAGGACCCAAGCAAGGGGGAAATGGTGAGGCCACCGATGGTAGGGCGGTTGGGGCGGGGGATGTGGAGGAGACCGGAGCCAGAGGAACGGAGGGTACGGGCAGGTAGGTAGGGGGATAGTAGGTCGGAGACTTCAACCATGCCTTCGGTCACCCTCCTACCACTTCCATTCGCACCCTCCACCCCTCCTGATTCCAACGACCAGCTCGGGGGTGGATCCCTGACTGTCCAGCACCTTGGGATGTCCTCCTAATTTGTTGATGTAGCACTTTACAGTCAGGGCTTCTCCTGAAGTTCCATACTTGTGTTTGAAAGCTCAGCTCTAGTGATGAAGCAAGCGAGCAAAGGAAATTCAGCAAGCCTCACTTTTAACGCGTGGATAATGGCAGAAGAATGGAGAAAGGGAGGTTGGGAAAAGGGTGTTAAGAGATTCGATGGTCAGGATGAGGATCAGAATGATTTCAATGGCAACTGCAACTTTTATTTAAAGTACGTGGGAGAAAAGGTGGAGAATTGTGATCCGATAAACGAGGTCAATGGCCAACTCTTGATCGCAGTGACGTGATTGGGGGGGGGAGGGGTGGGGGGGAAATGGGGACATCTGTCCCTAGGATGAGACGTTTAAACTGAAGCCTCATCATCCCGTTTCGACGGACGTTAAAACATCCCACGACGCTGTTCGAAGAGAAAAGGCAGTTTCTCTCTCACGGCGTCCTGGCCAAAACGATCCCCCGAGATAAAACGTGATCCCTCAACCCGCGGCTGTTGGCCGGACGCTGCTCTCGCACAACTGGCTGTCGCGTTTCGCCCACAAACCACAAGTCACTGCACACAAGTTCTTGTTGTTGTTGTTGTTGTTGTCGTCGTCGTCGTCGTCGACAGTATAACCCGCGAATCCCTTTGAGATCCCACGTGATGAGGCGCTGTGTTAAACGCAAGGAAATAAGAGGATTATGATGACGATTTAATTTATCACTGTAAGAAACATTACAACAATAAATAACAATAAATAAATACGACTGTCATATATTATTCTGCATTAGTTACACATGAGTGGGGTGTGTGTGTGTGTGTGTGTGGGGGGAACTACAACTCCGAACTACAACTCCCGTGATGCCGCGCCCAGGACGACGTCACCGGCCGCGCACCGGACGTGCGTCACGGCGCACGGTTACGTGGCCAGCGGAAGCGAGCGGGCGGGAACCCCTTTCTCTCCCCCCACCCCCCGCAACCCCCCCCTCCCTCCACCCTCCCCCGAGAGCTGAAGATGTCGGAGCGCGCGGGGAACGGAGCCGCTGCCGCCGTCGCCGCCGCGGTGGCCGGCAAAGAGAAGCGCCGGGAGCAGCTGAGGCGCTGGACGGGCTCCTGCACGGACCTGGAGCCCCCCGAGCCCCGCTGGCTGACGCGGCCGGGCGGCGGGGAGGGCCCGAGGCGGCGGGTGCGGTTCGAGGCGGCGGCCGAGTTCCTGGCGGCTTGCGCGAGCGGCGATGCGCAGGAGGCCGAGGAGATGCTGCGGGAGGGGGGCGGCGCCGACGTCAACTGCGCCAACACGGACGGCATCAGCGCCCTGCACCAGGTACCCGCCGCCCACCCGCCCGCGCGCGTCCCGTCTCTCCCCCCCCCCTTCCCCGTCCCCGGTGGTCCCCCCCCCCACACACCGCGCGCGCACGCGCAGGTCTCGGGGCCCCCCCCGCCGTCGCCGCCGCCCCGGCCGCACTGCGCAGGCGCGCGCCGTCGCGGAGCACGCCGGGAGTTGGAGTTCGCCCCCACCGCTCGCCCGCCCGCGATTGGCTGAGCCGACTGCAGACCCGGTACGTCACAGCTTCCGCATTGGGTGCGGACACACACACACACACACAGACAGACAGACAGAGAGACACACCCAGAGACAGACACACACACACAGAGACACACACCCAGAGACAGACAGACACACACAGACAGACAGAGAGACACACACAGAGACAGACACACACCCAGAGAGACACACACCCAGAGAGACACACACCCAGAGAGACACACACCCAGAGACAGACAGACACACACACAGACAGACAGAGAGATACACACAGAGACAGACACACACCCAGAGAGACACACACCCAGAGACAGACAGACACACAGACAGACAGAGAGATACACACAGAGAGACACACACCCAGAGAGACACACACCCAGAGACAGACACACACACACACAGACAGACAGAGAGATACACACAGAGACAGACACACACCCAGAGAGACACACACCCAGAGACAGACACACACACACACAGACAGACAGAGAGACACACACAGAGACAGACACACACCCAGAGAGACACACACCCAGAGACAGACACACACACACACAGACAGACAGAGAGATACACACAGAGACAGACACACACCCAGAGACAGACAGACACACAGACAGACAGAGAGATACACCCAGAGACAGAGACACGCACAGAGAGACACACACCCACAGACAGACAGACACCCAGAGACAGACACACACACATACACACACAGACAGACACACACACACACACAGAGACACACCCAGAGACAGACAGACACACAGACAGACACACAGACAGACACACAGACAGACACACATACAGACACACATACAGACACACATACAGACAGGCACACACAGACAGGCACACACAGACAGACACACACAGACAGACACACACAGACAGACACACACAGACAGACACACACAGACAGACACACACAGACAGACACACACAGACAGACACACACAGACAGACACACAGAGACAGACACACAGAGACAGACACACACACAGAGACAGACACACACTCAGAGACAGACACACACTCAGAGACAGACACACACTCAGAGACAGACACACACTCAGAGACAGACACACACTCAGAGACAGACACACACACAGAGACAGACACACACTCAGAGACAGACAGATCCTGAAGTTTACAATAATATTTGGCATTTGATATAGCAATCTTCATGTCTTTCGGACTTCTCAAAGCCCTTCACAGGATACACTGTCCGGGGCAGATGACAAAAGTTTTTTAGGTTTTTTTTGTCATCTTCTTTGGTGGATTATTTTTAATTGTTATTAATAAAAGACGTGATAAGGCGCCATATCAAATGCAAGGATTATTATTATAGAAATATTCTTAAAAAAAAAGGTGCCAGGAGTGGAATTGGATTAAAAGGATTATGAACAGCATTGTGATCTCAAAAGAGCCGTGTTTATTCATCTCTCCCTCCGTCTATCCATTTGTTTACCTTGTTAAGTCAATTGGCAGATTGTCTTCTGGGCGTAATAATTCCTTCAAAAAACAAACCATTAAATAAATAATTCCGTCACTCAATCCACGATTGTTTGTGGGGGACACAGCTGTGCGGAATTGGCTGTCGAGTGGAGGCAGCAGGTAGCGGGTTGGGGAGTAAGCATAATAATGGTGTCCGTGGGACCTTATATGCATACTGTTCCCACGTTTGCCGTCAAATCCAGTTGCTATTTTACTCCCAACTCGCAGCACCAGTGTGCAATCTTGGCATTGTGATTGACCCTTTGTTGTGCTTCAATTCCTTTAACAAAAAAATTTCATCTCCCAGATATTGCTCACTTCTATCTCTACTTAACGCGCTTCGTTGGGTCGCTACCCTGCGCGAGGGCTTTGTGGCAAGTATAAATGCAAGTTGTTGTTGTACTTGCACCCCAATGCAGCCCAGCCCCTCCCTCCCCCTTCACCCCATGTTTCACTGGCTCTCTATTACCCAGCGAGTTGATACCACGATTCTCGTTCTGGTTGTCAAATCCCCTTAAAAGTTTTGCCCCACACTACCTCTGCAATCTCTTCCTGTCCCACTTCCCGTCCACTTCCTTGGTTCTGCACATTCAGACCACCACCATGAGCAGCCGCAGGCCCTGGTGTCTGGAACTCTTCCCCTTTGACTTGCATGTGCTTGACCTGCTTCCAGACCCATTTCTTAGAATATACGCTTCAGCCATGCCTTTGGTCGCGTCTCTCCTATCTCTCATCTTGATCTGTTTATCCCTCTCTCTGCAAAGAGAAATGATCTTTCTCTTGAAAGGATTACTTTTGAAAAGAGCTGACGCAGACTTGACGATGATAACAATAACCCTGGCATTTGTTAATAGAGCCTTATCACTTCCCAAAGCCCTTCACAGAATATACCGTGAAGTAAATTGACTGCATGTTTTGTGGGCGAAACTCGGCAGCCAATTGTGCACAATCGCGACCCACAAACAGTTGTGGATTGACTGACCAAACTATCTTTATTTATTTTGGAGAAATTATTACCCCTGGAAAAGCATTCCACCAATTGACTCACAACCAGGTAACTTACTGCTCGGTATACAGAGGCGTGTATGTGGAGTAGGGAAATTTCCCAACATTTCTCCTTGCCGGGAATCGAACTCGGATCCTCTCGTTTGCGAGGCAAGTGCTCTCTCTAATCACTAAGCTACAGAACTCCTGTACAGGACTAAATGTCTCTGGTCCTACCCCTTGCGAAAGGCGTTATCGTAAGTGCATTTTGTGGGGGCGTTGGTGAGTTGCCTGTGAAACCTTTGAGACTTGTCGATGTTCTCGGCCCTGCAACCAATGCGAGGATGGTTCTGTGTTGCAGGCATGTATTGATGAGAACCTGGAGGTGGTGGAATTCCTCTTGGCACACAACGCTGACATCAATCAAGCAGACAATGAGGGATGGACATCACTACATGTTGCTGCTTCCTGCGGCTATTCTGAAATAGTGGAGTGAGTACAAGCTTCACACTTTGGGAGGGTGACCTGGGGAAGAAGAGCCTGTCGTTAAAGAGTGGTGAGAGGGACTGGTGTTTGCTTGAGAAAACCTACGTGCCCGTACAGTTTCCTCGCAGAGAGCTCCCTCTTTCCCCAGTGAAAAACTTTTCTACGTCCTTCATTCTGCACCCCAGTGGAATGAATGAGGGAGTCAGTGGTCTTGGAGTGCAGGGAATGACAACAACTTGCATTTATGTAGCGCCCCTCATGCAGGGTAGCGTCCCAGAGCACTTGCCAGTGGCGGAACACGGCGCCAAGCCAGGGAGATGGTGACCGCAGGTCGAAGAGGAAGGTCTTCAGGCGCTACCGAAAGACGGGGAACGGCGGAGGGAGAGAGTTCCAGAGTTTTGGGGCGTAGTGGCTGAATACGCATAAAAACCATTGTGCAGTCAAAGAAGTAGTGAGCGTAAAAGATGGAGAAACCTGTGGTACATGGGGGCAAAAAGAGAATGGGGGTTTACAATTGGGGTGGTGGGGGTGGGGTGCTGAAATGACCCTCGGTCAACTCCAGAAATTAAAACATGCCGGTCAGAGCAATGTGCCTCATCCCCTGACCAGCTGTGTTGTGTAAAGATTTCAATTGAACTGTAACATTGAGTCAGCTATTCGTTCCGGTAAGGCTTAGCATTTGACTCCCACGAGTGATCTCATCATGTTGATAGAACTGTTGTCAGTGTCTGTCTGTCTGTAGTGGAGTCCTGTAGTGTAGTGGTTAGAGCACTCGCCTCACAAGCGAGAAGATCTGGGGGCCGGGATACACGGCATATATTCGGAGATGCGCAAAATTGCTACCAATTCTAATAACAATTTCCTTGCAATTGATGTAGTACCTTATCACATCTTCGAGACGTCTCAAAACACTTCACCAAATATACTGTAAAGTGAACTGACTATATTTTGTGGGCGAAACGCGGCAGCTAATTGCGCACAGCAGTGTCCCACAGACAGTCGTGGATTGAGTGACCACATTATTATTATTATTTATATATTTTTAGATGGGGTTAATACCCCCAGAAAGCGATCCGCTAATCAACTAACAACAGGGTTCCTACTTAATGTTGGGTAAACCGAGGAGTGTAGAGTAAGAAAACTTGCCTAAGGTTTCTCCCTGGCCTGGGAATCGAACCCGGGTCCTCTCGCTGGCAAGGCGAGCGCTCGATCCACTGCTCTAGAGCGCTCCGCTCTTCTCATCGTGTGGATAACATTGCTTAGCTTGGGATTTGATCTGTATGTTGCATGCTATTCGCATGTTTCACTCTAAAGACTTTGCCTTAACCTGTTTCAGGTGTTTGATCAATCACGGTGCCAACATCGCCGCTGTGAACAGTGACGGCCAACTCCCCATCGATCTGGCGGAGGAGGATCATGTGGAGGCGATGCTACAGGCTGAGATCACCAAGAGAGGTAGGTGCCAGGTCAGCAGCGAGGACAACAACAGCAACTTGCGTGTATATAGCCCTCTTCACGTGGGGCAGCGGCGGGTTATTATTGTTATTATTCTTGGCCGCTTTCTAGGGTTCCAAATAATTTATTTGTGGATATCGCTGACTAAAAACGGGAGCAGGTTTCATAGATTGAGTCCTGTTGTGTAGTGTAGTGCGTGTGGAGGAGTGGGGGGTGAGGGGTGGGTGGGGGGAGGAGTTGGATTGCTCGGATGTGTTATTTGTGTGGGCTGCGGTATTGGTGAACTCTTGCTCCCGCCCGTGCTTGCAGGGATCGATGTGGAGGCAACCAAGAGGGAGGAAGAGGATTTGATGCTTCAGCACGCCAGGCAGTGGCTGAACAGCGGGAAGATTGACGAGACACAGCACCCGAAGTCTGGGGCCAATGCTCTTCATGTGGCCGCAGCCAAAGGGTACACTGAGGTCATAAGGCAAGTACTGGCTTTGTGTCGGTGGCCGTTCAATGAGGTGCCCATCAACTGGTGTATTTGGAGGTGGGGTCCGCTCTGGTTTGCAATGTTGTTCACCCACAAAGACAGTCACTACACTTCGCAATAATGTCCAGTCCCAACAAGCCACAGGACCCTTTAGGCAAGTTTCCTCACTCCATGTGCACGCCTCTGTTTACCTCGCAGTAAGTAGGAACCCAGTTGTTAGTCAATTGGCAGATCGCTTTCCAGAGGTAATAATTCCCCCCTCCACCAAAAGATTCGGTCACGCAATTCACGACCGTTTTTGGGACGCCGCTGTGCACAATTGGCTGCTGCGTTTGGCCCACAAAATACACAGTCACTTCACTTAATAGTATATTCTGTGAAGCCCTTTGAGACGCCTCAACAACGAGATAAGGCGCGGTATCGAATGCAAGAATTATTATTATTCTCTCTGACTGCGGAGTTGCTTCCCCTCTGCTGACCAGCTCATGTGGTTTCAGGCTGCTGCTGCAGACTGGGTTCAACGTAAACGTCCAGGACAAAGATGGCTGGACTCCCCTACACGCTGCCGCTCACTGGGGTATGGAGGACTCCTGCAGGCTGCTTGTTGAGCACTTCTGCGACATGGACGCACTGAATAACGTGGTGAGGTTTCCATCTTCAGCCACTTTATTATTATTACTACTTATTGAAGCCAAAAGAAAAGTCCCTCCCAAATGAGCTCCAGTAAACAAAGAGGAGCTCGGGTGAGATACGGGGCTGTTTAGATTGCCGTTTAGCCATGTGTTGCCCTTGTGAGCTGTGTGGGTTTACTGCAAGTCTCAATGCCTTGGCCTATAGATTTATGAGAGAACGCTCGGGTATTGTGTCGAACAACCTTGTGTGTGTGTTTGAGTGTGTGTGTGAGTGCGTTCTCAGAGGCTGAGCCCAGCATATTACTTCGCGTGAGACGTTAAACCGAGGTCCCGCCGCCTGTTCATGTTAAATGTCCTGCGGCGTTAGAAGAGAGAAGGGAGGGTGTCCTGGCCATCAGATAAAATTGGGTTACTCGCTCCAAAGCTGTTTGTGGGACACCGCTATGAGCAATTGGCTGCCGTGTTTGGCCCACAACATCCACAGTCAATTCACTTCGCATAATTACATTATTATTATTAGTATTACTGTTGGCTGAGGGATTTGTGTTTCTGCTCAAAGGGTCAGACGCCGTTTGATGTTGCGGATGAGGACATTCTGGGACTGCTGGAGGATCTTCAGAAAAAACAGGACGACGTGAGTCATCTTTTATTTGCACAAGATTGTCAATCAGAACCACTTTTGTGTCCAGCCTGAGTTTAAGAGTGTTCCAGAGTTCCATGCAGCCCCTAAAATTTCAAGGAAAAGCTTGTAGGCCAACAACAACAACAACTTACATTTACACAGCCTCCCCCTCCCCACGCACGCAGGCATTATCAAGTCATTGAGACATCTCAAAGCGCTTCACACACACTATACACTGTCAAGAGACTTGACTGCAGAATTTGTGGGCAAATCGCGGCAGCCAATTGCACACAGCAGCGGTGGATTGAGTGACTGAATTATTATTTTTTATTAATTTCTTTAAAGGGATTGTTACCTACAAAAATAACTCGGTGTAAATATATAAACAATAGCTTTGGAATAAAGCTGAGAGAATGTCAGGCGGCAGACACAGCCCAGCGCTGTACAGGACAACGGACTATAGGACAAAGGTTTACACTTGTTTTATGTTCTTCTGTTAATGCAGCTCAGGACGGAGAAGGAAGAGAAGTTGAAACGTGCCATCATCGAAACCTCCATCCAGCAACAGCAGCCAGCCAAACCCAGGAAGTAAGCAATCTCTCCTGCTCGTACGTAATGAACTCAGCTCAACCGGTGTCTAGGACAAGCCAAATTATTCAAGCCTCCAGTTACTTGTGCTATTTTCTCACCAGTTTGACCAAGGCCTTTTATGCAAGGGAGGGATTTGGTAAATTGGATTAGGGTGGTCCAAATGGTGGCCTGCGGGTTGATTTCATCTGACGCTCTCTCCCCCCACCCCACCACCTCCCTCCATTTCATCTGGCCCACCCGCTCTCCCTTCCATAACCAGTAAACGTTATGTTGCTTATAAAACTCTCCCCTCTGGTAGAAGGAAGCCAAAACTAGGGAACAGGCCTTAAACGTAAGGCTAGACTAGTGGCAATTGAGATAAGAGAATATTTCTTTACACCGACAGCTTTGAAAATGTAGAATGTATTTCCTCAGAAGGTTGTGTAGGAAGACTCAATTGGGGAGAAAGAGTAATAATAATATTTGACATAGCGCCTTTCATGTCAGGAGGATGTCTCAAAGGTTACAGAATTTACTGTGAAGTGTTGGTGTGGGTATCTATTTTGTGAGATACTACAGCAGCCATAGCAACCTCCCACTAAGAGCAATGAAGTGAGTCAATGACCTATTTTCTCTGGCAGATTGCTGCCTAGGACTCAGCAAGAAACGTATTTCTTTCAAGTAGTGCCACAGGATCTTTAAGCACTGTTGGGAGTCCTGTAGCGTAGCGGTTAGAGCACTCACTTCGCAAGCGAGGTTAAATTTCCGGGCAGGTCAGGGTGAAATCTTTGGCAAGTTTCCTTATTCCACACCTGTTTACCTTGCAATAAGAAAGAACTTGGTTCAGTCGATGGGTGGATCGCTTTCCCGGGAGTAATAATCCCTGCAAAATAAATAATTGGTTCACTCAATCCACGACTGTTTGTAGGACGCTGCTGTGCGAAATTGACTGCCGTGTGTCACCCGCAAAGTACAGTCAATTCACTTTACAGTATATCCTGAGAAGCGCTTCGAGACGTTTCAAAGAAGGCGCCATGTCGAATGCAGGGATTATTATTATTATTATCTTCTAACGTGCATCCGGACAGGCAGATGAGGCCTCCGTTTAACTTCTCATTCAATAAGCAGCACGCCCAAAACTGCAGGAGTCTAGTGGCGTCTAGACTGTGAGCTTTGAAGTCCCGACGTGGGGGCTTAAACCCACATCATTCTGACTCCGAGGCGAGAGTGCTACCAAACTGAGTCAGGCTCGCTCGACATTCTTTCAGTGAGTGGCGCAGAGCTGCAATGAGAAATTCCGGCTTCGGATGGTTCAGCAGAGCAGAACCACGGTCAGTCTTCAGCAATGCTGCCGAGCAAAGGATTCAAAGCACATTAGCTGGTGCCAGAAAGTGGGTGAAAGCCAGTGTTTGAGGATAGGCTTATTAGGAGAAATCAGAATGAATTATATTCTGTTAATAGACCAGTCCTATTTGCTTATGTTGTTCAACATGGCAACAAGATTGTATCAGGGTCGACTTCCTTCCCTGGGGAAGCAACAGTGCTTCAGTAATTTTCAACACGGTTCAATTTTCCTGTGCTGTATGATATTGTGGAGTCCTGTGGCGTAGCGGTTAGAGCGCTCACCTCGCAAAACAAAAGACCCGGTATTGATTCCTGGGCAGGGCGAAACCTTAGACACAGTCACTACACTTTGCAGTATGTTCTCTGAAGCAATTAGAGACATGATAAGGCGCTATATCGAATGCAAGGATTATTATTGTTGTTGCTCACTGCATGCAGCAGAGGATGTTGTGTAAATGGTTTCATGTGGTAGGTTTTCCCCTACTGAGTGTGTAGCCTACTCTCCTACCTCAGTTCTCCGCTCAGCTAACTCTAGAGTGTGCAGCACATCCCCGCCCTCTCTACGCTCCTATTAATAGCCAAGCTTTCAATTCCTATGCCCCTAACCTCCGGAACATCCTCCCACTACCACCACTCTGCCTCGCCCCTTGCTGTCTTTTGAGCCCCGTCTCGAATTCTACTTCTAAATATACAGTCAATTCGTTTTGCAGTGTGTCCTGTGAAGCGCTTTGAGACGTGTCGAAGATGCGATAAGGCGCTGTATCAAACGCAAGGGTTATTATCACGTCGTTGAGACGTCTCAAAGCGCTTCACAGGATTCAATGCAAAGTGGACTGACTGCCTATTTTGTGGGCGAAACGCGTCAGCCAATTGCGCACAGCAGTGTCCCACAAACAGTCGTGCATCAAGTGTCCACGTTATTTGTTTGTTGAAGGGATTATTACCTCCAGAAAGCGATTTGCCAATTGACTGATAACAAGAGAAGATTGAGAGATAGAAACAAGTTGTTGTAATGGAGTGAAGAGTTTTAATCTCTAACCCACTAACGCTTTGGTGACTATTAATAATCCCTGAAAAAAATAATAAATTGGTCACTTCAATCCACGGCTGTTTGTGGGGACGCTGCTGTGCGCAATTGGCTACCGCATTTCGCCCACAAATATACAGTCTATTCTACAGTCTATATCAAATGCAAGGATTATTATTATTATTCAGGCCTTGCAGAACCCTGACTGTCCAGCACCTTGGGACCTCCTCCTGATGTGAAAGGCGCTACACAAATGTAATCTGTTGTTTGCTTTTCCAGGAGCTCGGTGTGTCGGATGAGCAGCAGGGAGAAGATTTCCGTTCAGGATCTGTCCAAGGAACGCAAGACCTTGGAGTCCGTGTCTCTGGATGAAAGCAAGAAGGAGGAATCCAGCAGCTGTAGCTCCGAGACAGAGGAGCCGTCTGAGTCCGATTCCGAATGCGAAACTGGTAGGTTCCCATCTTTTTTGCATCTGTCTCGCGGCCACATCAGAGCCTGTCCTGACCCTCTCTGTCTGAGAGCCACATTTATGCCAAAAATCCACCATTAAAGGAAAAACACGTCAACACCCTCCAAACTCCCAGTACAGTGACCCTCGCATTGAACCTATTAAAAGCTCATTTATTTATTTGTTTATGAATTACCGTGACGCCTTGCCCGCAACTTCCCCATCTTCAGGTCGCACCTGAAGAGCGACCGTGCTTACGGTCACCTCGCCCTCCTCCCTCCCCAGCTTGGCTTCGTGCTCCGACACTGTCGATCGCTCTGGGACGTTACTTTGCGTGAAGGGGGCGCTGTGTAAATGCAAGTTGTTGTTAAAGACATCCTATCGGAACTCCGATTACCTAACCCACTGTCTTACGCTGTTATGTTTCACACTCTCTTTCTGGAAAGAGCACGAGAGGTTCGGGTGCTGGCTATTTATATCTCATAAATTCTCCCTTGCTTTCCCAGGACGGCAGCAAGCTATTTGCTAAATTATTCCCAGTAAAACCGCGCTTCTTTTTAATGCGTTCCAGCTATTCGTTCCTCTCTGTGCAAATAAATAACTTCTTAGTTTTGATCCCAAACTTATCCTTCACATCCCAGAGCCTTTGCTTCTTGTTCTGCTGCCTCGATGTACCTTAGCGCCGTTCAGTGTCTTGGGACGTCCTCCTGATCATCAAGTGACATTTACACAGCGCCTTTCACTGCGGGAGGACACCCCTAGGCGATTTGGACACGAGCTAGAGGTTGGGATCAGGAGGGTGGGAGTAGGAATAGGAGAGTGAAAAATAGTGTTATTTCTCCATCTCGTTTGCATCTAAGAACAAGAACCTCTGATTGCAAATAACTCGCACGTGATTCATTTCAACAGCAATAACTTGCATTTATACATAGTACCCTTCACACAGGGTAACCTCCCGGAGAGCTTTGCGCTATGCATTTCAGTACATGCCCAGCACAGAGAGGGGAGAAAGTTTGCGTTGGTTTGACGAATGGTCTGTTTTTTTCGCTCTGTTGGTGATTGGCCTCCTTTCGTTGTATCCGAGCAGAGAAAGCAAAGAAAGCCGCTCAAAACAACGACGCCAGGAACCTAAATGGAACCGAAGGGGTTTCCTCAGCACCTCCCGTCACACTCGCTCCTTCCAGCCAGAAGGTAAGGTCGCTGGGCGAGGTTAGCAAATAATCCCTTCAAAAATAATAATAATAATGCGGTCAACTCAATCCACCACGTTTGTGGGACGCTGCTGGGCTTAATTAGCTGCCGCATTTCGCCCACAAAATATAGTCAGTTCACTTTACTGTATATTCTGTAATGCTTTGAGACGCCTCGAAGACAATAACTGGCACTTCTATAGTGCCCTCCATGCCGGGCGGCGTCGCAAAGCACTTAACAATAACCTCGATAAGACCCTATATCCAATGCAAGGATTATTGTTGTTGTTATTCGGGGTTGAGTAACTTTATGAAGATAAGAACACAAGAATGTATGTGAGGCTGTCGTGGTGCGCGCCTGCTGGAGAGTATAACAGAATCGCACGGTGAGCAGTGAGAGTTAGTGTCTTCCCCCCACACTGACGCCATTCATGCCCTCCACTGTTGCAGCTCACTTCATAGGCTATCAGTCAAAAGGCCTACAGCCTCTCCACCCCCAACCTTTGGAACTCCATCCCACATTCCCTCCGCCTCGCTTCCTCCCTTGCCTCCTTCGAGGCCCGTCTCAAAGCCCTCCTCTTTGACCGTGCCTTCAGTCACCCTCCCTGCCCTCCTCCCTCCCCAATCCCTCCGCCAGCTCCAAATCCCTGACTGTCCAGCACCTTGGGGTTGAAAGGTGTCCCAAACTATATATTCCATCCCGAGACATTACAGGGTGACTGAAAAATCGTGTTGTCATCACAGCGTCTAATAAGTCTGGAAGAAATGATGAAGGAACAAAGTAATTATTATTAATAGAAATGGTATCAGGACTTTTTGGTCTCCCTGTACTTTCCTGAATTGTGCTTGACTTTTTGTGTGGGTACCAACAGAAGAATAGTCCGTCTCGCTAAATAGTTTGCGCACACCCGCCAAAACCCAGATAGAAATCTGCATGAAACTCCAGTGCGCGCACAGGAAAGTGGACTGAAAAAAGGCGGATGCATAGAGCAGGAAGTAACACAGGAAGCAACAGAGTTCTGTTTGAGGTAGTGCAGGTCTCTCAAAAGTAAAAGCTTGGAACTCAAAAGCGCCGTCGCTTCTGCGTGTAGTTGATAGCTGGTGATAAGCAGGTGGCGGAGTTTAAGGGAAATTAAATGCCTTAATATAAAAAAAATCGAAATCATCGTCAGGTCAATGTTGCGTCTCAATATTTACTAAGTTGGCAAGTTGCCCACTTGTTAGTCCATTGGCGGATCGCTTTCCCGAGGGTAAGAATCCTTCCAAAGAAGTATTTGGTATAGCACCTTATCACGTCATTGAGACGTCTCAAAGCGCTTCGCAGGATACGCTGTAAGGTGGAGTGACTGCGTATTTTGTGGGCAAACGTGGCAGCCAGTTGCGCACAGCAGCGTCCCCACAAACAGTCGTGGTTTGAGTGACCAAATCGAGCTTGTTTTCTGGACAGAATACCGTGTTTGCGCGATATCAAACGTAACGCTTATTATCTTTCTCTGGCGTGGAGAAAGGTTCATTTCTTCCTGTTCTAACTGCTGCGTTCGTCTTCTGCGCAGGTCACCGGCTCGCCTCCAAAGCCAACGTCCAAACAAGAGGTGGCCCCTTTGACCTGGTCCTCTGGGCTTCGAAAAACCGGCAGCTACTGCACGCTGCAAGATGCACAGGGTCCCGAGGAGAAGAGCAAAGTGGGCAGCATCAAGCGCTCTGCTTCCTCTCCCCGCCTACGCTTGGAAGAGAAGGTAAGTGTTAGCTCAAAATGCTGAGGGGCTCCATCGCTCTGGGACGCTGCCCCGTGTGAAAGGGCGCTGTCTCTATGCAGGTTGTTGATGGCCGTGCGAGGATGTGTGTGGATGAATTGGGAGCCTTGTGCTTTGTGGAACCGCTGTTTTGCTGTGAATGTGAAAGGTGCTATGCAAATGTCATTTGTTGTTAATGTTGTTGTTGTTGTTGGGAGCTCAGTGGTTGGAGCGCTCGCCCCACAAGCGAGAGGACCTGGGTTCGATTCCCGGGCAGAGCGAAACCTTAGGAAAGTTTCTTTACTCTGCCCGCCTCCGTTTACCCAGCGGTCGGTAGAAACCCGTCTGTTAGTCGATCGCTCTTTCAGGGGTAATAATCCCTTCAAAAAAAAATAAGTTGATCACTTCAATTTACGACTGTTTGTGGGACGCTGCTGTGCGCAATTGGATGCCGCGTTTCGCCCACAAAAATACACAGTCACCACACTTTACAGTCTATTCTGCGAAGCCCTTTGAGACGTCTCGAAGACGTGATAAGGATTATTATTATTATGATTCTCGCAGTCTGCCACTCTGAACGTGGTGTCAGTGTGGAAATGAAATCGTTTATCAAAGTTATGAATACTAATGGCCCCATTAATAACTGCCTCATGCTTCCCCAGGCACCGCTACTCATCTGGTTCTCCCAATAAGTCCTTTACTAATCTATTTTAATAGATTGCCATCAATCTCGGGGGTGGGGGGGGGGGGGGGGGCAGTGGCTGATGCAGTTTCCTATTATGTGAAACTGTGTCAGCGTCTCTCAAACATCCAAGTGATGATTCATGACGATGTTGTTCTTGTTCATCGGAAGCTTTCGGAAACTGGTCTAAAGTTTAACGTGTACGGCTGACTCCCAGCACAGTCCGGGACGTGGCTGGGCGGGTGCTGCGTTTCATTCACTGGAGACAAAGCTCTGATTCCGTGAGCGCAGGATAAAGAGGGCAACGACCAAATTACACCTGTATCGCGCCTTTCACGTCAGGAGGACGTCCACTGGGAGGGCAGTGGGGAATGGGCAGTGGTCATAATCATCCTTGCATTGATACAGCGCCTCATAACATCTTTTGAGACGTTTCAAAGCCCTTCACAGAACGTACTGCAAAGTGAATTGATTTTGTGGGCAAAATGCGGCAGACAGTCGCACAGCAGCGTCCCCACAAACGGTCATGGATGGAAGTGACCAAATAATTTATTTACTTGAAGGGATTGTTACCCCCAGAAAATCGATCCGCCGATCGACTAATAACCGGGTTCCTACTTACTGCTGAGTAAACAGATGTGTGGAGTAAGCGAACTTGCCCAAGGTTTCGCCCTGCCCGGGAATCGAACCCAGGTCCTCTCGCTTGCAAGGCGAGCGCTCTAACCACTTGAGCTACATGACTGGGGATGTTTCATTCCCCTGAGATGAAGCTCTGATTCTGTGAGCCCAGGATAGAGAGGATAAATGGGCAGTGCTAAACTCCTCTCGTTGATATTTCAGATTAGGAGAGGGAAGGTCAAGTGATTGCTGACGCTGGGAGTTTATAGCTGAGTCAATATAGTCTCCGCTTATCTTTATAGGTTACTATCTAAACGACAGAGAGGGCCTGGGATAAGAGGTGGTGTGAACTGGGCGAAAGGGTAATCCCAATAGAGAAGCTGAATGGGTTTGGCATTTGCATGCCGGGAGTTTGCCTGTGTTTGGGTCTCTGCGAAGAATGTGTGTGTTTTGTGTGTGGACCAAAAAAGGTGTGTGTGAGGGCCAAAAAGGTGTGTGTGTGTGCGTGGCAGCAAAAAAAGTGTGTGTGTGCCAAAAAGGGGTGTGTGTGTGTTGTGCAGTTTTTCTACCATAAAGCATAGTAGGAAGTGCTTATTGATTAACGCATAATTTCAATACAAAGTGCTAAAATGGTTGATGCCTGTTGGCAAGGCAGCTTACTGCTCAGGTTGTCCTAAGATGGTGATTCTCACTGATTTGCGAGTACGAGTATTGTTTGTGGCAGCACAGGGGGAAGGGGGACGAGAAGAAAGGAACTTTAATACAGCGCCTTCTGTCATAGGGTTATCACAGAGCATCACAAGATTTGAACTTAATGAATTTATTATTGCAGCCAAACACGGCGGCTCGTTTTGTCAGGTCACAAAAAGAAACCCCTTTCTCTATTTTTTTTAGTGGTGTAACGGGTGTAATTTAGAGCCCAACTGAATAAACAGATGAAACCTGGGTTAATGTCTGGTCCAAAAAAACACCACTTGTGACAATGCGGTGCCTGACCAGCGCTTTCCCGGAGTGTTGTCTGAGTGTGAGCTCAAGCTTCAACTGGGGCCGTGAACCTACAATGATCTGAGCCTGAGGAGAGAGTGCTATTGAGCGCCTGTGTCCTGTAGCGTAGTGGTTAGAGCGCTCGCCTCGCAAGCGAGAGGACTGGGGTTTGATTCCCAGACAGGGTGAAGCTTCGGCTAGTTTCCTTACTCCGCACACACGCCTATGTTTACCCAGCGGTAAGTAGGAACCTGGTTGTGTGTCGATTGGCGGATCGCTTTCCAACGGGTAATAATGCCTTCAAAAACCAAAAAAAAAAAATATTGATGTGGTTACTCAACCCATGACTGTTTGTGGGACGTGGCTGTGAGCAATTGACTGCCACATTTCACCCAAAACATACACCGCCGTTCCACTGTAAGGTATATTCTGTGAAGTGCTTTGAGGTTTCTCAACGACATGATGATGATAATAATAATCCTTGCATTTAAAATAACGCTTTTCACGTCTTCCAGACGTTCAATGCGCTTTACAGAGTGGACTGTAAAGTGAATTGACTGTATATTTGTGGGCGAAATGGCACTATATCAAATACAAGAATTATTATTATTATTACTGACAGTGCTAAATTAACGCCACGTTGACATTGCACTGAATTCCCCTGTTGCAGGATAAAGAGGTGCGAGAGACTCGACTGGCCAGAGTATTACCGACTCCCACCAGGAGAATGTTTCCCACTCCGGAATCTACAGCTGAGAATGAGCTGAGGTGAGTAACTATCAAGCTATTACAGTGTTAGTTGGTTAGACTTCAGTAATTACCCCCAAACACACACTCTGGGATTCCTCCCCATCCCCCCCCCCCCCCCCCCGCCCAAAAGCCTTGGCTCTTGCCAACCTGCGCCTAATACTTTCTAGGTAAGCAGGAGGCGTCCCTCCAGGGAGAGAGAGAGAGCACATTCCATTCCATCAATCTATCGCTGGGATTTCCAGGTGTGGGTGGGATGTGGGGAATTCTCAGCTTGGTTTGGAGGCTCTTAAGCAACGGTGACGAGTTTCCGTGTGTGTCAGATACCCGACTGACCAAAAAAAAAGTCTCTTTGACTCAAGGCTACAGACTCACAGCTTTTAAGATCGATAATGAATAATGCAAATCCTTTTTCTCTGTTCCAAGCTCTCTGCGCCAACAGAGAACAGAACCCAAAGCAACAACAACGAAGGACTCGACCATCACAAGGCAGGCGTCCGTCACCGGTACCTCCACTGTTCCAAGTGCCACAGACAATAAAGAGCGACGCAGGTAGGATGGGCCACAGTGAATACTTCTCTGTAATACTTGTGAAGCTGTTTGACTTGAGGACTGGCCAGAGGGAAGATGGTGGTTCAGAACACCCCATCGAGTTTCAATGGCCGGACGTCATTATCTGAGGCACCCTCTCTCCCCCCGATAGCCAGGACTCGCTGACTCACTGAGCCATTCTCAACGGATTTCTCTCGGCCTTTCTGCCCTTGTAGAAACTCGCTGAACGGACCCTCCTCTTCGACCGTGCCTTCGGTCACCCTTCCACCCCCTACTCTCTCTGCCCTCCACACCCCCCCCCTCCGATCCCAACCCCCAGCTCAGGACCAAATCCTTGACTGTCCAGCGCCTTGGGACAGCCTCCCGACTTGAAAGGCGCCGTGTAAATGTAACTTGTTGTTGTGGTTTGATGCCCGCAGGTCCTACCTCACGCCAGTGCGGGATGAGGAGTCGGAATCCCAAAGGAAGGCCCGATCCCGACACGCACGGCAGTCCCGCCGATCCACACAGGTCAGTGTCGCCGTTACTTACTGGTGTCAGCTCGGGCAAAGCTTCCCGGGGGGAAGGGAACCTCATGTGATTCCACAGGAGCAAACGGGTGTGAACTTGCCTACATAATTGTGCAATTCTTATCAGCCAGTCTGTACATGCAACGGCAGGTAAATGCTGTGTAAGTGCTGTACTTTGTACTGATCGCAAATCTTAGACAAGTTTCCTTATTTGTTTACCCAGCAATTAGTAAGCAATTGTTAGTCGATTGGCGTGATCGCTTTCCGGGGGTAATCATACCTTGGTCACTCAATCCACAACGATTTGTAGGAAACTGCAATTGGCTGCCGTGTTTCACCCACAAAATACAGGACTTTGAGACGTCTCAACAACGTGATTAGGCGCTATGTCAAATGCAAGGATTTTTATCAAGGCATTGACTTTAGTCTTGAGTAGAGACTTGGATACTTTGGGGTGTAAACTACAGTCGCTCGTAAGTGTTTAATAAAGACTGATGGAACCTCCTCGACTGATGTCCGAGAATTCCAATGGGACTCCTTATCCCATTGAAACCTCTAGGCAAGTTTCCCTACTCCACACGCCTCTGTTTACCTCGCAGTAAGAGAAAGGCGGACTGGTGAGGACTGATTGCATTCAGGATGGGGCGGGGGAATGCAATTGAAAGGTTCTCAGTTTGTGTCCGTGCCTTGGTGACGGCCTGTATTCTACACTGTTTTGAATGCTGGCTCCTGTTTACAGGGTGTAACGCTCACGGACCTGAAGGAGGCAGAGAAGACCCTGGGCCTTTCCGGCGAGAAGAAAACTCCAGAGCAGCCGGAGAAGCGGGAGGAGGAGACCGAACAGAAAAGGGATTTGCCTGAGCGTGAGAAATGGAGGAGCTTTGTGACGGATAGCAAGGTACGACTGCACAAGCAACAATATGGTCGTGAGGTGTAGAAAGTGGAGACCTGTAGTGTATTCGCCTCACAAGCGAAAGGATCCGGGTTCGATTCCCTGCCGGGCTGAGTAGGCAAGTTTCCTTACTCCACCCACACGCCTCTGTTTACCGAGCGGTAAGTAGGAATCCGGTTGTTAGTCCACTGTGCGGATTGCTTTGCGGTGGTGGTAATCACTCAATCCACAACTGTCTGTGGGACCCTGCTGTACGCGATTGGCTGCTGATTTCGCCACAGAATATGGCGTCAATTCACTTTACAGTGTATCCCGTGAAGCGCTTCGAGGCATCTCGAAGACGTGAGAAGGCGCTGTGTTAAGTGCGAGGATTATTATTATTATCAATTGTGCAGCTGTGAGGGGTAGAATGGCCTCCTGTGCTGTAAGCTTTCGATGTGTTGCGTTGGACACCACAAGTTGTGAAGAGGGTTGTGTGTGGTCCAGACCAGACCAGACCAGCCAACACAACCCAGGAGGTAAACTGGAAAGTAAGAACTGCGTGCTCTCTCTCCAGCCTCTACAGGAAGCCGGGAGCCGACTGAGATTCTCCAGCTCAGAGGGATTTGATTCCAGCCAACCCCGTACACCCACGTACACCAGGCAGGCCGTCCCATCACTTTCTACTCTCTTACACTTGGATAAAGGTAATTACCCTTTTCGGTCACGTTTATGGTCACCTCTGCTCCCCCATCCCTCTCCCCCTGACTCGGGGTCAGACTCTGCCACTGTCAAGCATTTGAAACGTCTCATTGGTGTGGATTTAGCCGGGTGGGGGGTGGGGCGGAGTGGGATGGGGGGGTGAATTGGCCGGGATACAGCAGATCAATATTGTCATGAAGTATATCTCAAAATGTTTTTTCTAAGAAATTAGATTTTAAGGAGAATCCACCGAAAGGATTTAACGTGAAGAGCACTTTTTGGCAAGTCACGAGCTGTGGTTAACTGTTGCTGCCACCGTTTTTCTCCAGAAGCAGAAAGCGAAGGGGGGAACAGGGAAGGAGACTCGGACTCTCGAAATCAGAACCGTCTGTCCGTGCGGGATCGACGGAAAGCCAGAAAGGAGCGTCGCTGGACAGGAGCTCCCAATTCCACCGAGGTGAGGGGCCTGCTTTCCAGGCCATGGCCGTGTGTGCTCGTCTGTGTGTCTGTCTGTGCGTGTCTGCCTGCGTCTGTGTGTATCTGTCTGGCTGTGTGCGCGTGTCTGTCTGCCTGTGTCTCTGTGCCTATATACGAGTGTGTGTGTCTACCTGTGTTTGCCTACGTGTGTCTCACTGCCTGTGTCTCCTGCGTAGCATGAATTGCCTCCTGCCAATGCCTACAGCCATATTCAGCATCCTAGTCTACGCAGACTCTGGACTCCCATCGTAGACCGATTCCCAGTACAGTCTAAACTGATAACTCCCGATTTTGCAGTCTGTTCCTTTTGCTCATCTCAAGAGAGAGCAGAAAGGACAGAGAGGAGGAGGATGTGGATTTACTTGATTAATGTTTGCATTTCAGGAGGAAAGCACAGAGCAGGTGAACAGTGTGGATGCTCCAATGCACAGGTAATCAATTACTCTAATGCGGTAATCAAGGCTGTGATTTATATGTAATTTTTGAGTGCCTGCTACCCTCATTGGCTGACCTGGTGTGTTTGTAACTAGATTAGACTGGACCTGCTCCATATCCCCCGCCCTGCCGTTCGGCTTCTCTACCCCCACCACTGGAACTCCGTCCCACAGTCCCTTCCCTTTGCTCCCTCACCACCTTTAAGGCACCTCTGAAGACCCTCCTGTTCGACTGCGCGTTTAGCCACTCTCCTCCTCTCCACCCTTCCTGATCCAGCCTTCAGCTCGAGTCCAAATCCCTGACTATCCAGTGCCTCGGGACATGCTACTGACGTGAAAGACGCTGTGTAAATGTCACCTGTTGTTGTTGTTTAGATGTCAAACTCCCAGCCTCTTCCAATATCAATTGGCTGCTGCGTTTCGCCCGCAAAATGTTACAGTCAATTCACTTCATAGTGAAGCGCTTTGAGATGTCTGGAAGACATAAGGCGCTAAGTCAAATGCATGGACTATTATTATTATTACTATTATTATTATTGCCCCTGTTATCTTTCTCTCGCCGCAGGATTGCTCCGGGGCTCAGTGATGAGATGAGCAATCGCGTCCCAAACAGAATCCGCACGTACCCCTATCACACCGAGCGGCAACTCGGCACAGCTTTCGGGCAGATGCAGGGCGGCAATAACGATTACAGGAAGGTAAGGATCTCTTCGTGTTTGTAGTGTGTGTGTTTGTGCGCGCGCCCGTGTGTATGTCAGTGTGCCGTGTATGTGGGTAAGTGTCTGTGTGTGGGGGGTGGGGGGGAAGAGAGCGACTTGGATAGAATCTGAGTAGTCGTGGTTAGGACATTGAAATCTTGGGTTGCGTCCAATCTCACCCTCTCCAGAACTCGGTGGCTGTGAACTTGCGAAAGTACTTATGAAATATTAGCACCAGAGCGCTTTATATTTATTGCAGAAAATGTGGATTTGTTGTGCCTAGTCATTGCCTACAGTGTTATACCACACACACACACACACACACCAAACATCTCCCTCTCTCTGATTTACCCTCTAGATGTACGAGTCCATCTTCCTGGACAACGTGAGGCTGAAGGACAAGCTACAAGAGACGCAGATATACCTCACGCAAACCAAGCTTGAGTTGGAGAGAGTCCTGCAGGTAAGGAACCTGCTTCACGTGTAGAAAGAACTGTTCAGAAACCTGTAGCTCAGTGGTTAGAGCACTCGCCTCACAAGCGAGAGGACCTGGGTTCGATTCCCAGTCAGGGCGAAACCTTAGGCAAGTTTCCTTACTCCACGCACGATGCCTCTGTTTACCTAGCAGGACCCAGTTGTTAGTCATTTGGGGGATCGCTTTCCGGAGGTTAATAATCCCTTCAAATAAATAAAAGAATAATAATTTGGTTACTCAATCCACGACTGTCTGTGGGACGCTGCAAAATATACAGTCAATTCACTTTGCAATTAATTCCATGAAGCGCTTCGAGATGTCTCAACGATGTGATAAGGCGCTGTATCCAATGAAAAGATTATTATCATTACATCAGATGTAAAGATATATAAAGATATATGTATGTTCTATGAAGTGCTGTATCAAATGCAAGGATTATTATTTATTGTTAATATTGCTAAATACGTTTTATGCTCGCTCCCGCTTTCTCCTTTTCCTGTTCCGCGGCTTAAATCTGCGTCTACTTTCAGAGACAAGATTGGCGGGCGGACAGACCAGCACTGTTGGACTTGGAGAGATTTGTAAGTTCCGTCCCTGCTTTGAACTTTCCTGGTAAAACTGGTGATGTTTGCCTTCCAGCCAGGGTGTAAGGTGCGTGTGTGTGGGTGTGTGTGTTGTCCAGGAAGATGGGCTCGTGAGGCTAACTCAGAGAGAGAGAGAGATGTTTGGTTTGTGTTAAGCTACCCCAAGTGAAGGTCACTGTAAAAGTACAAGCAGTTGTTATTAATCCATACACGCCACACAATTCAACCAGTGGCAGCTCCTTCTGTCCGAAGCGCTTTGGGACGTTTCAACGACGTGATAAGGCGTTATTATTATTATTATCATTAATGATGTCTTTCGTGATCAGGAGCGAAGAGCATTGGAGAGGAAAGCAACTGAGCTGGAGGAAGAATTAAAGGTAATCACTGAATAAGATCAAGGTTTGTGTTGAAACTCCCCGTATCGTAGAAATAGGAACAGAAGGAGGCCATTCAGCCCTTCGAGCCTGTTCCGCCATTCTATAAGAAATATAGTTAACGTGATGGTGTGCACACATTATCGTTAGGTCAGAGTATCAAGGGGTATGGGGTAATTGGAGTTGAGGTACAGATCAGCCATGATCTTGTAGAATGGCCGAACAGGCTCGAGGGGCTGAATGGCCTCCTCCTGTTCCTATGCTATCGGATTAGCTGCTGCGTTTGCTTCCACCAGTGCTCGGTGATTATTTTTTTTTGTGAGAGGCGCTGTACAAGGATAAGCTGTCGTTGGGCTGGTCGATGTGTTTCCAGAATTGTGTGGGGGGGGGCGTGTGTGTTGGGGGGGAGGGGGCGGCTACAGTCTTATCAGTACAGTGGGATTTGCTGTGAGCTGCTAACTAGCGTGGGGTAAACCTCACCTCTCGTCATCCTGCTCCCACAGGGGCTGACGGACCTGAAGGCGGACAATCAGAGACTGAAGGATGAGAATGCAGCCCTGATCCGAGTTATCAGCAAACTCTCCAAGTAGTGGGAAGGTCTGAGTGGGCAGCCCGGCCCTGCCCAGCCCAGCGAAGCGAGTGGCATTAAACCCCCCCACTGACACGCTCCGCTCCCTCTCCTCGCGGTCTGAGTTTCAAGGGAGATTCTTTCGATTGCCAAGTATTTTCCTGCAGCCGGTGCAGCGCAGTTAACGGTTGGGAGGAGGAGGGGGATTCAGTGTTGCCTTTGCCAACTCCTCCGCAGTGCCATATCTACCTACCGACAGGTGTGTGTGTGTGTCTGTGACTGTCAGTCAGCCTCGTGATATACTCTGACCCCCCTCAACTCCCACCTAAAGCAGCACCAACGTTCTCTCCTAAGAACTGTATATTTTTTACTGTAAATGTTAAACCTGCTCTCTTTTTCCCCAATCACTCCCTCACTCTCTTTCTCTCCCTGCCCCCTTACCCACTCGTTCCTCTCAATCTCTGCGCACTGGGCAGTCAGTTTAGATCGGGGCTTATGCATACATCCCCTCTCCTGACTGCAAGCCACAATATTTGTCATTATTATTTCAGATAATGACAGCCTTACTGATTTAATTTAATATTTTAAAAAAAAGAAAAGCTCACAGCAGCAAAAGACACATTCCCTATTCTTAACCATTCCTAAGTAGTATCCGAAGTGCTGAATTGTGCCTTAAAATGTTTTGTGTGTATGTGTGTGTGTGTGTATATATATATATATAAAAAAAACTTGTGAACGGTTCCACAGGAATGAATGTCAGTCCAGTATTAAGGTGTGAAGTGAATGTGGATCCTGTTAAACGCATTCCGTGGTTGTTATCGATGACTGTTCTGTACGCGGTTCAATTGGAACGAGGGCTATGTGCGTGCGGTAGGACATCTTTTCAGCCTCCACTGAAGGGAGAGAGAGAGAGAGAGAGGCAAGCTTAATCCCTGTGTTTGAATGCATCCACTTGGCTGTTCCAAGAGTGAGGGCTTCCCCTTGGAAATACGGTGTTAGTGACTGTCACATTTCTCTATCTGGTTACTGTTTTGTCAGTCTGAATGATCGGTTTCTTGCTTCCTTCCTCACGGCTCTCCTCTCCCCAAAAGGTAGAGGTGGATGGGATCCACTGGGGTTCAGGGGAGGGGAGATACCAGCGATTTGTTGGGGAGCGAGTTTGAGAGATTGTAATCTTAACTGCTGTGCGTGGGCTGAAGGCTGCTTTTCAGCTGCAAACGCCCCTCGTTGCCTTGTAATAATAAAATAATAATAATCCTTGCATTTGATACAGCGCCTTATCGCGTCTTCCAGACGTCTCAAAGCGCTTCACAGACACACGGTCGAGTGGATTGACTGTCTTATTTTGTGGACCAAACACGGCAGCCAATTGCGCACAGTAAATAGCGCTGATTAAGCCGCCTTTATCACGGTCACTCAGTTAGAGAACGTGGGGCACCGGGTGAAAACCTGACCTCTGTTGTGTTTAGTTGGAGATTCTGTTCCGGGTGTAATTGTCCTGCGGAGCTGTGTTGCGACATCAGTGATTACGACTGTAATGTGATTGGGGCAGTTTTCGTTTGCAGGTTGTGGTTAAAAACGATGAGCATCTCGGTTCTTCTCTGGAACGTCAGCCTGGCTCAGTCGGTCACGCTCTCACAGTGGATTTACTGTAAACTGAATCGACTGTATTTTGTGGGCGAAACTCGGTAGCCAATTGCGCACAGCAGTTTCCCGCAGCACAGTTGGGGTTCCAGTGATCAAATTATCATCATCCTTTTTGGAGGGATTATTACCCCCGGAAAGCGATCCGCCAATCGACTGTCCACCGGGTTCCTACTTATTGCTAGTTGAGCGGATGTGTGGAGTAAGGAAACTTGCCTACGGTTTCCCCCCCCCCCCCCCCACCGCCCGTTAAATGTCTTTTGTACAAAGTTATGATCCGTAGCTGTCGGTAACCGATGGGACACTAACCCAAACTCTTCGACCAGCTCTGCCTAAGGGAGAAAGACAAAACTGTTTGAGTAGCAAAAAAAAAAAAAAAAAAAATTATTCCTCTCTTAATTCTTGTCAGGTCGTAAGCAGCAAACCGTGCGACGGATCAGTAAATAACCCACTTGCTTCAACGCAGATACGAAGCAGAGAAAGTCCGGCACTCGCTTACTTTAAGCAAGGTTCATTCCTCTCTATGGGACAGCAATGATCGTACCTTAATGTTATTGGGACAGCAACACTTGTATTATAACCTCCTCATTATCGCTTCTCACTAAGCCCACCCTTCCTTCACCTTTTGTGTTCTCTCTCTCTCGCTCTCTGTCTCCGCCTCGTCTTAAAGAATATAAAGCCAATCGAGTTACTGAGTATTGCACCCACGCGATGGCACATTTTGTACTGTGAAGCAGATCATTTTTATATCCCCCCTACCTCCCCCCACCCCCTCAATCGACCAGCGATGGATGGTCACCATCCAGTCTTCGGTCTAGATGACACTGTGCGATTCGGGTCACAATTTCCTCAGTCCGTGTGCACAAGGATTTGCCGACAGCTCTGGAGGTGAAGCTCGTCTCGGGAGAGAGAGAGAGAGCTGTTGTGTCGTTAAAGGCTGTTCATTAAACTTAACCGTTTCTAGCCCTGCACTGCATAGTACGCGGCTCTTAACTCGAAATCCCCCTGGTCTGGGGGGGGGGGGGGGGGGGGTCGCCTCGCACGGTCATCTTGTCGTGAAGCGTGGGAGTAATTGGAGAAAATGCTCGACTTCAGAGCCAGTTTTTCACAGTAACTTCAAAAGAAATGATAAATAATATTCCTTGCGTTTGATGCGGCGCCTCATCGCGTGTTTGAGACACATCAAAGCACTTCGGAGGATATGCTATAAAGTGTAGTGACTGTATATTTTGTGGTGGAAGTGGCAGCCAGTTGCGGCACAGCAAGTGTCCCACAAACAGTGGTGGATTGAGTGACCAAATTATTGAAACCAGCTTTGCCTATTCGTAGGGAATTTAAGGATATGCCACAATTCTGCACGGTCTTGAAAGTTTGAAGGCAAAATGGGCTTACAGGCTAAGTCCAGGTGGAATTTGGTGTTTAGGACACTTTGTGATTATTTATTGCATTTGTCTTAAGTGTCACTCTTGTGCGAAGGTGTTCACAAAGTCCTGTTATCCTCCACGTGTTTTATTTTCCCTCTACAAAGTGCACTGACCCAACAACTGAAACGTGTGGAAGAACGATGCTAATTGTATTCAGTACAAGTGTTTTAACTATATTTAGACGTCCAGAGGGTGTGTGTGTGTGTGAACGCCATCGTATTTTTATGGTAGATAATGATCCGTTGCCTTTTTTCAGTGCCACTGAAACGCGGGTGGGGTGAGTGAGGAGGAAGTTACTGGCGTCAGAGATTGTTATACTCGATTCGTATTAAAAAATTCTTTGCAAGAAAAAAAACACGGTGGGTTGACAGGACTTTGTGAACACAGTACAGTGCGTAACACGTTCCTTAGGGAAATTGATAGTAGCTTCCCCCCACGTTTCTATTGTTGAGCTCGGATAAAGATTTGAATCGTGTTCGGAAATGCTTCAATAAGTGATGTGGCGATCAAATCTACCATTGCCTGCAGTATTCTGAAGTACTTACTCTATTCTCTTTTCCCCCGCAACACACACACACAGCTATAACTTTGCCAAGCTTTATACGTGGAGTTGTTTTTCAAACGGAGTGGACGAAAGGGTGGGTGGGGGGGCGGGGGAGGGATTTGACGATGCTTTCCTTTGGAGTTGCGGATCCTTCAGACTTGTGCTCAGCTTCCGATGTGACCTCCCAACCCAACCCTCTGCCCCTCTGCAGCCAACCTTTCCTCTGCTCCGGCGTACGCGAGGCACTTGCCTGAAGTGCCGCGACTCCCAAACCCATCTGGTTTCCCCTCTCTGCAGTCGACGAGCGACGGAATTTTATAAGCACTCCTGATTTTGTTGGTAAAACGCTTTTCTCCCTCGATCCCCCTCCCCCTCTCCCCCCCACCCCCCAAAAAAATGCACAGAATGTAAAATGCACCGACACACGGAAGCGACGTCCTAACATTAGCAAGAACTGTCATCGCTATGTTAAAGTATTCCCATTAAATGTTCCTCCCCACCACCTTTCTCTCCCCCCCGCCCGCCCCCCAACTTGCCAATCTCAGTTGAATGTGTTTTCCTCTCTAGGACTCGGCTTGAAACAGCGTCGGTGGGGGTGGGGTGGCTGGGAGCTGAGTTATTTGTATATGGAAACCCTTTTTAATATGTATCTGCATTGTTGTAATGTGCAATACGCATGAAAATCTTACAAAAACATATTTTATTTGTTACTGCAGCTCAGCTGCGCACTCTTAAAAAGCACAGAAAACAAAATGCTGTTTGACCCAAGCCTTCTTGTATAACTTATATATATGTGATTAAAAAAAGGTGACACTGATCTTTATTAAACTGTAAATAGCATTTTAACATGTGATTTCACCGCTTTTCCCCCCCCTCCCCCAGTCTTCGAGACGTCTCAAAGCGCTTCACGGGATATACTGTTAAGGTGAACGCTGTCCATCCTTTGGGACTCCATCCCTTCGCCTCGCATTCATTCCCTTGCCTCCTTTAAGACCCTCCTCTTCGACTGTGCCTGTAGTCACCCTCCTACCCCTGCCATCCACCCCTTCTGATCCCCACCCACCCCACCCACCCCTCCCCCGCTTGTGTCTAAATCCCTGACCGTCCAGGGCCTTGGGACGTCCTCCTGACGCGAAAGGCGCTGTGTAAATGTCATTTTGTATTGTATCTGTGTGGACACCGGCTTCGTCACCTCAGTCTAAGTAACTTGGAAGCTTTTTAACGTCTTGTTGGTTCTGTGCCAGGTATCTGCTGTTTAGTGCTGTGACTTGTGTGGGTGTCAGAACCGGAGATACGTCAATAGTCTCATCAACAGCCATTAACAGCCGGGCCGGATGAGATGGCGTCTGGCACTGTTTGCTGGTGGCAGAGGGTAATGACATCAGTACAGTATGAATGTCTCTTACTGTCCAGCCTTTCAAGTCATATTTTCCTCCTAGGATCAGAGTAGATCATGTGCTTTATAAAAGCGAAGGCCTTACCTTCTGCGAGGAAACTCACCCAAAGTCTTGCGGCTTTTGTGCCAGTGCTGCATGGTTTGCGCTAACGCACTTGGTCGAATTGGTGGCGATGTTACAAAGCGATTCCAGAAATGTAATGCGAAATGGATCGCCTGGATATTTTGAGGGCAGAAATTGCAGTCGTTCGCTGCTGTTTCTTTGACTGAGCGGAAGTGATGATGAACCCACATTGAGCCACTGATGTCGAGGACAAATGACGTTAATATCACAAAGATTTATTTTGTATAGATGGTTGGAATTGAAAACACACGCATACTGTCTCTCTCTCTCACACACACACATATGCTCTCATTTTCTTATCTGCTCGATGACGCCTTTTCAGTGATAATTCCGGTGCGCAATTGCCTGTCGAGGTCACGCCCGCAAAATGTACCTGCAGTTCACTTGACAATATGTTCTGCGAAGCGCTTTGAGGCGATGGCATGGGCCAAAGAGGAGGGTCTCGAGACGATTCTGAACCCCACGAACGACGATTCTCAAGTGGATCGGAATAAAATCCCAAAGAGAGAGCGGGCACCGTGGATTCTCCTTGCCAGCCTGTGCCCCACTGTGTGCGTCCAGCACTGCCCGTCTACACTGGCAGCACAGGCATCGTAACGGTCAGCACCTGCAAGACAACAACAACAATTTGCACACACGTATAACAACAATAATCCTTGCATTTGATACAGCGCCTTATGTCTTCGCGACGTCAAAGCGCTTCACACTAAACTGAATTTATATATATAATTTGATCAAATCAAATGATATATCTAAAGACAAATTCAGCAAAGAATTAATTTGGACATATTAAATGTTTCATGTACTTGAACGTATCCTCGTGGTGGGAGAAGGGGATAAGTGGGGTCTCGCTGGAGCTGAACTGGCTCGTCGGGGGGGACCTGGAAGGGCCGACCAGTCATTGGGGGCAGGGAATCCTTCCACTCGGCTCCTGTTAACCCTGCAAGCCAAGGGGAAAGCTTGCCAGACAGCGATACCAATAGCAACAGTGAACGGTTCATGCTGTTCGGTGCTGTGTGGCGAATACCATCTGCTGGAGTTCAGGTGTAGATCAGCCACAATCTAATAGAAAGCCGGAACAGGCTTTAGGGGCTGAATGACCTACTCCTGCGTTCTGTGTTCACAACACGTGGCAGGTAACAGTGATTCACTCCCATCTTTCTCCCCCAGGGCCGGTGTTCCTGGTGCTTACCTGGGTGTTACGGTTGAACTGGGAGCCACTCTCCTCCTGTATGATGTTATATGGGATGCAGATGTCCAGGTGATACAGGTCTGGTCGAGCCCACAGCACAATCCGATCCTCTCCCAGGTCCAACACTAACGATCCCACCGAGGCCTGGAACGCAGAAAGTGACTTCAAATAAGCAGCTGAACTTTTTGCGAGGATACGGGGAGAGCGCGGCGGGGGGGGGGGGGGAGGGAGTGGGACTGATTGGGTAACTCTTCCAAAAATGGGCTGAATGGTCTCCTTCTCTGCTGTAATGTTCTATGATTCTATGACTCCAAGCTTTGATATATTAATAATAATAATCCTTGCACTTGATACAGCGCCGAGGACATCTCAAACCGCCTCATAGAATGTACTGTCAAGTGTATAGTGACTGTATATTTTGTGGTAGAAACGCGACAGCCAATTGCGCACTGCAGTGTCCTCACAAACAGTCGTGGATCGAGTGACCATATTATTATCACTATTTGCTTTTGAAGGGATTATTACACTCGGAAAGCGATCCGCCATTCGACTAACAACCGGGTTCCTACTTGCTGCTCTGGGCAAACCAGGTCAATGAATTCAACACCAACCACTTTGGGTAACTTGATCTCCGCCACCAGGAATCTGGGATGGCTGTCGGCAGGCTCCACTGTGAGCGTGTACTCTGGTTCCACACTGAAATTGGAGGAAATTAAGACATCTCAATGTTCAGCACAGAGGGAGGCCATTCGGCCCATTATATCTGTGCCATAACTACCTGGATTCTGAACCATGTTCCTACTTACTGCGAGGTAAGCAGAGGCGGATGTGTGAACTTAAAGCCTAATGTTTCCCCCCCGACCCGCCCGGGAATCGAACCCCGGTGGTCCTCCCCCTTACGAGGCGAATCCTCGAAACAATACGCTACAGGATTCCACATCTCAGGAAACCCAGTACCCCCGACAATGACATTTACAATTAATTATATTTCTGTTACTTAGACCAGACCGACAGTTCCTCCCAAAACGTTACCTTTTGACTTCCGAGATGCCGGGCTTACTGTAGCTCCCTGACGGTGAGCTGCGGGGACAAAAGGTTGTGAAAGGCACTGTGTAAATGTAATTTTGTCTTGTACATACCTCTCCCTCAATCCCTCTGCCTTGCCCTCGCCTTCCCCATCTTTAGGTCGCTCCTGAAGATCTTCCTCTTCGACCGTGCCTATTCCTCCTTCCCTAACCCTCCCCCACCCCGCCGGCTTGGAGCCGTGCTCCGACATCCTAGTCTGCGCGAGGGGACGCTGTGTGAATGCACATTGTTATTGTGGCCGGCAATACTCTTCTGCTCCAGGTGTCTTTACCTGGAGTCCAGTTCCTGGATGGCAGGTTTGGTTTTGGACCTGATGTTCTGTTCTGTAACGGATCCCATAAACTTCCGGTTTCTCATCTTCCGCCACTCTGGGGGGAGCAGAACCAAAATCTATCTCAGTCGCTTGACCCACCGACGTTTCACCTCCAGAGGAACCAGGGCCTCCTGTCTTGTGATGGGGGGGATTCCAGGCCATCAGTGGGTGAGACGCTACCCTTTTGCCCCAGGGACCCCAGCCATCAACAACAACAACTTGCATTTACATAGCGCCTTTCACGCGGAGTAGCGTCCCAGAGCGCTTGGCGGTGGTGGAGTCGGACCCCGAGCCAGGGGGAGAGGGAGGATGATAACGGCTTTCCTCATTCCCAAACCGAAACTGGGATCTGGACCACAAGCAACCTCAAAAATGGGTCATATAATAATATTAATCCTTGAATTTGATAGAGCGCCTGATCACGTCTTCGAGACGTCTCAAAACGCTTCATCAGGACACACTGTAAAGTGTAGTGACTGTGTTTCTTGTGGATGAAACAAGGTAGCAAATTCTACACCAGTTCACAAACAGTCGGGGATTGAGTGATTAAATTATTATTTTTCTTCGTTTTTTTAAAGGATTATTACCCCCGGAAATGCAATCCGCCGATTGGCTAACAAATGGGTTCCTACCTGTTACTGGGTAAACGTGTGGAGCGAGGAAATTTTCCTAACATTTCTCCCTGGCCGGGAATCAAACTTGCAAGGCGAGGCTTACCACTGAGCTACAGGACTATACAATTAACCCCCTTCTTGTCCGCAAACAAGGCCCTCCCCAGTTTGACCTCTAGTGCAGTCATGCAGGTTAAGTGGCTTGTCTCTGCTGATATTTTATGTGGTAGACACATAAAGCACACACAGCCTGAAAAAAACAGGGCATAACCTTGCGGAGTTCCCCTCGGCTCCTACCTCGGGACAGTTCCACATTGTACTTGTTTTCCAGCCCTTCGAAAGCCACTGTGGTAAAAAAGCTCATGAAGAGTTCATTGTCCTGTAAATCAACAAAGAAAAATCCTGAGTGAAAACCCCACACTCTTAGGCAGCAGAAAATCACAAAGCCATTGATTCACATTCCCTGTGAAAATTCCATAACAATGATAATAATCCATATTATTAAGACGTCTCAAAGCGCTTCACGGGATGTACTGTAAAGTGAATTGACTGTAAATTTTGTGGGTGATACGCGGCAGTCAATTGCGCAGTCAATTTGTCCCACAAACAGTTGTCGATTAAGTGACCAAATTATTATCATTATTTTCTTTTTGAAGGGTTTATTACCCCCGGAACGATCCGCCAATCAACAACCTACATACATGTGATAACAATGATCCATGAAGCACTCTGACAGTGATAGGGCACTATAACACAGCGTTGATGTGAACTTAGGCTTGATATAATAATAATAATCCTTGCATTTGATAAGAGCGCCTTGTCACATATCTTCTGGACATCTCAAAGTGCTTCACATGTAACAGCGTGTGATATAACACATGCAAATACGTGAAACCATTTGGGAACTTACCTGAATATCATCATAAAACTGAGAATTGATAACTATATCGTACGCAGTGCATCCGTTGCCGTCTGAAACACAAGGAAATAACAGTTCAGTCGCTCTAATGAACGGATGCTGTGACCTGGGTGTCAGACACCAAACACTGTGTGTTAAGAGCTCCCCAGACACTGAGCTGTTTCACTGCCGGGATTTAATGTGTAAGTGGCTGCCAAACATTTGTAATGATAATAATAATCCTTGCATTTGATATAGTTCGTTATCACATCCTTGAGACGTCTCAAAGAGCTTCACGGGATATACTGTAAAGTGTAGTGACTGTGTGTTTTGTGGCCACACGTTCAGCTACTGCGCCCCGAAACTCTGGGACTCTCTTCCTCCATCCCTCCACCTTGCCTCTTCGTTCCCATCTTCAGGTCGTCCCTGAAGACTTTCCTCTTTAACCGTGTCTATGGTCACCGTTCACCTCCCTCTCCCAGGCTCAGCGTCATTCTCCACCACTGTCAGGAGCACTAGAAAGCTATACAAATACAAGTTGTTGTTGCTGTTGAGGTAGGAGACAATGGGCCTCATTTATAAACCACCTGTGATAATAATAATCCTTGTATTTGATATAACGCATTGTCATAAGTTTGAGATGTCTCAAAGTGCTTCACAGAATATACTATACACTGAATTGACTGTATATCTGGTGGGCAGAATGTTTTGTTAACACCTGCCCTCACCTCCCCCCACACCCCCCACTTACTGTTGTCGATCTCCGCATGTGGCTCTCCAAGGCTCATAGGGATTTTGTAGCCGGACGGATCATCTGATTCCAACAGAGCTACTAGCTTTTCCTCGGACAGCTCCGGGGGAGGTGGGACCTGCTCCGACCTGCAAACGTTGATGAAAATCTTCTCGTTCTGGGCTGTCTTTGACTTCACGCAGAAGCCTGGAGAGGAAAGAGTTTCTCTTAGCAATAATAATAATCTTTGCATTTGATACAGCGCCTCATCACATCTTTGAGACGTCTCAAAGCGCTTCATGGGATATACTGTAAAGTGGAGTGACTGTGTATTTTGCGGGCAAAATGCGGCAGCCAATTGCGTACGGCAGCGTCCCCACAAGCAGTCGTGGATTCCAAGCAACCAGTCCAGCACCTTGGGACGTCCTCCCGACTTAGTGAAAGCCTCTGTGTAATGTGTTGTTGTTGTAGTTACCTGGCTGAGGTCTGATCTGCCTGGTGTCCGGCACCCTGGGAAGTTTGCTCTGCATCTCCTTCGCCGTCTGGGGAGGAAGAGGAGGATGACAAGAGGTTCGACAACCGCAAAGCACCGCGGGTCAAAGCAAGGGTCGGTCAACACTGACACAATGCTCGGAGCCCGCCTGCCCGGTGAGTCCCAGCAGTGAAACGACAACAGCGACTTGCGTTTACACAGCGCCCTTCACGCAGGGTTGCGTCCCAAGCACAAGCGTCACGAGGTTTCTAACGCAGCCCTGCGTTAACAACGTGCGTTAAGACCGTTCATTAAGCCGGGAAGGAGGCAGCGTCGGAGAGAAGTGCCAGTGCAGCACTGACCTGCAGCAGCAGCTCCTCGTACAGAGAATCCTCAGTACTCATCTCGGCTGAGAGCAGACTGCTGTCCGTGACTCGTGGCATGTTCATACTGGGCGGGGGAGGAGGCGGAGGCCAGAGGGCGGGGCGGGGCAGCCCTGGCTCGGATCACGATCCACCGGGTTCACAATCTGAAGCGAAAGAACAAACAGCTGCTGTTCGGTAAACAGATTTTGCGAGCGTTTCGTGCTGTAAAGCGAACGGACTGTGCGTCTATTCCAGCGCCTTGGGACGTCCTCCCGACGTGAAAGGCGCTATGCAAATGTAATCTTGTTGTTGTTGTTGTGCATGTTTATATATATATAGAGAGAGAGAGAGAGAGCGGGTGAACCGGGGCAGGGAATCGAGCACAGCCTCGGGACGTCCTCCCGACGCGAAAGCCGCTGCATCAAATGTCATTTGGTGGCGGTTGTTTTTGCGGTTAGAATTAATATCAATAGAGTTCAAGTTCCCGTTCGAGTCGCCTTCAAAGCCGTCCGTGGCCTCGCTCCCCATTTCCCCCACACCCCTCCCCTCCCCTACCTCTGCGACCTCCTAAACCCCCCCCCCCCCCCCCCCCCCCCACCGCCCCATACCATCTTTTCACCGGCAGTTTCGCTCGACGGTGTATCCTGTGAAGGGCTTCGAGACGCCGCGATGTGATACGGCACCGTTAGAAGATTAATAGTGACGTGAATAGTAATAACGTGTCAATAATAATATCAATCGGAATAATGTGAATGATAACAATAAGAAGAAATAACAATTATGATAATGATATCAATGATAATGATATTAGAATAATAGTAACGATAATATCAATTAGAATAATAGTAATGATACTAATAATGTGAATAAGAATATTAATTATATGAATGAATGATAAGAAATAATAATGATATCAATTATAATTATATTAGAATAATAGTAATGATAATATCAATTAGAATAATATGAATGATAATAAGAATAATACTGATAATAATATGAATTAATATTATTAGAATAGTAATGATAATAGTAATAATATGAATGATAATGATAATATCGATTATTATAATAATATTAGAATAATAGTAATATAGTAATATATTAATAATAGTGATAATAATGATATAAATTGCTGTTGTTATGGTAACAGACAGAGAGCCCCGGGGGGGGGGGGGGGGGGGGGGACAGTGACGGGAGTGAAGGGTTTGGGGGCTTCGGGGCCTCTCACCTCAGGCACTGGTCACAGCGACGCCATTGCTGTGGGGGAACCGCCTCCAACCGTCACTCCGGCCGCTCGCGCCGGAAGTGGGGCGGCTTGATTGACAGGCGCGGGGCGGAAGTGGGGTGGGTGGGAGGAGGAGGAGGAGGAGGCAGCCTGATTAAACCGGAAGTGGGGCGGTGGGCAGTTACCGGAAGTGGGGCCGTTTGAATGGACGGGAGCGGGACCGGCCGGGCCGAACCGGAAGTGGGGCCGTTGGAAGGGACCGGAAGTGGGGCAGTTGGAAGGGACCGGAAGTGGGGCAGTTGGAAGGTGACAGTTGGTCGGTCGCTGGGGTTTGTTATGGAGAAGATTTTCGACGCCATGAGCTACGGCGCCGTCCCCGAGGCCACCAGCGCGGCCCAGGTAACGGGAGGGAGTGTGAGAGAGAGGGAGGGAGGGAAGGGAGAGGGGGAGTGTGAGAGGGAGTGAGAGAGGGAGTGTGAGATGGAGGGATAGAGGGAGTGAGAGATGGAGGGATAGAGGGAGTGAGAGAGGGAGTGTGAGATGGAGGAATAGAGGGAGGGAGGGAGAGGGAAGGAGTGAGAGAGGGAGGGAGAGGGAAGGAGTGAGAGAGGGAAGAATAGAGGGAGGGAGAGAGGGAAGGAGTGAGAAAGGGAGGGATGGATAGAGGGAGTGAGAGAGGTAAGAATAGAGGGAGTGAGGGAGGGAGGAGGGAGAGTGAGCAATGAAGGGAGCGAGAGAGGGAGGGAGGGAGGGAGAGAGGGAGTGAGTGGTGTAGAACGAGATGTGATGGACCAAAGCTTTGGCCAAACCTCAGGAGCTCTGTGTGACCTTCGGAATTTATAACAGCGACAGTAGTAATCCTCGCGTTTGACACAGCGCCTCTCATCGCGTCTCTGAGACGTCTCAAAGCGCTTCGCGGGACGCACCGTAAAAAGGGTAGTGACTGTGGGCGAAACGCGGGAGCCGATTAGTTGCACACAGCGCCGTCCCCGCAAACCATCCGGTTCCATTTTCACAGGGTTTCTGCTGCGTGTGAGCGTGGTGGGGGTGGGGGGGGGGGGGGGAGATGTTCCACCATCTCCGTCTGAAACAGCTCATGGGCTTTGTAGCAGTTGGGTTAAGTTTGGACGTTTGTGCCTCCACGTGCTTTGAGGCGATTGGACGTCAGGGCTGGAAATCAGTGGACGCCTCCTTCATAATGGGTTAACGGGTGAATCGGCCACAAGTTCGGTGGTGGGGGGAGAGAGAGAGAGAGAGAGAGAGAGAAAAGGTAAAGAATGATAGCTCCGCGTACAGAAATCAGCTGATGTGCACAGTGCCGACCTTGACTCGAACCAGCAGAAATGTCAGCGACGACAATTTAACAATTCATAATAATAATAATCCTTGCATTTCATACAGCGCCTTATCACGTCGTTGAGACTTCTCACAGCGCTTCACTGGATAGACTGTTAAGTGTAGTGGCTGAATGTTTTGTGGACGAAACGCAGCAGCCGCTTGCACGCAGGAGTGCCCCACAACTAGCCGTGGATTGAGTGACCGCATTATTATTTTATTTGACTTTAATCTTTATTGTCACACGCTCACGTGATCTAGTTCCAAACGTTCGCGAGAAAGTTCTGAGAAAGTCACACGCGAAAAAAAAAAATGCAGAAAGGCAGCGTTCAGGCAGATTTAAAGATCTTGTGGGGCTATTGGAAAAGAGAAGGGAGTTCGTTTCTCGCTCTCCCCGCGTCCTGGCCAACAATCCACAAGATAATAAAAAGGGTCACTCACCTCATGGCTGTTTGTGGGACTTTGCTGTGTGCAAAGTGACTGTTGCGTTTGCCTACAAAATGCAGTCACTTTATTTTAGTTAATTGCCGTGAAGTGCTTTTGATGCCTCAAAGTAATAATAAATCGGTCACTTTAATCCACGAGTGTTTGTGGGGACGCTGCTGTGCGCAACTGGCTGCCGCGTTTTGCCCACAAAATATACAGTCAATTCACTTTACAGTATATCCTGTGAAGCGCTTTGAGAGGTCTGAAAGATGTGATAAGGCCCTGTATCAAATGTAAGGATTTTTATTATTCATTTATCGAAGCAGCATTATTGTAGGAGCTTATTAGCAAGCTTGGGTATCCAGCCATCAGTGTCAAGTTCTGGACACGAAAGGCGCTGCATAAATATAAATCGTGTTGCGTTGTCTCCAGTCTAACCCACTATTGTATCTTCTCTCTGCCAGGCTTGGTTGGATGCTCATGGCAGGAGCCTGGGTCACTTCATCGCAGGGAAATGGGTGAAACCCACAGACTGCAAAACAGAACCCTCAAAGAACCCTTCAACAGGTCAGAGACATGAGCAAACCTGAGTAAGACGTGGCCACATCGACCCAACCGCTCAGCGGGCTACGGCCTGCTCCACGTCCCCTCCCCGGTACACCCCACCATCAGCCTCTCCACCCCCAACCTTTGGAACTCCATCCCACAGTCCCTTCGCCTCGCTCCCCCTCTCCCTCGCTTCATTCAAAGCCTATCTCAAGTCCCTCCTCTTCGACTGTGCGATCGGTCACCCTCCCTCCTCTCCTCCTCCCAATCTCCTGTTCAACTCGGGTCCAAATTTCTGACTGTCTAGCCCAGTGCTTTGGGACGTCCTCCCGACGTGAAAGGCGCTGTATAAATGTAACGTGTTGTTATTTTTAACCAAACATTCCACTTTGGGCCTTCAGGAGAAACTCTGGCCACCACGGTACAAGGAGAGCCCACACACATAGATACGGCGGTGAAGGCAGCAAGTACAGCCTTCGATTCGTGGAGCAAGCTATCGTGTCACGTGAGAGCGAGACACCTGTACAGGTGCGTGATTTACAAAGGCCAGTGCCTCCGACAATCGATTGAGTGACCAAATTATTATTTGGAGTTCCAGAGAATGGGGCCAGACAGGCTGTAATACTATGTGTCAGCCGAGATTGTAAAATACTCCTGATGTCTAGCTTGAACTTGCAACCTTCTTAGGTGAGAGTAAGTTTCTGTACTCCTCGAGCCTCTGTTTACCTAACGGTAAAAGTGCTTTCATGTGACACTTTATCAAAAGGCTTGTAAGAAAGATAGAAGCCCATGGTTTAAGAGGGAGAGTGGCAGCATGAATCTAGAATTGGCTGGGAGACAGAAAGCAGAGAGTTGTGGTGAACGGCTGCGTTTCTGACTGGAGGGAAGTGTACAGTGGTGTCCCCCAGGGATCGGTATTAGGACCACTGCTCTTCTTAATATACATAAATGATCTGGACTTGGGTATAGCAAGTACCATTTCCAAATTTGCGGACGACACAAGGTTAGGTAGGGTGGTAAACAGTGAGAAGGATAGGAGCCGACTGCAGGAAGACATAGACAGAACGGTAAAATGGTCGACACATAGCAGATGAGTTGCAATGTGGAGAAATGTGAGGTAATGCATTTTGGTAGAAAGAATGGGGGGCAATATAGGCGGTAATACAATCTTAAGGGGGGTAAAAAAACAGAGAGACCTGGGGGGCAGGTAAATGAATCCTTGAAGGTGACAGGACAGGTAGATAACGCTGTAAAAAGGGCATATGGGATACCAGGCTTTATAAATAGGGGCATAGAGTACAAGAGTCAGGAGGTAATGATTAACCGATATAAACCCTGGTTAGGCCTCAGTTAGAATACTGCCCCAGTTCTGGGCACCGCACTATAGGAAGGATGTTAAGGCATTGGAAAGGGCGCAGAGGAGATTTACGAGGATGGTACCAGGAATGAGGGACCGTGATGATGAGGAAAGGCTGGAGAGGCCGGGATTATTCTCATTGGAGCAGAGAAGGTTACGAGGAGACCTAATAGAGGTCTTCAAAATCATGAGGGGATTTGATAGGTTAGAAAGGGAAAAACTGTTCCCACTGGTGGGTGTGTCGGTGACTCGAGATCACAGATTCAAACAGTCTCTAAAAGAAGCCGAGGGGAGAGCTGAGAAGAAATTTCTTCACGCAGCGAGTTGTTCGAATCTGGAACGCAGTGCCTGAAAGGGCGGTCGAGGCCAATTCGATAACTTCTTTTAAAAACGCGGTGGACGGGTATTTGAGGAGGACGGGTTTGCAGGTTATGGGGAAAGGGCCGGGGAGTGGGATTGACATTACATTGCACTATTCAAAGAGCCGGCACAGACTCGATGGGCCGAATGGTCTCTTTTTGTGCTATACGATTCTAGGATTCTAGGATTCTAAACTATGAGCCCAGTTGTTAGTCGATTGGTGGATCGCTTTTCCGGGAGTAATAATCCCTCCCCCAAAAAATAATAACAATATGGTCACTCAATCCACAACTGTTTGTGGGGACGTTGGCTGCCGCGTTTCGCCCACAAAATATACAGTCAATTCAACTTGACAGTATATCGTGCGAAGCGCTTTGAGACGTCTCTCGAATGCTGCATCAAAGGTAAGGTTTATCATTGTTATACGTTTCAAGACTCTGGACAGAGCGCAGTGTGTGGGCGACCGAGGCGAGGGCAGAGACAAGTGACTGTACTGGTTCAAGCGCTCCCGAGACGCGACCCCTCGTGCAGGGCGCTATATAAATGCGAGCGGTTTCTAGTGACCGTGTGGTGACTCCCTGTGTTGCACCTACAGCATCGCACGGAACGTTCAGAAACACCAGCAGTTGCTGAGTGTGCTGGAAAGCCTGGACAGCGGAAAGCCCATTCGCGAGGCGCGGGATTGGGACCTGCCGTTAGTTGTCCGGCACTTTTACCACCACGCGGGCTGGGCGCAGCTGATGGGCGTAGAGATGCCAGGCTGGAAGCCGGTGGGTGAGTAATAATAATAATAGTCCTTGTTTTTGATACAGCGCCTCACCCGTGTCTTCAAGACATCTCAAAGCGCTTCACAAAATACTGGATTGAGTGACCATATTATTATTATTTATTTTATTTTTGTGGGAGGGATGATTACCCTCGGAAAAGCGATCCGTCAATCGACTGACAACCGGGTTCCTACTCACTGCTGGGTAATCCAGAGGCGTGTGTGAGGAGTAAGGAAACTTGCCAAAGGAACGAACTCCCTAGCGGAAAGCGTCAATTCTTTCAAGAGCAATTCAGATAGATTTCTTTTAGGGAGTGCTATCTGGGTATAGTTTGAGACGCGACATGTGCAAGCGACTGCGACTGTGGAAGGCGAACGAGATGGTCTTTCGTCTAGCGAATTCTTATGCTCTTATGTTTGGCTGGTTCTGATTTGTGCTGTATTCCATCAGCAGGGGGCGGGAGAACACTAATGCTCTGTAAATCAGAGGCAATTTTCTCACCCGGGCTGACGTTGGAATGAGGTGAACTGTGTGTTGCCTCGTTCTGTGTGTGCCGTGCTCACGAAAGAAATTCGCTGACCATCCCCAAGTCATTTGAGACGGGCACAGGGAGTGATTTTAGTTTCGCCCACAAAATACGCAGTCGCTCCACTTTACAGTATGTAAAGTGGAGCGACTTTACAGTATGTTCTGTGAAGCGCTTTGAGACGTTTCATCCACGTGATAAGGCGCTGTATCAGATGCGAGGATTATTGTTATTCACTGTAAATTGGAGTGACTGTGTCTTGCGGCAAACCCAGCAACCAACTTGTACACGGTAATGTCCCAAAAACAGCCATGAAGTGAATGACCGATGTCAGTTTTATGGGGTTGTTAACCAGGACACTAGGAGAAACTCCCTTCTTTAACAGCAACAACAACAACTTGCACAGCGCCCCTCACACCGGGTAGGGTCTCAGAGCTCTCGACAGTGGCAGAGCACGACGCCTAGCCAGGGAGAGGTGACCATAGGCACAATCGAATAGGAAGGTCTTCAAGCACGACCTGAAGATGGGGAAGGAAGGGGGACAGAGCGAGAGTGTGACAGAGTTTCGGGGTGTAGTGGCTGAAAGCCCGGCCACCGATGGTGGAACGGAGGGGAACGAGGGATAAGCAGGAGGCCGGAGCCAGTCGAACGGAGGCAGCGGGTTGTGGATTGCGGGTTAAGCAGGTCGGAGAGATAGGGAGGTGCCGGGGAGTGAATGGATTTGAAAACGAGTGAGAGGATCTTGAAAGCGGTTCGGTGACGGGGAGCCAGTGAGCTTGGCTAGAACTGGTGAGATGGGGCACAGAAGTGTGTTTCAGCGCAGAATTTCACTGCTCTCCATGTGGCCTTGTTTAATGCACTGCGTTCCCATAAAATAACGTCCGACTCTCCATTGTCTATAGGTGTTGTCGGGGCCATTGTTCCATGGAGCTTCCCTCTGCTGATGCTGGCCTGGAAGGTTTGTCCAGCCCTTGCCATGGGTAAGATGTGGTGACTGTGAGCGTGTGAGTTTGAGTGAGTGAGCGAGTGAGTACGTTTTGAGTTGGGGACCGTCAGGGGGTTTTGGAAAAGGGGAGTGGGAGGGAGTGCCTTTCACGTTGGGAAGACGTCTCGAAGCTCTTTGCAGACTGTCACATACTTTTTGCAGTCGAGTCTGGCAGCCAAATTGCTCGTTCCCACAGAATCCATTTCAGACAAAAAGGAGAGGTAGCTGTTTACAGGTTGATTGTAGGAGATTGTAACCAGCCTGTCTGCAGATTCGTTGATGTCTCTGTCCCCGGGACATTTGCCAACTTTGGCAACTTTGGAGAAACCAAACAACCCCGAACCTTACTCATTGTTAAATGACACATGTTTCGTGATAAGTGAAGGCAGCATTTGATTTATTGGACTCTTTCTCAACGTGATTAGGCGCTATATCAAATGCGAGAATTATTATTATTATTATTAAGCTGCTGCTCTGCCCGCTGCCCTCAGGTAACACAGTGGTGCTGACACCGTCCGACCACACCCGCCTCACAGCGCTGCTCTTGGCCGAGATCTGCTCAGAAGCTGGGCTGCCTCCCGGGGTCTTCAACGTGGTGACGGGGAGCTCGGAGCTCGGCCAGACCCTCGCCAAACACCCAGATGTGGACAAGGTGACCTTCAGCGGATCCACCGAGGTACGGACGGCACAGCTCATGCTGTGTCTCTCTTTTTCCTTCTCTGCCTTCCTTCTCTGCCACCACCTTGCTGTGCTCACACCTTTGTGAAGTCCTGTAGCTCAGTGGTCAGAGCACTTGCCTCGCAAGTGAGAGGATCTGGGTTTGCTTCCAGGGCAGGTCAGGGCAAACCCTTAGGCAAATTTCCTTACTCCACACACACACTGTTTACCCAGTGAGTAAGAACCCTGTTATTAGTCGATTGACAAATTGCTTTCCCGGACTAATAATCCCTTCAAAAAAATAATAATAATAATAATAATTTGGTCACTCAATCCACGACTGTTTGTGGGACACTGCTGTGCACAATAGGCTGCTACGTTTTGCCCCCAAAAATCTAGTCAACTTGTGTGAAGCTCTTTGAGACGTCTCAAAGATGTGATGAGGCACTATATAAAATACAAGGATTATTATTGTTATTATTATGCTCCGTGTGAGTCGGTTGTTGGCAGACAGAGTGGTGCCCACACACTGACACAGCCCCTCGTTACCCACAGGTCGGGAGAACCATCCGTCGGGCTACAGCGGGCACTGGGCAGAAGCTGTCGCTGGATCTCAGCGGCAAGTCCCCCTTCATCGTGTTTGACTCGGCTGATCTGGACAGCGCGGTGGAGGGGGTGGTGGATGCCATCTGGCTGAACCAAGGGCAGGTGAGACTGGGGGCACAGCTCGTTCGCTACTTTTCCACGGAGTCCCGCAATATAATGGGTAGAGCCCTCGCCTCGCAAAAACGAAAGACCTGCATTCGATTCCCGGGCAGGGTGAAACCTTAGACAACAGTCCTTACTCCACGCCTCTGTTTATCCAACAGTAAGTAGGAACCCGGTTGTTCGTCGATTGGTGGATCACTTTTTCGGTGATAATAATCTGTTCAAAAAAAAAAACTCAATCCACGACTGTTTATGGGGACGCTGCTGTGCGCAATTGGCTGCTGGCCACAAAAGACACAGTCACTTCACTTCACAGTATATTCAGTGAAGCACTTTGAGATAGATGTCTTATCGACGTGATAAGGCGCTGTATCAAATGCAAGGATTATTTATTATATTTATTATCTCTGTTTCTCTTATAGATGTGCAGCGCTGGCTCCAGGCTCCTAATGCAGGAGTCAATTGCCGAGGACCTGATCGCTAGGCTGCAGCAGCGGATGACCCACCTCAGGCTGGGTGACAGCCTGGACAAGACGGTGGACTTGGGCGCAATGGTGGACGAGTCTCAGCGGGCGCTGATCAGCGAGTACGTGGAGGAGGCCAGGAGCGAGGGAGCAGAGGTCAGCTGTAGACCTGTAGCTCCCTGAGACAGACTTCTCACAACACACCTTGCGATCGATACGGCGCCTCATTACGTCGTTGAGACGTCTCAAAGCGCTTCACAGGAGACGCTGTAAAGGGAATTTACTGTGTACTTGGTGGGTCAAATGCAGCAGCCAATTGCACACAGCAGCCTCTCACAAACAGGCGCGTTTCGCCCACAAAATAGACAGTCAGTTCACTTGACGGTGTTTTCCCTGAAGCGCTTTGAGACGTCTCGAAGACGCGATAAGGCCCTGTATCAAACGCACGGATTCTTAACGATCAATAGTTGCGTAAAACCAGCAAAAAATGTGATTTGTATGTAAGAAGAGGATTTGCCGTGAGAGTCATCGTCTCCCTCTCTTTTGGCGCAGATTTATCAGGTGGAAACAGACGTAAAGAAACAGCTGTGCTACCCGCCCACTCTCATCACCAACGCCAGCACTGTATCCCGCATTGTCCGACAAGAGGTGGGTCGTTTTTCACTTGGTTGCCGCGTTTCGCCCCCACAGAATACGTACAGTCACCACGCTTTGCGCTGTGTTCTGTGAAGCGCTTTGAGACGTTCCCAGAGACAAGTGGAAGGCGAACTGGTCTTCTAACATAACAAATTCTTGTGTTCTTAAATGCTGCGCCAGAAAGAGAGAGAGAGAGAGAGACTTGTTTCTGGTTTCCTCTCCAGATCTTCGGGCCTGTGTTGGTGGCTCTGACATTCCGCACTGCCAAGGAAGCCATTGCTCTCGCCAACAACTCACCGTACGGTCTCGCGGGCAGTGTCTGGTCTGAAAACCTGGCCTTGGCGCTTGAGGTGGCAATGAGGTACTTGCTACCGCGCACGACGGGCACTTGATAAATGCAAATTATTGTTGCTGTCAATCTGGTCGCGTGTTTTCCTGCTGTCTCGCCCCGTCCTTCATCTTTTCACTTTCCTTTCTCTTGCCTTTTACTCCCTCCCTCCCTCCCTCCCTCTTTTTGTACGTGTCTGTGTATGCTTGTCCCTCATGCTCTCTGTTATCTTCCGCGTGTATGAGTTACTCTCTCTCGGGCTCGCTCTGTTGGATCTGCCTTTGCCTTTCAGGGCTTTGGGACATTCCTCCCAATGTGAAAGGCGCTCTATAAATGTAATTCTGTTGTTGTTGTTATCGTGTGCTCAGTTTCACTAACCAGCCTCTCTCCTCAGCCTGCAGGCTGGTGTTGTGTGGGTGAACGGACACAATGTGTTCGACGCTGCTGCTGGGTTTGGGGGCTGCAAAGAGAGTGGCTTCGGCAGGAGTGGAGGCAAGGAGGTAAGTCCTGGAGCTTGGAGGACCTTGTTCCGATGCAACTTAGAGTCCCGTTGCGTGGTGGTTAGAGCACTCGCCTCGCAAGCGAGAGGACCTGGGTCCTCAATTGGCTGCCGTGTTTCGCCCACAAAATACACAGGTGATTCACTTTACAGTCATTGAACCTGTGAAGGGCTTTGAGACGTCTCGACGACGAGATTAGGCGCTACATCAAATGCAAGGATGATTATTATTTTAATCCCAACTCCGACATTAACTGAATCATTGCCCCTGTGAGTGAGTAAGTTTGTAACGCCATGACGTTTGACCTTCTTCTACCCTCAGGGCTTGTTCGAGTACGTGAGGCCGGCCTGGGAAAACCGCCCACGCCCCAACCCCACCGAGGTCAACTATAAAACCTTTGCCGCGTCGTACGGAGTGGATCTGCCCCCAGTCCCCGGCCAGATGGAAGGTGGACAGCCCCTCCCACTCCAGCCCAGCCCCGTCCCGAGGTAAAGTGGTGTCTGGTGTTTGCACGTTCAAGGGCTTCTGGATTCCTTCCCCAGTTTAGGCGGGGAAGCTGGAAGCAATGAGTGGGAGACCTGGGATTTTCCCAGGCGGGCGGCAACTGGGTTTGGGTTCTAGTTCAAACCACGCCACCTCTGACCACGTGTTGCAAGACTGAACAGCACTAAAACTTCAAACGATACATTTGCATAGCACCGTTCACGTCAGGAGGATGTCCCAAGGCACCGGTGTGTGTGTGTGTGGATGTGTTTATGGTGAGGGGAGAGTATGTGTGTGTGTGTGTGGTGGGTAGGTGGGGTGGAAGATTTCTGTTATGAAGCATTGACTCTCCTGTTTGTGCCCGCAGTGTAGACAGGACCTACAAGCTGTACTATGGCGGGGCTCAGAAGCGAGCGTGCGGAATGTACTCACGGCCGGTGCACGATCGCAGCGGCAAAGTGCTGGCGTACGTGGGGGACGGGAGCAGGAAGGACGTCAGGAATGCGGTGGAGGCCGCCCACAAGGCAGTGACCAGGCAAGTAACCGCTCGCCTAACAAACAAGAACAACATTAACTTGCATTTAAATGGGGCCCCTCACACAAGGTAGCGATCCCAGAGCACTTAAGGCAAGGAGCGACAGGGCGTCTTATTTGGTCTAGCAATGGTTAAAAATGTTGGGCTGCATGTAACTTTCTCCTGGTAGCTTTTTGGCAGGAAACTTTACTGCAGCAACACATCATCTATGAAGCACAACGTGCCAGTCTCACAATACTTGACTTGGATCACATTGATCGTGCCCATCTCTCCTCCATCGCCTCCCTCTTCTCTATTCATCCACCTCACAATCGCCTGGTTCGAGTCCAACTTAATTTAATCAACCTTTTTTTTTTCCCTCTCCGTCAACCATGCCTGTTTGCTTAATAACCAGGTTCCAGCTTCCTGCTAGGTAAACAGTGTGTGTGGAAACTTGTCTAAGATCCTTGCAGTTGATATGGTGGTAAAACACGGTAGCCAGTTGCGCACAGCAGTGTCCCACGAACAGTCATGGATTGAGTGACCTCTTTTTGGGTTAGAGGGATTATTACCCCCGGAAAAGCGATCCGCCAATCGACTAACAACCGGGTTCCTACTTACTGCTGTAAACAGAGGCGTGTGTGGGGACTAACTTGCCTAAGGTTTCACCCTGCCCGGGATACTAACCAAGGTCCTCTCGCTAACCACTGAGCTACAAGACTCCCAACTTCAGATCATTCAGATCTTTCCATCCAGGGTTATCTCCCATACTCTCGCCTTTGTGGAGTCCTGTAGCGTAGTGGTTAGAGCGCTCGCCTCTAGCTGAATGAGTTTTGTCTTGTTTCTGCAGCTGGAGTTCGCGGACAGCACATGCCAGGGCTCAGGTGGTATATTATGTGGCTGAGAATCTGGAGCAACGACGGGAGGAGCTAGCCCAGAGGCTGAGCGATCTGACCGGAGGGAGCCTGGAGCGGGCCAGGCAGGAGGTGGACCTGTGTGTGGAGAGACTATTCCACTGGGGTGCTTTTTGTGATAAATACGGAGGTACAGTCCAGGTGGGTCACAAGGGGGAAGGGAATCATTACACTCAGTTCCTGTTAACCCTAACAAATCTCTAACAGATAGGGTGGTCCTAGCTGGACAAGCAGTAGGAAAGCTTGCCAGACAGTGGTATCAATGGGCAAGCTATCTGGTTTTAGCTGGTTAGTCTCCAGCAACCCAAATGCACACTCTGGGCTCCCCCACCCGAAGCCTTGGCTCTCGCCAATCTGTGACTAATACTTTCCAGAATTAAGTAAAAAGGATGCATCCCTCCAGGGGGGGGAGAGAGAGAGAGAGCACATTCCATTCCATCAATCTATCTCTGGGATTTCCATGTGTAGGTGGGATATATGGAATTCTCAGCTTGATTTGGAGACTCAACTGTGATGGTTTTCTGCTTGGGTCAGCTACCTGGCTAGCTCCAAAAAATTAATAAGAAATGCTAATTACAGCAGACACTCACTGTAACAAAAAGTCCTGTATTTGATAATGGCATATCTTCTCGCTTCTGGGAATATAAGATTACAGGTTCAGCGCTTTGTCAGCTCATAGTTCAGTGATCGGCTGGAGGATGAATGATTACTAATGAGGCTTTATTGCAAGATTTTATCTGCTTAAATGGCCAAAGAAATCCTGGAGGCACTCAGGCGAACTGGTTATAGGCGGACCAGCAATTAGCACAATGTCCTACAGGCAGCAGTGAATGATTGATTTATTCCAGAAACAATAATTCCTTCAAAATAAATAATAATTTGGTCACTCCATCCATGACTGTTTGTGGGGGACACTGCTCTGCGTAATTGGCTGCTTCATCACACCCACAAAACACACAGTCAGTTCACTTTAAGTGTATCCCATGAAGGCCTTTGCGACGTCTCGAAGACGTGATAAGGCGCTGTATCAAGGATTATTATTTGGGGGATTGTTAGCTAGGACACGGGGGCGGGGTGGGGGGGAGAGAGTGAGAGAGAAACTCCCTTCTCTTTTCCAATTGCGCCAACGCCACTTGAACAGGCTGGGTTTAACACCTCGTCCAAAGGACGGCACCTCCAACAATGCGAACACCCCCAGCACTGCATTGGAGCGTCATCTTAAAATATACGAGTTCCACGTCTTGTGGGGCTTGAGCCAATAACTCACTGAGCCGGGCTGACGCACAATTATAATAATAAATAATCCTTGAATTTTGATATAGCGCTTTTCACGTCGGGAGGACGTCCCAAAGCGCTTCACAGAATACACTGTAAAGTGAATTGACTGTATATTTGTGGGCGAACGCGGCGGCCAATTGCGCACAGCAATGTCCCACAAACAGTCGTAGATTGAAATGACCAATTTATTATTGTTTTTGGTTTTGGAGGGATTATTATTAGGCTCTGTGTGGAGTAAGGAAACTTGCCCGAGGTTTTGCCCTCTGCCTGGAATTGAACTCAGGTCTCTCGCTTGCAAAGCGAGTGCCCTAACCACTGAGCCACAGGACTCCACAAATTATTTAATGAAGAATTTAAAATTAATATAAGTCGGGTCAAGGAAAGGGGAGGGGAAAATGTTTTGATTCATGTGGAACAGGCAAAGTTTATAATGACCTCATTCCCACTTACATAGTTCGCGTAGTTATAGTTGCTGAACACAATGGCAGGCAAGGTGCCAGGCTGCCTGTACACTGCCATACTTCCCCTCTCCACCTCGTGCAACAACAAATGAACTTACAAGGCCAAGGCGCCTTTCATGTCGGGAGGACGTCCCAAGGTGCTGGACAGTCAAGAATTTGTACCCGAGCTGGGGGTTGGGATCAGGAAGGGTGGAGGGTGGGGAAGGGGAGGGTGGGAGGGGGAAGGGAGAGTGGGAGGACAGGGAAGCTGGGTGGGGGTGGGGGGGGGGTGACCAAAGGCACGGTCGAAGAGGAGTGTCTTGTGTCGGGATTTGAAAGAGGCGAGGGAGGGGGAGTGAGGCAGAGGGACTGCAGGATGGAGTTCTACAGGATGGGGTCAGTAACTCACTGTGACCTTATGGAGTCGCTGTGTGTGTGTGTGGAGGTGAGTTAGTAATGATTACTATTGACAGGACTCGCTGAGTTTTTTCTCTCTCTCTCTCTCTGGGTTTGCTGACAGGAAACACCGCTGTACGGCAGCACAGTGATGGTGCGGAGGCCGGTCGGGGTGGTGGGCATCGCTTGCCCCGACGAGCAGCCCCTCCTCAGCTTCGTCAGTCTCTTCGCTCCAGCTATTGTCCGAGGGAATGCTGTCATCATTATCCCCAGTGAGAAGTTTCCTCTTCCCGCACTGGACCTGTATCAGGTAATAATACCATCAGGTCCTCTTCGGCCACTCTCCCTCCCTGCCTGCCCTCCACCGCTTCCGGTCCCAAACCCCAGCTCGGGTCCAAATCCCTGACTGTCTAGCGCCTTGGGACGTCTTCCTGACGGATGCCGTGTAAATGCAAATTATGTGTTTGCGGTGTTGGGTTCAATCCGCAGCAAAGCTCCCTCTCCTCTTGTCACGGAGCCCAGGGCAGCCAGGCTCCCAGCCGGCCCAGCGTAACCCTCCTGCTATCTCTCGGCAGGTGTTCGAAACCTCGGACCTCCCAGGGGGAGTGGTGAACATCCTGACCGGATCCCGGGATCATCTGAGCAAGTTCCTGGCCGAGCACCAGGACGTTCAAGCCATGTGGTACTTTGGTTCGGAGCAGGTGACTGGCGCTCGTGTCGGTTACTCGCGTGTGTAGGAGACGGACCCGCGCCGCTAGGGTGGGAGGGAAGGGGAGAGAGAGAGTGGCGTTGGGTGCAGGTTGCAGGATGGTTTGAGTGTGTCTGTCTGCAGTTTGTGCTCACAGAGAGCTGTAGCTTCAGTGGTTAGAGCACTCGCCTCGCAAGCGAGAGGACCCGGTTTCGATTCCCGGGCAGGGCAAAACGTGGGGCAAATTTTCTAACTCCACACACCTCTGTTTACCGGCAGTAAGTGGGACCCCGGTTGTTAGTCGATTGGCGGATCGCTTATCCGGGGGTGATAATTTCTTCCAAAAAAAAAAACAAATCGGTTACTCAGTCCACGGCTGTTTGTGGGGACGCTGCTGGGACTTGAAGGAGGCAAGATAGGGGACGAGGCACAGGGATTGCGGGATAGAGTTCCAGAGTGTGGAGATTGCGATACTGAATGCCCAAACACTGATAACACACTGACAAAAAACACCAATGAATCAAGCTGCTGACCCCTATTGACACCACACACACACACACACACAGACTGTTTCCAGATAAAGGAGGAAGTGGGTCATGCAGCCAAATCCTTTCTGCTGTTCGTTCTGCGGTACTGAGACCTCAGTTTCCGTAGAGGAGGAGGAGGCAGCAATGTCCCTCACAGGAACAATTCAGCTCACGTGTACTCCGCCTCCACTCCAATGTGTAGGTGGCGAATCTATAGCCAGAACTGTCAGCTTTTCTATAGTAGGCAGATAAATCCCACCCGTTTCTCTCAACGAAGATTCAAATCGTTGTCAAGGCAGAAGGAAAGACCTAGTCATCAAGAGAGAACATTGGAACGTAAGAACTCGCAGATAGAACGAAGACCAAGATCTATCCAGTTTGCCTTCCACCGCCTTGGCAGTCCCTGTTTCTCAAGCTATTGTAGAATCATAGAATATTACTGCACAGAAGGACTTGGGTTCGATCCCGGGCAGGGAGAAACCTTACGCAAGTTTCGTGACTCCACCCGCTTCTGTATAACCGAGCAGTAAATCGGAACCCGGTTGTCAGTTGATGAGTGGATCGCTTTCCGGGGATAATATAATCCCTTGAAAAAAAATAATAATAATAATTTGGTCACCGAACCTACATCTGTTTACGGGCACGCTGCTGTGTGCAATTGGCTGCCGTGCGCAATTGGCTGCCGTGTGCAATTAGCTGCCGTGTTTCGCCCACAAAACGCACAGTCACTTCACTTTACAGTATATTCCGCGAAGCTCTTTGAGACGTCTCAAAGAGGCGATGAGGGGCTTTTTTTCATATCAAATGACGAGGCTTATTATTGTGATTAAACGAGCGATGTGGGAAAGTGGACAGATTGAATTCAGAGCTGAGGGCAGAAGGTGGAGGGAAATTCCCCTTTTCTTACGATTGAAGTATCTTCCTGTGTGATGTTGAAATCCGAGCCACGAGCCTTGCACTAGTTACTTGAATTTGCACCAGTTTCCTTTGTTTGACCCAATTTGTAAACTATATCTCATTTGAAATAAAGCTCCCACGGGGCTATTTAGCAGGAGAGCCAAGAATTTCTCCTGTTCACCTGTTTCCTGCCAAGACAATTTAGCTGTAGGGTGACAGCGAGGGACTTGGGGTGGCTCTCTCAAATAGTCTGCACAGATATAATGGGCCGAATAGCCTCTGTGCTGTAAGATTCTATGATTTTGGCATTTACCTCATAGCTGTTTGCCAGATTTGACTGTTGCAGGTAATGATCCTTGCGTTCAGTATTGCATCTATAGCATCAATGCTTCCAAAGTGCTTCACAGACAAGCGCTGTAAATGAAGTGACCATGTATTTATAGAGCAGTCAGTTTGAACACGGGGAGCTGAGTGGGAGGATTTCCAGCCCACAGCGACTGGTCGGCCCTTCTAGATCCTGACGATGAGCCGGGCCGGGCTGTGCTGTCATCAGTAGTGAGTGCCCTGGAATACTTCGGTCCCTCCTGGCTCAGGACCCGGGACTCGAGACCGTCACGGAGGGCTGGCTCCATTCTGACGTGCGAGCACTTAACATGGCTGAGCTCAGTGCATTTTGAGGCTGCTTAGGTTTGGACGCAGAGAGGTGATCCCTGAATTGAAGACTGTACTTGAGTCTCCACCACATAGAGAGCTCACCTCGCAAGCGAGAGATCTAGGTTCGATCCCCGGGCACGGCAAAATGTTGGGCAAGTTTCCTTACTCCACACACACGCCCCTGTTTACCCAGCAGTCGTAGGAACCCAGTTGTTAGTCGATTGGCGGATCGCTTTTCCAGGGGTAATAATAATACCTTCAAAAAATAATAATTTGTTCACTCAATCCATGACTGTTTGTGGGGACGCTGCTGAGATTCACCCACAAAACACACACTCAATCCACTCTACACTATATCCGTCAAAGCTCTTTGAGACACCTGAATGCGTGATGAGGCTCTGTATCAAATGCAAGGATGATTATTGTTGTTATTATTCTCGACCAATGATTCCCTTGTCTCCTTGCAGGGCTCAAAGTTTGTCGAGTGGACGTCGGCTGAAAACATGAAAAGGACCTGGGTGAGTTATGGATTCCAGCGGGACTGGTCTGACCCCCAACAGGGGGCTGGCGAAGAGTTCCTGTATCATGCCACCCAGTGCAAGAATGTTTGGATCCCAATGGGAGAAATCTTCGCCAACTAGAGCCAGGCTGTCGTGGGGCGGGGTGGGGGGAGAGTTGTGGGAGAAATGGGGTATCACCAACTGTCAAAGTGTGTGTGTGTGTGCCATTGACTACTTGAATGACTGAATCTCTTGTCAACGTAAGAACAACTTGTGTTTATATAGCACCCCTCACGCACGGTCGTGTGCCAGAGCGCTTACATGTGGAGTATATAATATATGTGCGTGCCTTTGGGGGAGGAGAACCTCACTTGTGTCTTGGAGCCTTTGCTTTGAAGTAAGCAGAAACCATGATCTCCTATCAGATGATCTGAGGCTAACATCCTGTTTGTCTAAATAGCAGAGTGCAAACATATCTCATTCGGCAGCCGAACTGTAGAGCAACAGCAGCAAAATTACATTTGTTTCGGACCCGAGCTGGGGGTCGGAATCAGGGAGAGTGGAGATGTTCCTCCTCTCTCCCCTCCACCAGCGGCTCTCTCTGGCCTTTCAAAGGCCAGAGAGAGCCGCTGGTGGAGGGGAGAGAGAGAGGAACATCCTCCTGCTTGTCCCTCATGCTCTCCTCCGTTCCACCATTGGTGGCCGTGCTCTCAGCCATTACGCCCTGAAACTCTTATCACACTTTCCCTCCATCCCTCCCTCAGCCTTGCCCCTTTCTTCCCCTCATTATTCAGACATCTGTAAACTCTCTAACCGGAGTGGGTTTCGCACCTCACTTTTTTATGTCTGGGACCAGTTTGCCTCATTTAATGAATGCTCTGTTCTGTTTGGTGGGTATGCACATAAGCGTTGGGCCCAGTTATTCCATGACAATGCTGGGGCAGAGGGTTTGCAGCTGAGGATTCCACGGAATTCCTCGGAAGAGGGTTGTGTCAAGTGGGATCTCTCTCTCTGGGGTTGTTGTGGCTGGGAGGAGATATGCTTAGTCAGGTCTTCATCAATCCAGGCAGGTCCAAGACCGGAGAAACACTGTGAAATGTATCAGCACCCGTGACAGCTCAGAGCTATCTGTGTGGCTCCTTCAATCAAACATTTCACTTCACTCGATTTCGCTCTCAGTTTTATTGAGTACATTTACATTGAATCTTTCACCGTACAATGTCAATAAAAATTAATCCACGAAAGAAACGATTGTTGGTGTAAACGTCACAGGTTCTCTCTTGATGGAGCCTGGCTCCTTGAGGAGAACAAGTGCTCGCTCCCCCCCACTGGAGCTCTCTGCTCTAATCCATTCCACGCTCTATGCTCCTCGCTCGCTTTTGACTGGAGCTCTCACCCCATTCTGCTCTCTCGCGTCTTTGCTGGTGCTTGCTCCCCGCAGTTGAGCTCTCTACTCTAATCCCATTCCCTGCTGTCTCCCCATCGTGCCTGTGCAGGTGCTCGCTCTCCTAATGGAGCTCTCTACTCTAACCCCATTCCATGCTCTCTCTCCCCCCTTGCTATGTTTGGGACTGGAGCTCTTTATACCATACCCCTTTGGTGTCTGTACCAGGGTTAGCTTCCCCCACTGGAGCTAACAAGTTTCCAATCCCAATTTCTCTGCTCACTGATGCACAGGAACATCAATCTTCCATCCCATGTTGGTCTAGATGTTGATCGTCATCAAGCCACTTGCCTCAAGTGTCACGGGATCCTCCCAAGGCGCAGAATGACCTACTGACCTACTGTGAAATACCAAGGCAAACAGTTTGTTACCGAGTACTAAGAGGAACTGCCACTAGAAGATCCAGAGCGTACGTTCATGAATTTAGGATTGTCAAGACAATGCCTACACATTGAGACGGCCGATACATTTCTCATTCCCTTTTAATAATAATAATCCTTGCATTTGATATCCCACCCTATCACGTCTTCGCGACGTCTCAAAGCGCTTCACAGGATACACTGTAAAGTGAATCGACTGTGTATCTTGTGAGGGAAATGCAGCAGCCAATTGCGCACCGCAGCGTCCCCACAAAAAGTCGTGGATTGAGTCACCAAATTGTTGTTATTTTTTGGGGAGGGATTATTACCCCTGGAAAAGCAATACACCAACTGACTAACAAACGGGTTCCTACTTACTGCTCGGTAAATGTGTGTGGAGTAAGGAAACTTGCCTAAGGTTTCGCTCTGCTGGGAATCAAACCCAGGTCCTCTCGCTCGCGAGGCGAGTGTTCTAACCACTGAGCTACAGGACTCCACAACTGCTCCAGTGCCCCATATCTCGTTGGTCCTCCTGTTTTGGTGGGCGTCCAAAATCCTGCTTGACAAACCTTGGAAAGGGAAGGGAGTTTCTCCTGGTTTTCGAGACATCTATAAATTGGTGTATTTTATCTCAAGGAGATTAGGAGTTTGAATCTCGTTTGTGTTGGGGGGGAAAAAAGAGGAAGTGAGCTATTTCTCAATATCCCCCGTCAGCAATCCTCCAAATAAATTGGCTCTTCATCTCAAGGAAGTCATCACACAGTCACGCCATATTATGGTATCCTATGAAGCGTTTTGAGATGTCTCAACAACGCGATAGGTCCTATATCAAATGGGAGGATTATTATAATATCAATGTATTAATTATTATTCAATTCCCATGCAGGGGCAAACCTTGGGTAAGTTTCCTTACACCGCACGCACGCCTCTGTTTACCTAGCGTTAAGTAAGTCGATTGGCGGATCGCTTTCTGAGGGTAATAATCCCTTGAAACGAAAATAACCATTTGGTCGCTCAATCCGTAACTGTTTGGAAACCGAGGTGTGTGTCTGTGTGTGTGTGTGTGTGTGTGTGGAGTGAGGAAACATGCCTAACGTTTCGCTCAGCCCAGGAAGCTTATGAACTTGCACACGTCAGTGAAATGCTGAGTTGAGCTTGAAGAACAAAAGCCCCGTGTGCTAGGGAGGTGGATACAGAATTGGTTTCTAGGAATGTAGAAAGATGCAGGCGACCGGGTAGATATAGCTGTGCATTTCGCTTGAGTTCAGGTGAAATTGCACCCACAAGCTTGATGCAGACTAGATACGGACGAGGTTGGAATTATCTCTCGGTCTCGAACTCATTTGCAGGGCAGAGGATTTTTTTAAAAAAAAAATCTTGCTTTATTATCAGACCAGAATCAGTGTCTGCAAAGCAGGAAATCCAGTCTGTGCTGAACTATTACCGCTCTGAAATCTTCAAAACATCTTACACACACNAAAAAAATCACTGTTCTGTCAGGTGCCTTTTCAAGTGACATCTGAGGCAGTTTCAGGTGTGCATTATATAGGTGTGCAAGGTCAAAGTAGCGTCAGCAACGACGACAACAACTTGCATTTGTATTGCATTATGCCGGCCTACAGCATAGCAGTTAGAGCACTGCCCTCGCAAGCGATAGGACCCCGGTTCGATTCCAGGGCAGGGTGATACGCTCTCTCTCTCTCTCTCCCCTCCTCAGTATTATTCCAACCTCTTCTCTCTCCCCATCCGCCTCTCTTCTCTCTCCGGGTAACCCATTATTATACTGCTGTTGAATCCCCTCTGTATAACAAAGCATTTCCTGTGTCACACTATAGATCATTATGGGATAGTTTATTTTTCTCTTCTCCACTCCCTAGCCCAAGGGAGCTGAGACTTAGTTTTAATATTGTGATATTAATACTTTAATACTGTAATACCACCCTGCCTGATCAGGGTTTGATTCTCGAGCAGGTTGAAACTTAGCCAACCAACTAACAACTGGGTTCCTCCTTACTGCTAGGAGTGTGGAGTAAGCAAACTCGTCAAACCCAGGTCCTTTCGTTGCGAGGCGAGTGCTCTAACCAATACGCTCGGACTCCACAAATAATAATGATAATCATCCTTGCAAATGATGCGCTACTGCGACGTCTTCGTCTTCGAGACGTCTCAAAGCGCTCGAATTATAAAAGTGTAATTTTTTGGCGTTGTGACAACATAATAATAATCCACGTCGTCGCGACGTCGCCAAGAGCTTTACAGAACACACTGTGAAGTGCAGTGACTGTGTATTTCGTGGGCGAAACGCAGCAGCTAATTGCGCACAGCAGTGTCACACGAACAGTCATGGATTGAGTGACCAAATTTTTATTTTTTGGTGAGATTATTACCCCCGGAAAGCAATCCGACAATTGACTAGCAACCGGGTCCTACTTAATTGACTATATTTTGTGGGCGTATGGGAGAGAGTGCTGTCTGGTCTGAAAGGTCTGAATGATCTTGTGCGGAGGTGAGCTACGTACAGCTCTTAAGCACTCTGAGGTGAATGGCGCTATTTCAGTGCAAGTTGTGGTAGGACTGGAGGTGTCCAATAGCCTCCACCCACTCGCAAGTCTATTCAGGGCTGTAGCATAGAATGAAAGCTTGTTTTCCACTCGGTGGGTTTCCAAATAAACTAGTTTCAATGTGTGAACTACACTGGAAAATCCCCAGTAAATAAAACAGCCTTGTCCATCCTGAAAGGCTTTAAGTAGGTCACGGATCACCCCATTGACATAGATGTAAATGACAGTGACCCTGAATTCAGAATTGAGTTTGTGACATTTTGAAGCAATAGAGTGGCTGCAGGAACACTTCATAATTTAATGTGAAACGAATTTGTAAGCGAGAATGTTTTCTACTCTTGTTTGTGGGATGTTACATAAATTTTCTGCCCCATTCATCCAAGCGAACCTCAGCTCCCCGCAAAGCGCTTTTAATGATTACCCTGTGCCTCGACCATGTGCAGCACAAACAGGGACGTTGTCAAGTGAAAAGCACAATGTCAAATCAGATTATTCTTTAAAATTTATCATTTGATGGAGTCCTGTAGCGTAGCGGTTGGCGCGAGAGAACCCGGTTCAATTCCCGGGCAGGGCGAAACGTTAGACAAGTTTCTTTACTCCGTACGCCTCTGTTTGCCAAGCAGTAAGTAGGAAACCGGTTGTTAGTCGATTGGCGGATCACTTTCAAAAATGTAAAAAATGTGGTCACTTAATCCACAGCTGTTTGTGGGGACGCTACGATACGCAATAGGCTGCCGCATTTCGCCCACAAAATATACAAACAATTCAACTCACGGTTTAATAATAATAATAATAATAATCCTTGCATTTGATATAGCGTCGGGAGGACGCCCCAAAGCGCTTCACAGAACATACTTTAAAGTGAATTGACTGTATTTTATGTGGGCGAACGCGGCAGCC